ATTCGCATCTGTGTTTGCTTAAGCGGCGCTTAATATAGTCATTTTTTGACAACACTGGTAATGCACGAGTTAAACTGTTAGCTTTGTGATGACTTTTTGTCCTTTACATTAAATTAACAAACATATTAAAGCTTGTGCGGTTAGATTTTCTAAACTAATTTGATGGAATCCTCTGAGGAAAATAGTAATAACTCTTTAGATCAAATGTGGATTATAAAATGTATACTTTATCAAATAATACTTGTTAGGATAGTTGATAAATGTAAAAGGCGCATATTTCTCAGTAAGGTATCATACTTTTTTACAAAAAGAATCAATAAAAGTAATATGAGATCCCAAGCCAATTTAAAGGTCCTATTTAACCTTATTTCCCAAGACCCAATTTATGTGAATCTTTAAAACTAACAGTTTCATCAATCTCTTTAAGCAAGCCACCATTATTTCCGATTAAAAATTCAATACAATATGAGGTCCTCATAAAAACAAAAACCATTGAGTATAAAAATAAACTAAGGTTAATGATGAACTTACTTCTATCATTCCGTGAACTGGCCACGTCATTTCATCCCTTTTGAAATTCACTTACAACCGCAAATGTGCCGCGTTTGGATTTCCCTTTTCTCCGTTTATGCGGCCTTATTGAAAAATTAAACTTGTAATAAAATTTAATGACTTAGCGGTTTTTAATAAAATGCGCCAACGCCTTAACCAACAGAAGCGAAAGGAAATGCCCACAATTTAAGCGCAAATTTGTGTCCATAATCACAATTTTGGTACCTTTTTTCCCCCAAAGCTTTTGCCTGTGCCTGTAATGACCACACAGAAAATTTGGGCTTACCCTCGACCTCTAACTTGGCGCGGTGCGTGCAATAAAAAGTAACGAGGCTGTTAACATTAAGGCAAACGTTTGCCTTTCACTTTGGTCAAGAAGTCAGACGGAGGAGACTGAAACAAAAAAAAAAGCTTACAGACGACGCAGGGCTATGGCGACTCATCGAGGTTAAGTCGGGGCGTTAATATTTAAATTTATATTTCGGCCGGGCGCTGGTCACGGCAGACGCACGGCACCGTCCCGTTTGGCCATCAATTCTGCGTTTAATGCCTGCGCAAATATTTGCGCAATCAGCAAACAAAACAAACGCCGGCCAACCGCCGACTGCCGAATGTTTAAGCAAAGCAATTGACCGTTTCCCAGGACACTGCGATATGGCATACACTATACACCGGTGTATCCATAGTAGAGTGAATCGGGAATTCCGGGGAACAGGAGGTTTTGGCGTTGAAAGCGACACGACCGCAACTTGTATTTCCTGTTGACCCGTGTTCGTGTGCGACGTAAAAGCGGAAGTCCTTGCAGGTGCAAAGCCCCTCATTTTTTTTTTTTGCCTGTTCGTCTGTCTCGTGCCGTAAATATCTGTGTTAATCATTTAATTAAACTGCGCTCGCTGCGCATATTTTTCGGACGTACATTTCGGTTATTTATGGCGTGATTTGGGTTTCGACAATTACTACACCAATATGCTATCTTTATGGGCCATTACTGGGTATTTACAACGGGGCGTATGCGTAATATATTGTGCAAGCGCATAAGGCGTTGCATACTCTTTTGGGCAGCTTTAATGCACCACAACAAATTGGCGTTCTATTTAAATCTTAAAAATTAAAATAAATGAAAAATGACAAAAAATTCTTGTGGAATTTTATGTTTTAAGAAGATGTTTTGTTTTCTCCACCATTTTTGTTAACTTTTATATTAAAACTTTCCAATAAGTTATTGTGAAAAATATGAGTTACTTTTATATTGATTATTATGTATCGGGTTAAAATCATATATTATTATACTTTAATTAAAATTCAAATTGTGTATAAGTTCATTACGGCGAATTGATAGTGCAACTTAAAGTAAGCGCAATATTATTTCCCCGGGAGAAATCGAGCGCACTATTTTTGGCATCTTTTATGCAATACAGCGACGTGCCGTTTTATGTAAATCTGAAATAAGAAAATGACATCCCACTACCTCCCACCCAAATGTCGAAGAAAAGAAAGAAAAGCGTAAACATTCTTGCACTCTCGCAGCGGCAGAGCTGTAAAAGTTTTCGGTAAACGCATTTCAAACACTCGCCGAGATAGTTATTACAATAGTGCACAAAGCGGCAACAACAATCTCATGCGTGTGGGTGGAAAAGGGTTGTGAAAGAGGGGTGTACAGGGGATGCAAAAAGGAAGGAGGAGGGGGGTGGACAGCAGCATCTGTAGGAAAACTTGTATCGTTCTCTTCAAATGAAATGCAGAACGAGCTGAGCCATCTTCCACTTCTACAACAGCAGCACAAAGTAATATTTACAAAAGAATATTCTTTTAAATTTACTTTTTCTTCGGTATTTCTACTTTGTAGTTTAGTATACGGCAGATAGAAGCCATTTTTGAAGTGCAGTTAGCGTTGATCGGTGCGCGGGTATGGGTGCACTGAAAAAAAAGCCTTACTATTTAAATCGGCAGTTTTATAAATTTTATATTTTGTTTTAGAATTGTTCACACGTTTTATTTGTTTTAAAGACTCGTTTTAAAAGAAACAAATTTATAATTAGGTTGCTTACTATTCTGATTTTAAAAAAGGGCGAGACAAAATGGGGGAAGCAAATAAATTTGAATAAATTAAATAAAATATTAAATTAAAATGAAAATATTTGAAAGACCTAAGGCGTAAAATTTTGTTTTGTTCTTTTATTTAATTTGCAAAAAAAAGAAACTCTGCTTTAAGTAAAAAATTTGGTTATTATTGGCAATGAAATTGGTGGATTTGAGAGATGGAGAAACAAACTGTAAGTGTTTGAATCTAGTTCTACTGAGAAAGAAGTGGAACTAAGGGGAATTTTTTCATTGTGTTGGCGTTTTTGGGTGGTTCGGTGATTTGGGGGGCGGATGTAGCCGAGTTTAGCGGAAGCCTGGCTGCAACTGTCGTTGTCGCCGTTGCCGTTGTCGTTGTCGTTGTCACTGCTCACTCACTATTTGCATCTCTGGTCCCCTTTGCTCCTTTAAAACCCCATTCCCGCTTCAGCTGAACTCAACATCCGCTGGACAATTGATGAACGCCTTTGTTGTTGTATGCAGAGTGGATTTCAGTTGAACTCCAGTGCCTGTCTTCGTCCTCGTCGTCGTCCTGGTCCAAGTTTTGAGCAAGTTCAGTTACCATTTGCCGTGTGGAAAACTTTGTGCAGTTGACAGCCAGAGGGAAGGGGAAGGGGAAGCTCAGCCATTTTTATCCTAAAGGTCCTGCGGATCGTCGCCTGATGTTTTTCGTTTCGTTTCGTTTCGCGCCAGCAGCAAAAGTGCCGAGTTCAAAGTTTTGTTTACAAAGTTTTCAAATTTTTGTGGCACTGAGTTGAACTTCCGGCGAAAGCACCAGCATTCGCCCACTCTTCCCGTTCCCGTTCCCCTTTCCGCTCCCTTTCCCATTTTCCCATTTCCGGCTGCTGTTGATGATGCTGCTACCGCTTTTCCGCCGCTCCCTGATTTTCGGCGGACTTTTCTGGGCAGCAGATGGTCTTTGATTCGCAGTCATCCATCATTAGCCACAATTATGTGGCAGGTCTATTAAATCTCCATCAATTTGGCGAATATACCAGTAGCTAAACGGTGCAGAAAATGCAATGGCAATGGCAATGGTAGAGGGTAGTGTAAGTGGGGTGTGCTTGTGCACTTGTGCACTCGAGGAACCGACATGCAGACACATCCTGCGGCTCCTTCAAGTCGTCATTGCGCGTAAAATTATGTCAATGCTTGTCAACTTTTCCGTTGAGCCAAGTTGCTCGACAAGTGCACCCTGTAGTGTCTTTGAGAGTGCATTGAGTGAGCGACTGAAAGTTTTCTTTACCACCCCACGGCTTTTCTCCTTTTCCCCCCCATTTCTCCATTTTTCCGCCTTCATGTGTGTGAGTGCATTTTTGACTATGCATAAAGTGCATTTACAGTGTTTCGCAGACAGAAAAAAGCTGCCAAAGGCAGAAGAAACAGTTGCGCTTACTGCTGCGTCGCGGAAACTTTTTTAATTTAATGTACAAATTACCTAAGAAGCCAGAGCAGCCTCAACAGAAGTCACTACTTAAGGCCCTTAAATGCGACAACTTCGTTTAACTTAACTTAATGCAAACTTGCAGCTCGCTTTTTTCTCAAATTAGCCTGGTTAATTAGTGTTATGTAAATGCATGTGTAACTGTGTGGGTGTGACTTGGCTTAACTTCCAGCAGCTAAAATTTAATAAGTTTTGGTCGCCAATTAGCACTTTCCCCTCGCCTGCCTGCAATTGCATCCTTGCATGAAATTCCCAACGAATTAAGCCACGCCCCCCTTAAAAAAAAAGCACCTGCAGCTATTCTTAATGTAAGTGGAACGTTTTGCATAATTATTGTCTTGAAGCTCACAAGGCGCTGGCCAAGCGTTGTGCACCTAGATAGACCACCAAAAAGAAAACACTGTGTAAATATATGTATAGCCCGCAAATGCTAGACTTTTGTTTTAACTCTTATTTTTGTATACCTTTTGATGAGCACCATGTAGCCCAGTCACTTGTCACTTGTACGTGAGTCGAGCTTAGCTATGATATATGTATATATGAAGTAACAACTTGAACCGCCATCGGTTTGTGACCAGAAAAACAAGAAACACAGTAAAGACAAATGTCAACGGACGCACTTCCCGATTCCCCACAAAACCGAACACTAACACTAACACTCACAACACGACACCTACGTATACTCTTCTTAAGCAAAAATATTTAAATACTTATATCATACACAATTTATATGATAAGTGTCTACTCTTTTCCTTTTTCGTCTCTTTTTACGCTCTGACATTTCATTTTCCGATAACAACAACCAACCAATGCGCATTTAACCGTCACACTCACGCACACCACAATTGTAACACCACCCACTCGACAACCACAACAACAACAACAACCCCTCCCGAAATAAAAAATAAAACACCACAAAAATCAGAGCGTGCCGGTGCTTCGAACATTTGGCGGTCATCACATCGCGTAGCGCGAACGGGATCGGGAAGTGGGCGTGGCCAGCTCGCCCTCGACCACGATAGCCACGCCCACCGGTACGCCGCCCCTGCTGCCGCCGCTGCCCAATGCGTTTGTGGCCATCAAGACGAAATCGGACTGCAGCAGCAGCAACCACAGCAACAGCAACAACAGCAACAGCAACAACAGTTTGACCCTGAACAGCGGCAACAATAGCTTCAAGTCGAGCGGTCATCGGAAGTCGCCCCAGCCGCCCCCGCTGCCCATGAAAAACGGGGCCAAGCAGCAGCAGCAGCAGCAACAGCAGCAGCAGCAGGAGTCGCACTACCAACACCTGAGCTACCAGCAACATCCCGGAAGCAACTCGCGCAACACACTGGATCGCAAGCAGCAGAACAACGGCGACTATTGCACCCAGATCAATCCGCACTATCTGCAGACCTTCGACAGTTTGGACCACTACAGTGTGGCCACGATGCAACAACAGCCGCTGCGCAGTCAGTCGAAGTCGCAGATCTACAGCTACGGCAGCAGCGGCACCGCCAGCGACAACAGCAACCACCAGCAACTGGCGACACACCAGCAACACCAGCACTACCACAGCAGCAGCAACATTGCCCACATCGAGCACCACTACCATCCGCAACACGGTGGCGATCGCTACAGCCACCCGCATGTGCAACAGCAACAGATGCACCAGCAACATCAGCAGCAGCAGCAGCACCACAGCCTGAAGCACACTAAGCACGGCAAGGGGCACAAGAATGGCAAGCACGGCTCGAAGGGCAGCAGCAGCAAGTCGCAGGACGACTTCAAGGTCATGCACAAGCAGCAGCAACAACAGCAGCAACAGCAGCAGCAACAACAGCAAAAGAGCAGCGGCAACAACAGCAAGCCGGCCAAGCGCAATGGCTGCAGCAACCAAGTGTTGCCACTGCCACCGCAGCAACAGCAGCAGCACTACTCCAGCTCTAGTGATAGCCTACCATTTGATAATAACTATTATTAGACACCAGCACACACACTTATTAACTCGGAAAATGGTTAAGGGTGTCCCCTAAAATCAGCAGTTATGTTTTTGTTTTTAGTACTTTCAAAGGGAACTTCCATAACTCAAACTGCCCGGACTAGAAGTGGTACCATTAAATTATAATATAATAAAACAAAGAACTCAATTTTTGCCTGGCTTGAGTTATAGAAGTTCAACTGCATTTGCACACATTTTTCTAGGTTTCTGATTTACTTTCTTTGATTTCTAAAACTGATTTTTGTTTGGAGCACAAACAAAATTCACAGAACTCAAACTCATCTCTAGAACTAAGCTTATTATAAATTGCACAATCATAAAAATGAGTTCTTTCCAATTAACACTTACATATAAGCCTTTTGTATAATTGGTAAATGGGCACGGTAATTGCTACTCTTAAAATCATTATACAGCCACATTAAGCAGTGAAACAATGTTTTAAAAGGAAATTCAACCCAGTCGTTGCAGTATACAATGCATTTCCATTTATATAACTCTGTAATTTCTGTTTCTTATTATTTTAAATTTTCTTAATTGGTATTACTTAACATTATCCTAATTGGTGTGCATTTGGGAATTAAAATTCCACATGAAGTGCAGTCGTTTCACTAATTACTTTTATAATTGCAATTTGAAACCATTGTACTTGAAGTAGGACCTACATATTTAAATAATGGAATACTGATGGATTTTTGGGACATCCTTTAAATACCTGTGCACACACACAAACACACACTCACACATTTGTGTTCGCCAAATGGTTGAAAGTTTTCATTTGATTGAGAGAATTTGCAAATAGAACTTGGAGCTGCAAGATGCATTCGCATACCTGATTGCAATGCAAATTTGATGCTGCGGCTGCCGGAAGACGATTCCTGGCATTTTTACAGCTGCCGCATCATAGGTATATTGAGACAGCAAAGGCTTGGAAAGAGTTTAAGTGTTTTGAATGCCATTTGTTTGGGCAGCTTGTTGTTTACGAATGGATAGCCTCTAAATGAATTGAATATTTACCTTAGTCTATAAACTAATTTAGTTGGTAGCAAATGTCGAAACGCAATTGAAAGCCATTGAAATGGCATATATAAAGCTTATTGTTAACTGTGTACATAGAATGGATAAGCGTATTAAGCTAGTTACTTCTATTGTAGACTTAAGCCAGGCCCACCAGTGTCCCATTAACCCTGACCCCCTGACCCGCTGACCCCCTAACTCCCTGACCCCCAGACCCTTTGGCCCATTGTCTCCACAAAAAAAAAGAGAAAAAGCTCACCAGCCACCATATAACAGTGCACCCAAAAAAATCAGACCGTGTTTTGTCCCCAACTCGGCTAATCAGAGTTTTGTTTATTTGTTTCATTAACGAATTGCTTGAAATATCTGCCAACTCAAACCACACAACAACAACAACAACAACATCGACACAACCATAAAAACCACAACACTGCTCACAACAACAAACACCTCCAGTCGAGTTCCCAGGCCAGAAGCAGCGGTCACGATGAGCTGGGCAATCTGCTCTGGCAGCAGGATTCGTGCGAGTTCCTGGAGCAATATGCTCCCACCCTCGCGGGCGGGGATTGTCCAGTGCCGCCCCTGCGCCACTGCCACGCCCCCGGCCATGGGCACCATGCCACGATGACGCGTCGCAATGCGGACCTCTTCAGCGGGGACCTCGGCATCCCCGAGATCAGCACGCACGTGGGCAGTGTGGTGCACACCTTCGAAACGCTGGCCCTGCAGCGGCGCCTGGCGGAGGAGGAGGATCGCCATGCGGACCGGGAGCTGAGTAAGTATGAGCAGGGCACCTCGGGCGGCACCTCTGGCACCAGGTACAGCCAGCTGAAGCGCCGCTCGCAGGAGATGCGCCAGCGGCTGGTGCAGCAATTGCACCGCCAGCGCTTGCAGCAGCAGCAGCAGCAACACCTGCAGCAGCACCAGCAGCAACACCAGCAACATCAGCAAAAAACACGCTCACGAACACAGTCGCAGCCGCAAAAGCAGCAATCCTTGCACGAGGGGGTCCTCACGAACAGCTGCAGCACCCAAACACTGGCCACCTCCGGCCACCTTTGGCAGCCATCCCGCGAGCAACTGCAGCAGTCCACCTTCGAGGACTATCGCAAGAATCTGTTTGGCACCCTGCGCAAACATGCCAGCCTGGAGGACAATGAGGAGATGCAGGACGAGTCCTTCATTGTGAATGCGGCCTTCGATGAGATCTTCTCCTGCTACGATGACGGGAACGAGAACGAGGACGAGAAGGGCACACAAACGCAAACGCAGACCAACACCGATGATCTCTTCGAGGACGAGCACATGCTGGTGAGCCTCAGCGAACTGGATGACGAGGTGTTCGCCAGTCGGGCGCAGACGGCCTCGACCACACCCACGGCCATGAGTGTGGGGGCGGGGCGTACGCCCAAGCACAGCACTCCGCAGTTGAATCTTAACAAGTATCCCGCTCCATCGCCACCCCGTTCCCGCACTTTGACCAATCTCTTCGAGCGTTTGAAGTCGCAGGATCACAAGGCGCTGCAGAAATATCCTGGCGATGCGACGCTTAACCAGACTCCAGAGGACTTCAATCGAGGCTCCACCGTCAGCAAGTCCTTTGTGCAGCAGCTGAGGAAGCCCTCGCACAAGCAGAAGCGCGCGCCAAGGCCACCGCCTAAGCCGCAGTCCCGCTCCCAGGTGGCCATTGCCCATGTGACACCCTTGCGAAAGGCCCTGATCTTCCCCAAGCGATCCAAGTCCTCCAGCGAACTACTACTCGACGATCTGAGCGTGCAGGCGCGTAAGTATCAGCGCAGGATGGAGCTGGGTTCGGCGCTTTAAACAGGATCCATGGGCACCCAGTTATGCACCTGTTCTCTCACCTGTTGACCAAGTTGATTGCCCCCATGTCCAGCTAGATATTTAAATCCGATTCTTTTCATATTTCCGTTTACCCAGAGGCAACGCTTTTGTAGACTAAGTGACCCCATGACCCGACCCCTACCTTTGACTCTGATCAAGACCCCCAAACCGAACCCCAAGTGGAAGTGGAAGTGCAGCTATCCCGCCGCCATAATGGAAGACAAAGATACGAATACGACCCGATGCAAACCCAAAGAGAATTGAGCCATACGAGAGGAATAGCACCCGAAGATCTAAACTAATTTCGTAGTTAACCCGTAACTAAATTAAGCCAAGTACGATACATTACTCGAAATGCATGAAAATCAAATCAAAAGATGACTAACCATATTTATATATATACAAGCATATATAAATATACATAAACATTATTGTACAAATAGGATCGAATGGAAATCAAACAACAACTTATGTGCTCTCAACCTAGTTATTAACGAGTACAAGTTTGTCTCTTCAATTATTATTTAATTTCATCAAAGATTATACCATACAATCCCGATATACATCTATACACTATTCGGATATATATAGCATATAACTGCGTCACTTGTTGTAACTTGTAGGATAATTGCAAAATCAAAGCAAATGTAAACCAATTACAAGACGAAACATTACTAACTCTTACCTGCATGCAATAAAACATTTGAAAAAGCAAATTTCTTCATGTGTGTGTTTTCTTTCTGTGGAACAGAGGTTAAAAAGGTAGACTTTTAGCGTTCATTATACGGAATTAAAAGTAGAATTAGAAGTGGAAAATTAATCCAATTAAGTCTGACAATGTCTTCACAAACAAATGGTTTGCTAAGCATAAGATTAATTTAGGGAGCATTTAGACGTAAAACAAGTAGAACGAAAATCAAACCAGGATTGTATAAGTTATGGTAGATCATGGGTTTCGAACAGTCCAGTAGGCATTGGATGGGCGCAGCAGAAGCTTGTAAAGCCGTATAGCCGGACGTCCCATTATGGGACTAAAGTTCTGCCGAGCAAAGTTCCACTTTAGCAGGAAGACAATGCTAAGAAAAGGGAATTAGCTTGTTCGTCTGGAATGGTACGTAAGCAAATAGAACTCACAAGCGCTCCGGGCCGCAAACATCAGAAGAGCAGTCCTCGTATGACTCCCATGATTCTCCCGCTGGCAAGCGTGCTATCTCCTGCTCCCACAAAGACCAACTGTAGCGAGCGGTGTCCTGCTCTTTTCCCCAAGTGAGGTAAGCCGTGGGACTCTGCAGGATGAACCGCTGCGCCTGATAGGTGCGCGTGGTCATGTCCACAAACTCCATCACGAAGAGTAGCTCGTGGTCGCGCGAATGAGTCAACGCGTACAGCTTGTCGGTGCCCAGGAAGTACTCCCCATCAGCGATGCTGTTGTAGCCATCGCGGAATTCCTTCGCCGAGCGCTGCGTGCCATTAAATCGCTGCAGCACCAATGTCCAGCCTCCTTCGTCGAGTGCCTGTTCGCAGAAGACATCGAACGGACGACTGCCCTCCTCCAGTTGGATGCGGGTGTACCCGTACTTGTCGGTCAGGGCACAGTTACGCAGAATGGCCCCCGAGCTATCCGCCAGTTTCTCCGTGGCATTGGTCAGGCGGCTTAGAACCTCTGTCTGCTGCTCAACCTTCTCCTTTAAACTGCGCACTGCACTGGACACTGCCGCCGAGTTGCCACTGTCAGAAACAGATGTCTTAATTAGAATACCATTTTACTATAATATAAGATAAGTTCTTACCTTGGCAGTTTAACGTGAACTCCACGCGTCTGCCTGTGTAAAGAGTGGCTGCCTTCAGCAATCAGCATCACCAGGATGACAACCAGCATCGCTTTAAATCGGAACATCTTGTCGGTTTGAGAATAGGAACGGTTGTGAGCTGCAAGCATCACCTGGGCATTGAAGGAGGCTCCCAAAACCACTGATTAGACTGTATAGATAGCGCTCACCTTGACCGCGACTCAGAGTGCACTGGCCAAAATCGGCGTCTCCAGCTTATCATTGTGACGCCTCTCGTGCTTTCGGAGCTGCCCCGTCCGACTAAAGGTCATCTCGCCGGTGTGAATGCGCTCGTGACTCCGGTTCCAGTGGACGCAGGCGTAGGAGCACACCCCAGATGGTGCAGGAGCACTAAGGGTACTTTTCTGCGATCCAGGATTGAAGCAGCTGTGGTTTTGAAAACCACGAGTTCTTTATAAAACCCGCTGCACTACTTACAATCGCATATGGTAACAGGGTCATGGCCTTCTTTAATGTGCCGGAAGTGTCAAAATTCTGGCAACTAGCCTCGAAACTTCAGTGAGTTTTTCAGGCAATCCTCTCCAGCTGATTTCCTTCTCTGGCAAGGGTTCTGTAATGTCTGAAAGTGGACAGAACCATCATCCAGCAGTTCTGGCCACGATGCGCAGCTTGTTGGATCACTCCAGACACTAGAACTTTGGGTGCACATCTCTGGAGTCAAACTATCAGTTAATAATTATTGAATTAGCAAAGCAATAGTTAAAATATTTCGTCAAATAACCAACTTTAATGACTCCAACGATTTAATGAGATATATAAATTGTAAATGAATTTAACGAACATTTCAATTCGGACAGCGGAATTGAATATTGGCCAGCGTTATCGATAACAAGTTCTGCCGATAACTAAATACGGCAGTCTAACAGCTGTTTACACTGTGCTACAAATACGACACCTGCCGGCCCTAACATTTACAGTAGTTTTTCCATTCTAATAAAATTGTTTTGCATTAACATTTTGTTATCTTATGTATAATATAATATGTATAATAGTTTGTAAAAAAATAAGTACTTAAACTTATGCATCGCTATTCCTGGCTTATATAACTAACAAATTATTATCAATTAATTTTTAAATTTCCCGCGCATTTGTTTTCTCGTCCAACGGAAGTTTAGTATTTTTGTTGAAATATACCGTATGATTTCTTTGAGAAAGCGTAAGAATTTAGTGGGAAACCCCGATTTCAACAGACGGTTACACTGCGGGCCATTGGGTTTTTGTGTCGGAGCTTTGACGTTGATTAAATCGTCCTTCTAGTGAATTTTTCAGAAATTTTGAATGAAAAAAATGGCAGCCCCGAAGGCAGTCGCAGGTGCCCAGGTAAAAATCAAATCAATAGAAGCCCCTAAGAAAACCAAGACAAACCCGAAAAAAATCGAAATGTTGCAGTTGCCGGAGGGAAAAGGAACCTGTGTCCTTTGCGCAGCCGTGGCGGCTAGAGTTTGCCAGCGCTGCGGGGACTTCTACTGCGCCAAAGACTGCCAGCTGAAGGACTGGCCACGTCATCGCTATATCTGCTTCCCGCTGCCCGCTCTGGTCCACCCCAAATCTTATTCGGTGCACTTGACGAGCGAGGAGTTATCGCTGGAGGAAGCATGTGCGGTGGTTAATACTGATAAAACCGTAGTAGGGGCATCTCCATCTCCAGCCCCCTTTCCAACCATAATTCCTGATATTAGGAGCTTTGATATAGGCAGTAACGTCAATACCACCCGCTCCATTGCTCCCAAAGGCAATCTTACTACACCGAATCCCACTCCCATCCCAATCAACAATAACGCCTCAAATATCAGCGGCATCAAAACGAAAAACAAAAATAATTCACCACCAAATGCGATCATGCCGCCCAGCAATAGTCTGGTGTGCATCACTGGATTCCGATCCGCGAATCGATGCAACATACGCGATGCCAGCGAAATTGCTGACAGGGCATTTGCCCAAGTGTGCGAGAAGGTATTGTATACAAATACAGTCAATTTTCATTCACCCGAACTTTCCATAAGTAAAATCTTTGCAAAAACACGTAGTTTATGGCAAGTTCTTGATGGAACGTATATTTCTGGTTTCAGAGCTTCTTAAAAAATTCAATATCTATCCATACTTAATACAAAATACTTACATATCACCCCTTGATCTCATAGAATATAAAATGGCCTTCATTAAACTTCAAAATTTTCTTTACAAATTAAAGGATTAAAAACTTGTACGCCCTATTTGGTTTTTTTCATAACTCGTAATGCTCAATCAAGTGAACCTTAATATTTGCAATTTTAAATTATTTAAAAACTACTTTGGAGAAAGTTCGTTGTTAGGGAACATTTCTGATGAGTATTCTTATGAAACACATTTTGCACTCTTCGCAGGTTAATGCCATTGGAAATGAGTTGCCCAATATGGTAAAGCCACGTCCTGGTCTCTGCCTAGCTCGTCACAATGGAATGTTTCAGCGTGCCAGGGTGATGAACTTCCTATCCAATAACAGTGCTCGCCTTTTGTTCATCGATCAAGGAATCACAAAGTCAAGAACAGTTTCGGATATGCGGGAGATTAACATGGAACTGGTCTCGCTTCCCTGTTTAAGTCTGCTGGTTCAGCTTAAGGATGTGCCAAACTATGCCATCACCGACGAAGTCATCGCCTTCGTCTCTCAATTTGAAGGTGAAAAGTTTATTGCAATTCACGAAAAAACCCCAGGATGCATCTATGTGGAACTGCTGTATCCGGATACAAAACAGTCTCTTAATGCAAAGATACGAGATTTCTGTTCCAATAGAAAGGTGTATGAAACCCATAATTCTTTTAACAACAAAAAGAATGAAGTGCCAAAGCAGCAGAATTCCCCAACTGGACAGGAATCCACTATAACGAAACAATCGATTCCTAATGCACCAATAGTTCAGTCTCAAGCTACAGCTGTTGTGCACCAGCAACTTGTAAAAAATATTGAACCTGACGCAAAAGTTCTGGGCCAATCAGAGAATTTAAGTAAGGATATCAAAGAACAGGATTTTAAAAAAATGCTGCCTTTCATAGACTCAAAGAATAAGGCAACAAGTCTGCCTAATTCCACATCTGGGCGGGAATCAACGTTTTTTGACTCATTTATTAATAACCCAAAAAAATCAGAAGGAAAAACAATGATTCCGTATTTCTCTATTGACCAAGAGACTAGTCAAACTAAGAAGCAACAAAAATCAGATCCTCGACCAGGAGAAATAGAGCTTCAGAATTTCTTAAGAGACCTAGAGGCTAGTAATGCAAAGATGCGAGATGCCGCTGGACAGAAATTTGCTGAGCCTAATCACACTAAAACCGTTTCTGAAGTCTGCAAAAATTATCCACCAAAAGAAGAGTCTCAGGAATCCTTGAAAAAACTGGACGCCGAAGTTAAAAATCAAGAAGAAACAATCCTTGCCGTTGCGCAGGAATTTTCGCGATCTAATCTTATTAAAACTATTTCTGAAGTCTGTAAAAATGATCCACCAAAAACTGAGTCTCCAACATCAGATATTGTGTCCCAGGAACCCTTAAAACCCTTAACACTGAATGCTGAAATTAAGAATCAAGAAGAAAGAATTCCTACCGCTGAGGATAATGTAAAGGCCGATGATCCAACTGAACAGTTCAGCGAGTTTTTCCGCTCATTTGTGAATAAAAACGATATTCAAGAACAGGATATAAAAAAACTGAGTCCAAGAGAAATATTGGCGGAATTTCTACGTTGTAAAGGATTAAAGGATGTGAAAGATTCAAATATATCCGAGGTTACCCAGGAAACTCATTTAAATCTTGAAAAGGACAAAAAACCTGAAGAAACTAAAGCTGAAGAAATTAAATTTATTAAAGACGAACCCAACACAAAAAAACTTGCTCTTGATTCGCAAGATAATGCGTTGCCTGGAAAAGATGTAGAACTAATTTCCGCTCATCAAGAAATCAAAACAGCTCCTCGAACTTTAGCAAAATCTAAAGATGAAGAAGTCAAAGAATTTTTAACACAATGCTTAGTTTCAAAAACTACTTCAACAAGTGATAAAGCCATTCCCTTGGGATTGCCACAACTTAAGGAAAAATTGGATTTGCTGTCTATCTCAAGAAATAATCCGCAAGTTAATGGGATAGTAAAGCCCAAAAACGAACCATTGCTGAAACCTGTAAGTATATTCAAGTATTTCTTTTTAGAAACCAAAATTAAAAAAAAAAAATGTTCCTCTTTTTAGCCCTTTGAGCTACGTCGCTTTTCAATCCAAAGTAAGGAAGGTATCGATGTATTCGTTGTGGATAATTCGAAAATGGCTCGCGGTATTTTTGGGGCATTTGACAGCACCTACGCCTGTGAGTTTTCCACCTTGCATTCTCGCCTGTCGGAAATTACCAATTCGGAGCCGTACAAACCAGTGTAATTATTTTGTTTATTTATTTCCTGTTAATTTGTGTTGATCCCTTTAATTCCATTTTTGACAGCGCAAGAGAATATGTGCTCGCCAGATTCGAGGGATTGTGGTATCGTGGCAGAGTGGAGCAGATTATAACTACCAAGCAGTCGCAGACTGAGTGTCGTGTGATGTACCTGGATTACACCAATGTGGAGGATATAACCGAGAAGGACATTCGTCGCTATCCATTGGACTTCACAACTCCCTGTAACACAAACCTTTGCGTGATTGAAGGTTTGTATTACTTCAACTTAAATTAAGATTTATATGTAATATCTATGGTACTTACAGACTTTCCACATAAGCCGAATCCAGCACAGATTTCTTATTTATCGGAGGTGCTGAAGGTTCACCAAATAGTTCATATTGATGGTATTAACTATCTGAACAACATAGCCATTGTAACAGCCCGATCCCTTATCGCCAAACTGATGAGTTTGTAACCAGAAAAATGCATTTTGTGTTTCCGCAGCTCGAAATATTTTTTTGAACAAAAGATGGCACTACTAGTGCCACTTGTTATTCCCAAATAAGCCAAATAAGCATTACGTTTGAAATCATTTTAAAAACATTTATATATAAATAAAATTCAATTAAATAACAACGTTAAAAGCTGTTAATAGACAATTATTGTTCCCTAGCTATAGCTGCCGTTGATTCACGTTTTTTACATTAGAAATTACACACAACAGGGTTACAACAGATTGAAAAGACACGCACAATTGGGTTTAGTTGGTTTTGTTTTCGTTTCTCGAATGTTAAATATGATAGAGAAAGCTGGTCTACAACGACAAAGGCACTGTTTGGTGTGGATTAAAGACTGGCTCCAGACTGTCTTAGACATTCTTCTTCATCGTCATCTCGTGGGCGGTGCGCAGACGTCGTCGCAGTTCGTTGGGGAATCGCTCATAACACTTTTTGCACACCGGCTTCTCGTCATACTCGTAGAACTTGGACTTCTGTGTCATTTTCGTGTCGCACACGGAGCAGGCAAAGTGGTGAACACACCAGGCCTTGTTCAGGGCAGTGAAAACTGTTCAATATAAGAAAAGAATTGCATTAGAACACACACAAACTAAATAGATTCACTCACCATCGCCTCCAATGACCTGGTTGCATACGAAGCACAGGTTGCCAAAGAGCTGATGGTAATGCGTCTCGCAGTAGGCCAATCCCCTCTTCTCGTAGTGCCGGTGGCCCAGGAAGGGCTTCTCGCACTTGGCGCACACGAAGTGCTCCACATGCCAGTGCTTGCCCAGCGCTGTGACCACTCGCTCCTCAATTGGCCGACGACAAGCGCCACAGATGGGAATGCCCATTTTATCATGGCAACGCAGACAATACAGTTCGTTCTGTTATGGAATATGTAAACAACAAATATTGTTAATAATGTACATTTGTTGTTAAATGGTTTGTGAACTTAAGTCAACTTCAAATGATAGGAACTAGTATCAGATAATGCTCTGGATTTTTCAACCCAAAACCCACCATATCGTTGGCGGCCAATCCTGGTCGGCTCTTAACCTCTCGAGCCGTGGAATCCAGCTCAGTGCCGCAGGCCGTGCAACTGAAGTGATAGCCGTGGTACACTTCTCCGCGGAATCGCAATGGCTCCTCGTCGATGAGGCCACTGAAAAGTAGAGAACCACCACCATCAACCACATGAATCAGCACACGTTTCCAAGCCAAAAAGCCTCAAAACTTACTGGCATTTTTGGCATACATAGCGGCCGGTGATCTCCGCCTTCACCTTGGCATTGCACTCGTGGCACAGGGCGCGGTTCTGGTTCTTGATGAAACCGCAGTCGGCCAGCTCCTTGGCACACAGTTGGCAGCGGAAGCACTGCGGATGCCAGCTGGCTGACATGGCCTTGATGACCCGCCCGATGACGAACTCGCCGCATTTGTTGCAGCAGGGCGCAAACAGCACGTGGAAGTCGCGTTCGCAATACTTGCGGCCCTCGAACTCGTAGAAAATTCCATCCTGGAAGGGTCGGAAGCACTGAGCACATCTGAAAAACAATTTAGCATGAGTAGATGATTTGCGAATGAAACAGCCTCTCCTTCTATGTTTGCAAGTCAAAAAAGGGACTGATAAAAACTTAAATAAACGAGCTTTGTATAAATCATGAACGTTTTTTAGCTGCGATGATGAATTCTTATCGAGAATGACGACATTCATCAAAAATTTTAAAAATTATATTATACATTTATTACACATAAATATATTGAATATACACTTATATTGAAATTTTATGTTTTCTTTAATGCAAAAAATTTCAATAATCATTACTCTAACTCAAAACGTTTGCTGAAGCTAAACTTTTGAATACAACTAAAAAGATAAAACATCTTTCGAACTAAAAAAAAAGTTTCCGAAAATTTAAGGACACCCTAAACAAATAATTTCCTAAATTTCCTTTGCGCTGAGCTTGTAGAATTTTTCACATTTATACAGTTTATACTTACACAAAGCACTGTGTGTGCCAGAGTTCTCCATTGGAGTTGACGATCTTCTCGGTGGGTTCGAATCCATCGGCGCATCGTGTGCAATGCATTGCACTTAGCGACATGTTTGCTGCCTGGACTCTGCAAAGTCAGAAGAAGATCGTTATTAGTTGGGGGTAAAGCAATGGCGTTTAGAAGCCTTTACACTTCAGCCTTGGAGTACATCATGATTATAGCTTTTATAGCGCGAAGGAGCACAACTTTAGGGTAGGGCGTGAAGCGAGAAACTGGACAAAACAATGAGACTTATCGCTTTGCCGGCTCTGTTGACGTTGGCTGAATCATATTTCCATCGAATGCCCAGCGAAAGAGCTTTCTGGCATTCCTTGGATTTGTAGCTTTCGTTACAGCGAGTGTCGCATGGCAGTTGGATATCAAGCGTTAAAAAGTGCGGATGTGATGACTTCAGTGATGGGTAAGATATCAGTTTTAAACAGGTTCTGTGCACTTTATATATTTATATCGTCGCAAAAAGATTGCTTTATTTATCTACTTCATAGCCGGCTTGGTTTAAGTCATTTAAACAATGGTGTAAATGGTGGTGGTCTTAAGAACACAAAGTTGAAAATAGCTTAAAAGCTGAAATAATGAATCTTTTATTGAAGTTGCAATAACTATCATATTTGATCGACTGCTGATTTCTAAACTCGGTAAGTGTTTTCGAATTTATCAACCATATTCACTGTTGGACATTGGAAAAATCTTACTGAATTTTAAAAGTATAAATTATGTTTACCCGATGTTTAAAGTTCCTAAAACAATGTGCTTGCTTTTAAGAGCTTACATTAAGATAAATCCCTTAATTATAAATACAAATCATTTCCTTGGTGAAACTAAGGTTAACACTACTGTTTTAATCAATGAAATGGTTTAGAAATTCTAGCAACAAATTCAAATTTGGATTTGCCTCCAACACGAATATCGCCCACATAATCTCAATCAAATCGACACACACAGACGCACAAACAAATAGTAAACAACACACGAACACGGCGCACACTCACACAATCGCTCAAGTGGCGGCGTTTAAAAATAAATTTGAATGTTGCCATGACGTCACCGATGGAGTAAACATCTGGCAGGAAAATTGCATTCCATAGGGCTCTAATTCGCCCGCATGGCTTGCAGAGGGTTAAGGTTGGATGAGGGCATGATATACGCATTATTAGCCTTTAATGGTTACTGATTCTAGCAACTAGCACAATGCGGGTTTATGCGAATGTGAAACGATGATTTTTGGCCTGCCAAATGATGCAATAAATGGGCGTTTTAGGCCCAAGGACGTTTGGAAAGTGGGGCGGGACAATCTGCTTACTGCACGGGCGGCATTCTGTGGCCTTTCTTTTTTTTCTGTTACTCTCGACTGGCTTTCACTTGCGATTGGCACCTGTTGCACCTAGTCTACGACTTTTTCGGATCACGACGAGCGAAACACTGCAAAAACATAAAAATGATCAATCTGTGTCTTCTGGCTATTGGCGGTGTCAGTTGGGCGGGTTTCTAGCTAGATCCGGTTGATTTCCAGCAGAGAGGACAGGCTGCGCATCACTGCCGCAACACAAAAACAACAATGGGCCGTGCCAAAATAGGCGCAACACAAGAATTTCACCCATTTCACTTGCTAATTTCACATTTTAAGGACTCCAATTCACACAAGGGGCCATCTTTACCTTCTAAGAACGCTTTTTAATTAAAGCCACTTCGCGATGGCAATTAATTTCACTTCATTTAATTAACAGCTTCCGTGGAAAAAGACGCAGAAAAACCAAGTATATTTTGATACTAAAAAATCCCAATAAATACCTGCCTATCGATAGCGCTATCAGTTTGTGTGGAAGGTAGCCCTGAAAAACCAATCGATTTGCTGCTATTGAGCGCCAATTTGAAAATTATTATCTACTAAACACATTGCGATTAGTCCAAATAACCAAAATACATTTGTTAAAGAATTTTACGATTTACGGCGCCACACTTATCGCCTTGTGGCATTTTTGCTTCTTTGTTTCACCTTCTTATCAGTTGCTGGCCAACTGCTGTTCTTCTTAGAAAATGTTTCGTAACGCGGTCTTATCAGCGAAACTACCTTTTACTTATACCTTCATGTACTATTTGTTTATAAACAAGCTCCGTTCACATGTTAATTAAAACTGTATCAGGAAAACTCCTTTGACATTGAATTGTCAAATGTTTCTTGGCATAAAGAAAAACATGAATCAGAATGCAATATTGACATTTTTTAGTGCTATCTTTAGAACCTATGTACAAATAACAAAATCAACCACATCAATGCCAGTATACAATATTATTTAACAATTATTGAAAAGAAAAATACAAAACTTAATTTTGATAAAAATAAAACTAGTTTTCTCTCTTAAAAGTAATTATTTTTCAATAGCATTTTGAAATGGTAAAAAAAAACTACGAAATTCCTCAATAAATATAGTTTTCTTAAATAGGAAAATATCTTTAGCCGTTGTTTAAATAGAAAACTGAAGTGGTCAAAACATCAAAGACTTAAAGTTAAAAGAACTTTTCCTAACATTTTAATTAGTTTTTGCCGAGTTTTCGTTTTGATGGATCTTAGTAGGTTCATGTAAATGCATTCATTATTCGTTTGTTTTAATTGTTTCTCCGAACAATTGCGTTCGTCTGTAATTGTTTGCTCCAAACTTCCGGCTTGCGGGTGTGAGGGTCATATTTTCGTAACACCCCTCGCCGACTTCCGCAATGTGAAATGAGATAAAACTTCCAGCTGCAGTTTCGGTTTTTGCCTTATTTTTCATTTGCTTTATTCATTATATCTCGCTTTATGGAGCGCTGTCCCGTTAAAACGGGTTGCCAGGCGAATCGATCAGCGCTCTTTGTTTATCAATCTCACTCTTTTGTCAGTCGCCTTTATTTATTATTATAAAATGAGTTTTTTTCCAGCATAACGAAAACAAACAAGGTGGCCGGCAAGGCCGCAGGGTGTGCGAACGAGATGGCAGAACAACAATCGCCATAAGAACAGCATTGGATCCACTTCCCATATCATATTGATAGCATCCACACCACTTAAAGAAAAGAACAAATCACTAATAAATCAAATATTTAGTTAATCTGTTATTACCTTTCGTTTTGTGTATAATGTTTCATCAAAAATAATTAAAATTTATTTTGTTACAAAATATATAAAATATTGCAATTTTTTATTTCTCTGTTAAACAATTAAAATTGTTCTTATTTTAATATATTGTTTTAATATTAAAATCTTAACATCTAGTCTCAAAGTAATAAATAGAAAATCCATAAAAAAAAATTGTTTTTTTTTCTCTGCACATTGTCACATGGTTGGAAAATGGTGGTGGAAAGGGAGTGGGCTGGTGGAACCTGGAAACCGGGCGGCTTCGAGACTTTCGGCACGTAGCAACGCGTAGCTGTAAGTTTATTACGCATGTTTTTATGCTGTTGTTTACCAAAAATTCGCCAAGGCAGCCCAGACCAGCCCAACCCCCAACCCCAAAAGCAATGAAAATGTGACTCGGGCGTATGAGCAACATGTTAAAACATATGGAAATCGGTGTGGAATGTGGAAACTACAAGCGGATGCAGATGCAGTTGCAGTGGGTGTCTAAAAATAAATTCAATTATGCTCACTATTATTGCAGCTGGTTTCCAAAGCCGGCAAACCAGATGGACAACTAGTACCAGTGCTTGCAGTGGTAGAAGCGGAATATTTTCCAAAGGGGTTGGTGAAAAAAAAATTGAAACTTATAAATATTAGATGAATAAATGTAAATAAAGATACACATATTTAATGCATACAGTTTTTCCAAGTGAAATATACACTTTCAATAAGTTTAATGACATCAAGTCATCAAGATAAATATCAATCTAATCTTATCAAAATTCTGTTTACAAAAAGTTTTCGAAATCAACTTTATTATCTCTCTATAGAGATTAGAAATAAAGTATCAGTTATTATTAAATTGAAAATGTTTAAGAATAGATGTATTGTTTTGATAGTTTTTTTGTATGTGGACTTTATAATCCATTTAATCAAATGCTATCTTAAAGATTAGCTAATTTAGTATTCACAATTATATTATACACTAAATCTGCTCAGAATAGATATTTTGACCCCATTGTAAAGAGAGTACTTGGCCCCAAGGACCCGCCCTCTTTTATACGCCCCTGTAGACATGAGTGGGTTTCTCTTGGAGTTGCACAAACCCATTGCAGCTGCATGGAAAGCTCAGAATCGGAGCTTCCAAGCTCGTCCATTCATCTTTTTTGTCGATTTCTAAGCGAGCTTGGAACAACAATTTCAAATATGCGGTCGCGCGTTGCATAAAAACGCAATTATAGCTCTGACCGCGTCCGCATTGCATTTGGGCCCTGTCTTTATCGCCATTTGTTGTTTATCGTTATTGCTCGGGCGAGCTTATCAAGAAATTTCGAAACACGAATCCACCTTGCGGGGGATTTTACTTGAACTGAAACGGTTTACCTCGGCACGTGAATACAATCAAAAAATTCCGCTGCCTCAAGAAGATACAGTCTGACCTCCATAAATCAAACTACTTAAAAACAAACATGATTTAAAAACAGCTTTGTGTACTGTAAAATAAATAAATGGGTTACATTTGGAAAGAATTTATTTTTTTATTTTAGTAAGGAAAAAAACCCATCTTGTTGAAAAGACCATATTATCAATTTAATTAAGTCCCGAAAAATAAATCTTAATGGTATTTGAGGTTTCTTAATTATGCGAATTCATTTTATCATGAGTTCACTGAAAGCATACTGTAAAAAATTCAATTTGAGGTGCGTGGGCGCCGGAAGAAGGGAAAAAACCGGGGGAGAGAGTGCAATCCGGTTCCCGTGGGTAGCTGTAGATTATTTGGAGCGTTGGCACCGGCAGATACAAAAAAGTAAAAATTAATCACTCGAAAGCAATTTTCCCGCCTGCCAAAGTTTGCATTTCATATGCAGTCCGAAGCCAAAAGGCAAATAAATACATTCAATTGTTGGCAACGCGTCACCATTTTCGGCGCTTGGCAACAGCGAACTTCAAACAAAGGCGGACGGCGAAAACGTTGGACAATTAAAACCGAAAGCCAAAACAAAATCTGTGTGCATATATATATATATTCGAGTGAGGTGAGGTGGTGTCCCCACACAAATGCAGTGCCGGCGACCTGTTGTCGCCACGGTGCGATCGTTAAGTTTTATCTTTCGGACTTGTTACCAAAGTTCATTACCAGAATAGCCTGTAGTTTAGTCTGTTCCCCGGCATTCTATTTTTGACACCAGCTAACACAATCAACAGGGGTTGTTAAACTAAAAGCATTTTAATATTATTATAAAGTGGACAACAAGTAGTTGGTTTACTATCAACTCAGAAATTAGGAAAATTGTTGCCAAAGTTGGAACTTTTAGAACTGTGCTAGGTTGACCCCAAAAAATTCCGATAACGAAAGAAGGTTGGCTTTTTATCAAGCTATTTTAAACTGTACGGGTTTACAACAAATTTAAAAGTAATATAAATGTTTGATCTGTTGTTTTCCAAAACAATTTATTTGTTGTCGTTTAGTTTAGATTTATGTTTGATTTTAAGACAGGTTCTCAAATCACAGAGAACAGAAATTAATACATTTCTTTTGTTTCACTTGTCTAAAACTACTTTACAAAACATGTTCTGTCGATTGTTGAACCCTTAAGATACAGGTGTTTTTAAGCTATCAACTCTACACCACCCAAACTCTTAGTTCCACCCACTCACGTGAAGGCAACCAAAAGCGTGTACAGCTGTCCGTTTGTTTTGCACTATGACAATGTCATTAGCACTCGAAATAAAGAATCGGGCACAAAGCAAAACAGCAGATAACTTGCGGATCGGATCGGCGAAACAACAAAAAATAGTATATGTGCTTAGTTAAAAATAAAACTATTTAGCCTTTGCGATGTCGTTGCCGTTGCCATAGTGACGTTAATTCGCCATGGAATGGCGGCTGAAATGCGAAAATATTGCAATCCCCGGAGTGCGCAAATAGTACCAGAGATTAGCTCAAAGATATATACTATACAGTCATCTGGGAGAGTCGTCAGCTGTGGGGAGATCGAGCATACTAATCGCATGTTAATTGATAACGACCACAACAAACTGGCAGTTAGTCAGGTGCAGCGCAACACTCTTGACTCTGACGTACATTATACAATACTGTTCGAACTGATTGACTGATAGAATGCTATTCCAGTACGATAAAGTAAGTATGCAAAATGAAAACAAACAAAAACCGGTTTAAGGCGGCGGAAAAACCCTTTGGGGGGAGTGTTTACCTCGTATCTCGTATAGGTAAGTCACATGACCTGAGCGATCCGGAATGGTCTAGATATTAAAAGATACAGCATATATGTACATCTGGGCGTTCTTCTGCCTTTTGCAAGGTTAACTTTAGGGCATAGACTATAGATCATACAGATTCAACAAGTGACACGCCTCATTAAAGTGAAGTAAACATTTTGATTAGTGTCTTGATTAACAATTGCTTTTATTCATTGTTTATATGTATGTATAAATTTTATTATTCTCTTATTGTTAAGTGTATTTTTGATGTATACTCGAATTTCAATTCTCATATATGTAGGCATAATTTTGTAATTTCAAAACCAATAAATAGCAACGGCGACCAAGATTAAAGTTAAAAGAAAACACTAGCTGTTCTTTTCAACTTCCTGACAGTACCAACTAAGTTAGGATAGATATATTTCGTTATGCTTCAAGTCTTTCGAATAGTTTCGCTTTTTCGATTAGTGGTTATGCATTGCATATACCATCGAACAGTTCGTTTTTAAATCGGCCATCTGGCTTTTTTTTTGCTCACTTACAACACAAATAAACCTTTTAGCTTTCTGATTAATTGCTGTTATCTATAGTTATTTATGTACATACACGATTTTTTTCACTTACAAGCAGGCGAAAGGCACTTGAACAAAGAAACAAACAAACAAACAAGCGACGAGTACGCCCAACTTACTACCATATGCACAAGCTATAGCCGTCTATATGTATATGCATGTGGCACTTACTAATGTAAGGTCTAAACTGCTGCATCGGAAACTTTAAAACGTGACATGAGCTCTCTATTCCTATGTACAACCTAGACGGACCTAGAGCCTACAAAAGCCTTACATATAGTATTTACATAGCGGGTAATATCAAAAAGCAGCCTATCAACTCAACTTAACACAATGGCATACATAAAAAGTGGGGCGGGTCAAATTTTTAGTTGACAATCTTTGGACAATTTTAAGAAAGGCTTTAGGGGAATTATTAGGTCTAAAATTCGTTTTTCTCTTACAAACTTTCATGGAAAATAACTGATTATAATGATAAGGTAGAAAATGATAAATATTCCACTTTGTTATTTGTACAAATTTTGAATGCTTATCTTTTAAAGAATAATTGTTAACTCTTCAGTAACCAATTAAACTACCAGACCTATACTTTTCCATGCAGTTCTCTTAAAATAGTTTTCTTCACTTTCAGTTTATCCTTGACCGCCCCTCTATAAATAAGGTCTAACTAATGACACGTCTGGGGGTATAATCCAACTCAGTTGCTCATTTGGAGGCCACCGCTGCTGCGGCTGCCCGTCGACGAGGAGCCCGTGAGTCCGAACTGCGAGACCAGCTTGTCGTAGTCCTCCAGCGAGGTCTCGAACTGCTCCAACTGCCGGGACAGGTCATCCATGGCGCTGGCATCGGCGGAACTGGTGGCAATCGCCGTTGCCGCTGCCGTGGGACCACATGCTGCTCCGCCGCCAGAGCCATTGGTTACCGGTGAGGTCGAGCAAACCGAGGAAATCTCTGCCTGCAGCTCATTGAGACCCTTGAGCGGCGGCGCATGATAGCATTCCCTGTAGAACTTGGCCAGATCGTTGACATGCGACGTGGGCGAGGCGAAGGGAAAGTGCAGCTCCTTGAGCAGATTATCATCATCGGGCGGCGGTTGTAGCGCCGGTTCCGAATGGTGACGATACGTGGTTGTGGCACTGGCGGGGATCAGCAGGCTCTTGATGGGCGACACCGAGTTGCCCGAGTTCTTTTCAAAACTCTTGAAGCCCGTGGAGTTATTGTTGAGATTGCTGCTCTGGTTGAATTTACTGTCCTGTGGATTGTTGTTGTTATTGCTACTGAGCACACTCGCGGTTGTATTGTTATCCAGGCGGTTGAGGGACTCCACAGAGCCGCGCCCACGTAGAAGCCACTCGAAGGGCGGTGTTTCGGGCAGCACAAAGTCATCCTCCGTGTACTGCTTTAGTTTGCCCATATCGGTGAAGGCCCCCGGACGCAGCGGCTTCTCGATGTCGATGAAGCGTCGATCTGCTGGGTTCTGGGCGGAATTAAGACCACCTAAGCCCAGCTTCTTGACCAACGCAATGCCATTGTGGAGCTGCTGCTGGTTGACCGGTGAACTGGCATCTGTGGCGGGCCTAAAGTGGTCCGATTTCAGCATGATGGTGTTGCTCTCCGCCTGCGCTGCCGTGGGCGAGATAGTCAACTTGGTGCGGTAGGCCACCGACATGACCAACGAGCCCACAATGGTGCTGAGCTGGCCGATCTTCACGTGCTTGTGGCCCTCGCCCAGGGTGTGGACCTGAGGCCTGTCCACGTAGATCCTGTAGAAGATGCCGTACGAGTCGGGACACTGGCGACGGGACAACTTGTAGGCGGGCGTGGTGCGGGTCAGCGAGATGAGGGACTTCAGCATGATGCCCATGCGGTTGTAGATGGCGTGGGCTGCCTTCAGCGTCTGACCCTCGGGGTTCAGGTCGTTTGTGGCCGGGGAGGAGCCGTTCTGGGGTGGGATTAGGTCCAGCGACCACACCTCAAGGACCATCTGGTCGCCCTCGGCGGTCTTCAGGGAGATTTCCACGCACAGCGGCAGGCGCTGCAGGATGCTCTCCCCGGTCTTCAGATTGAGGGCCCGCTTGGTCTCGTCCAGGACCTCCGGATGATCCTGGACGGCAATGTTGAACCAATCGCTGCCCGCCAGTGGATTGCACTGCGTCTGCATCTTCTCGCCCAGCCGGGATTGGACCACCACCTGGGTGGACTTCAAGACCAGGAACTTGATGAACTTCTCCAGATCCCGCTCCGCTGCATTCAGTCGTTGCGCCGACATTTCTTCGCTTTTTCTTTGTTTTTCCGTCTGTGTTTGTTGCGATTGTCTGTGTCCAAAGTTCGCTGTCTGCGACTTGGTTTTTTTCACTTTTCGATTTCCGCGTTTCGGTTGATCGCGATTCTTGCGTTTCAGCGTCGCGCACTTTGCCTTCTAGGCACTGCTAAACATAATCAAAACTTGCCCGGGCATTTTGCCAAAACACTGTCACTTGTGCACCGCCCTTTCACTGCGATTTCCGTGTTTTTGTTTGTACGTCAGATTTTTAATTACAGTAAGCGTCAGCGTTCGCCATAGAGGTGGTCGATGGCAATATCGATGAATCGATGTTTCCGAAATATCGGTCGTATCGATGTTTGGCAGATTATCGATGCCAACATCGACACATCGATGTGTATTCGTCTCTAACGATATTTTCTTGTCACTCACGCACGTCTGTGAGTGTAACTTGGCTATAACAGTGACAAGAAATATAGCTCAGTCCATCCAAGCAAGACGGAGCCACCATCCGCCTTCCTCCATCCACAGAGGGTATTTCCCCTCTTGCAAACTCTTTTCCATGTACTTTCTCCGGCTCCAAATAATCGGGACATTTATTCTTTGGTGCGAACATGGCATTTTCGTAGGTGTGGCAGCTGCATGGGAAAATACAAAGATCTGGCAACGCCACATGCCGAAGTGATACACGTCACGTACGCAGAGTGGCGGTTTAAATTTGAATTATATATGTTGAGATGCCAAGGACCAATTCAAATGAATTGCCTATTAAATATTACATGTCCATTGTGAAACTACAATCTAGAAGAAGGCTAGGAATCTCCGCCGCCCAACGCCTGCACATCCTCCCGGCAGAAATGCTCGCGATCCTTGGAGGTCAGGACATGTTTGGGCAGATACCGAAGAACGGAGGCGGGAACCTGTCCCAACATGGCCAACCGCTCCTGCTTGACACGCTCCTCCTGTTCGGCATCGGTCTTCGTCTTAGCATCGAAGTACTGGATATTTTCGGCGGTGGCCTCCGCGCGTTTCCGCTGGTTATCCTCGATCATGGCCAGCAAGGTGGCCCCATGGGCCCTGCGCCTGCGGTAGTCCTCCAGCTGCTTCTCCGCCTCCTGACTGCTCACATCCGGCGCCTCCTGCTGCTGCGTGGCCAACTCCATCCGCTTGAGCTGCATCTGGGCCATCTTGCGGTGCTCCACCTCCTGGCGGTAGCGATCCAACTCTTGTCTGGTGCGCCGACGTGACAACTGCTCCTGCTGCAGCTGCTGGCGGAATCGCTCGTCACTCTTGGCCGTGTATTCCGCCTCCAGCAGATCCAGCAGCAGATTGTCCCGATGGCGTTTTTTATTCTGCAAAAAAATGGGATGAGTGTCTAATGATGATGGACTTTCCATGACTCACCTCTATCTCCAGAACCTGCTGACCCAGGCGGATGCTAATCTCCTGCTTCTTGCGCTGCACATCCTGGCGTTCCTCCTCCAACTGCAGCTTCCTTCGCTCGATTTCCGATTGCTTTTGGGCTAGGTCACCCAGCTCCTGGTTGTTCTGGGCCCGCTGCCACTCCCTGAGAGCCTGGTTCTCCTTGATGGACTGCAGCATGTCCTGGCGCTTCTGCAGCTTCTTCCGCTCAATTTCCAGCTGCTGGGCGCGATCCTCCTCTTGGATTTGCTTCTGTCTCAGCTGGCTGAGCTCGCGATCGTTCATCACCTGGGCGTGCTCCTGCTGGCGACGTCGCCGGTTCTCCTCCATTTGTTCTGCCAAGGATTCACGCAGGCGTCGCTGTTCCTCCTTCAAAGCGGCTTCCCTTTCGCGCTCCTTGGCTTCCAGCAGGCATCGCTCCTCGGCCACTTCCTGGGCCTCCACTTTCACGGACAGCTGTCGCTGGCGTTTCCGGTCCTCCAGACTCTCGGCTAGCTCCTTGGAAATGGCTGCTAGACGCAGTTGCTCCGCCAAAACCCTTAGTTCCTCGCAATCCCGTCGCAATTGCTGACGGCGTTTCTTCTCCACAAATTCCGCGTGCTTCATCTGCATCATTTCCTGCGTCATGGTCGCTTTCTCAATGAAATCCCTGGTCATTGGGTTCTCCTTGGACAGCTCCAGACTGCGATTCACCTTCTCCAGGTCGTTCTGCATCTTCTGGAAGAGCCGGGAGCTATAGAAGTCGTGCTCCAGGCGCAGCGACTGTGGCAACTTGAATTGCGGTTTTCCGATGCTGAAAATTCCGGAGTCCTCCTGGTCACGCCCATTTCTTGCGGTTGCCATGGTGGTTGCTATAGTCCAAACAGAAACCCAGCAAATCCAGGGGAACCAAAACAAAAAAAATAAAATAAACAACAGAATATTTTTGGGTAATAACTATGAGCACTTTGAAATCAAAGATTGCTAGCTACTTTTACAAACTCCATTGTGGTTTTAAGTCTGTTTATATATGTAAATATACAATTATCAGTATCTTGGATAATACAAATATTTAGCAACAGGTCCTTGTTAGCGTTCAACGGTGAATGGCAACCGCGACCAGGAATAGTATTTTATCATTCACTACGAAGCACTATGGGATCATTTAATATTTAAAAAGATCATTTTCTTTTAATTCAAATTTTCCTAATAAATAGAGGTTAATTTTAATTTTTCTTAAACATTTTTTTTTCAAAATCATTGTAAAAAATAGTTTTAAAAACAAATTACTTTTGAATAAAACAAAAAATATTTCATATAAATATGCCTTTCTCCTGCTTTACAGAACAAATCTCTCAGTGAAATTGAAATACAAGTTGTAAATTAAAATTTCTACTCTGTCATTAAATGACTATTATAATTTTTCTCAGAATTGTAGTTAACAAATGGATTTCAAAGTACAGGCGAACTTGTTAAATGCGAAATGTTCTCATTTGTTGAAGGCAGTCGGGAAGTATTTCTTGTCCTTCTCCACAATGGTCTCCAGCAGATCGTCGATGTCGGTGGTGGGGTAGCGTTCCACCCAGGATTGGATGTAGCCCTCGTGCGTGGGCTCATAGGTCTTCAGCTGGACCTTCTGGTCCTTGCCCACCACCGTGTTGGCCTGGACGAGGATCATGCGTGGCTTCTTGTGCGCCAGGCAAATGTCCCGCCACTTGGCCCACGGATGCGAGCCGCTCTCGTTCACCTCTGAGTAGTGTTCGTACATCTTGGAGGCCGCCTCGATGTCGGCCGTCGACTTGTACACCTGTAGCTTGGTGAGGAAGTCGCCCAGCGCCTTCCGGCCCACCGTGTCGATCTTGCTGCGGTCCACTGTCAGCAGCAGGTTCTTGCCACCTTCGGTTTCCTCGACCTTAACGAGTCCCTCGCCCGCCTCCAGCAGCACCTTCATGATCACAAAGCGGGCACGGGAGTGCGCCTGCAGCCACAGCTTTGACTTGGGGTTAAACATCTCCAGCGCCACGCCCATGCCGTTCCAGATGAGACTCAGCCAGTTGATGTAGATAATGTTGTCCTGCTCCACCTTGTCCTTAAAGCCGAAGATCTCCAGGATGTCGCGCTGCAGGGAGAGATACAGGCCGACGGCCTCGGCGCGACACTCCTCGTACGAGGAGCCGATGGCGCCGAACTTGGTGTCGTACGTCTCTCCGGGAAGGTACCACTTGGCGATGGGCTCGCCGGTGATCAGGTTCTTGGTGTTCTCCTTGTCGAAGTTGTAGACGCCGGCCTCGTCGATGCGGAAGAGCTTGCCACTGCCGTGGCCCAGGAGTTCGTGGAGTCCCACCTGCACCTCGAAAGCCTTCACCTTGTACTCCTTCATCAGGGTCTGATCCTCCTCGGAGAGGAAGGGAATGGGGTCCTTGCGGTTGATGTTGGCCAGCACATTGCCCAGCGACACGTTCTTGAAGCCCTCGTCCTGTCGGATTTCGTCGTAGTTTGGAATATTGATGCCTGCTGGCACTCCGCTGCCGGCGAAAGTGAGCACATCCAGGGATGTGAAGTCTGGCTTCAGGTAGGAGTCCTTCTCGTAAGGCTCCGTCCAGGGCAGGTACTCCACCAGCTTTTCGGCGCGGTTCACCAGCTCGGAGAACTTCGCTGAGCTCTCCTTGTTCACCATGGCCACGAAGCCTTCGAATTCGGCACGACCTCCGGCCGGATCCCTGTACGTTTCAATGAAGCCAATGTAGGTCTCGATGACCGGTCCCTTGTCCTTGATCCACCAACGCGATCCGTCCTTGTGCTCGGCCAGCGAGCCCTGCTCAAAGGAGCGGACGTAGTGCTCGATCATCTTGGACTCGTTGTCGTTGGCCGCGTACTTCTGGGCCTCCAGCAGATGCTGGTTGACGCGCTGCAGCAGCATTTGGTAGTCGCCGCGAGTCACCCGGAACTGGTTGCCCTTGTACTCCTCCAGCGGCAGTGTGATCCCGTCCTGCGCGGAGTCCGCCACCGATCCCAGCTTCACGTCGTAGATGGTTTTACCATTTTCGGACACCTTGAAGGTGCGGCACATGTAGGGTTCGATGCGTTTGGAGGTCAGCCAGGAGTTCACAATCTCCGAGTCCTCCTTGGTGCAGTTGTCCGACCAGTAGGTGGTGATTCCATCGGGAGCAAAGCCCAGGATCTCGTTGCGCGACTCCAGTGCATAGATCAGATCCTTGACCTTCTCGAAGATCTTTCCCACACGCGGCTCGTTGGCGTAGGCAGCCGAGGACTTCACTATGGCCTCGAACTTCTTCTCGGGCAAATTGGGCACGATCTTGCTGTCACCCATGCCCTTGTAGTTGCCCGCATTGGCGAACACGCCGCAGGTGTAGACCAGGAAGCCCTGAAAGTACAGAATAGTCCATTAATTAGTATTTTTATGTATTTAGAGAACTTTTTTATTATCAAAATTGTGGAAATACTCATACACTTAATTCCATAAAAGCCATTAGAGTATTATCTTGAAAAGAGGACGGTTTATAGAAACGATATTAAAGCTGTCATATAAACATTTGGAGTATTGTCTTCAAGCTTTGTTCTTTTTAAAGATGGTTTCACACACCCTAGTTATCTCATTTGTACACTTGTTTTATAATCTTTAGATCAAAGTTTGAATGAAATTGTGTCTTTCTGTTAAGAAATACAATAAGTGCACTTATCTACTAGCAAACTAGCTAGGTATTTCTCTCAATAGATCCTAGGAGCCCTACTGTATAGACCCCTTACCGTGTAGTCATCCGCAGAGACTCCTGCTTCCAGGGCCTTGGCCCTCAGCTCCGCCGGCTTCTCGGCCACAAAGATGCGGTGCAGCAGGGAGAAGATGAGCGGTGCCTCTGGACTGGACTGGATCAGGGCGATGAGGCCGCCGTCCCAGGAGGCCTTGCTGAAGTGGTGGGCATAGAGCTTTTCCTTGTCCGTCAGGTTCTCGAAGGCAGTCTTGCAGTCCAGATCGGCGATGGGCTGCGTGTTGGGCAGGACGAAGTGGGCGGTTTTACTGGCCATCTCAGCGGGTTGGGGAAGATTTGCACTGCAACTGGAAAGATGGCAGGAGATGGGGATGGATAAGATGTCTTACATAGAGAGAGATATCACCTGGCAAGTACCTGTACAAACGAACGAGGGATCTACAAAATCCTGAGCTTCTGGAGATGGAGATTGGCGATGGGATCGCCCGGACACTGGGACTGCTCCCGTAATTTGGACGACTACGGAACTGGCAGAGCCTGTTCAGTTGCTGCCGGGACCTCTGGACCCCTTTTAGCCAAAACATTACTGGGGAATTTTTCGAAACTTTTCGTTTGAAGACTTTATTTACATGACACTTGAGTCGCTCAACTGGAAAACGTGAAAATGCTACTTTAATTTGGAAGAAAAGCCAAAGAGTTGGGGGAACACATGATTGAAACTTGATGATGGATGCACTTTATCTCTGGCCAACCCACAAATCTGCAGATGTGGCAGTTAAGCGGGGTTTTTTGCCAAGAGAATATGGAAAACCAAAATCTATGGCTAAAATGAAGCCCGAAAACGTGAAAACTAGCTGCTCACTTGGGAAAATGTGAGTGATTATAAATCTACATGGTTAGACAATTGCAGAACAAACGAAAACCTCTCCGGCAAAAGTGTTAAATCAGGTAAAAATACATAGTTTAGTTGGAATTTCGTGCTTACGTACCTTTTGAAAGTAAGAAAAATGCAGTAAAAAAATGCCGACAAAATTGCAAGTTGTGCAAGCAGTGTGACCAGCTGCACTACGACAAAATATATTTAAGATTCAAAATATCCTAAATAATAATTAATGTTATGCGAATGGCCAGTAAATGGCGGGTTAATTTGAATTTCGGCTTAATTTGATTCGAAAGATTTTGAAAAGCTTTTCAATCATGCATGTCCCACGATTTAAATAATTACCTTTTAGAGACCTGAAAATGTAACAGATGTAAAAAACTTGATAATGTTCAAATGTAAGTGTGTTTAATTTGCCGTATTGAAACTAGTTATGTACAGAAACGATACTAGTAATTAACCAAAAGAATGTACAGAATGTAAAACATTGTTTCCTAATACATATTAATTTGAGTGTTCGGTTTTTTATTCGGGATTATCTGCGCGATCCTTTATTATTTTAGGCGATAATATAGCCAAGCCACAACCAGATATCGCCAGCTAATCCGAGTATGCAAAGTACCCAGGTCGATCTGTACAAAATATTATCCATTCCGCCGCCCTTGAGAAAAATAGGCAAATCGTTGTCCGCTTGAAATTGCTTTCGTAACTTGAGCATTTTCTCAGGTACTTTGCCAGGAGCTGTCTTTGGAGCTGCAGTGGCATACTTCAAAGCTGCAGAGTTGCGAAATAGACAAGTGGGTGGACATAATGGTCCCAGTTCACCGACTCCCCGGAGGAGGGGCTGTAAAAAATATAACTTCAAATTGTATAAATGATTTAAAGACTAAAATTTACTTACGCGCAATGAGAGGCAATTTCGTTGCATTATTTTATGAAACGTGTGACTATTTTAAACGAAATTTTGACTGCTTTTGACTGGAAAGCAATTGAAATGATAAAGTATTGTTTGCTAATTTATAAAAAGCCTTCTTTAATTTGGCTAGATCTTGCACTCTTTGTTTTTTACTAATTTAAAATTCAAATTTTCTTTTTTAAAACCGTACATTTCATTCACAGCGATTGTTTTCTCTTTTGTGTTAATGACAATTTCTTCTTCTTTATTGCCGCACTGCAACGCGCTAATTCCACAAATTCGCTGAAATCAAACAATGCTTTTTAATTGGAAGTTAATGCTACAAGATGTCCATGGCTAAGTACCTGAACCGCTCGGTGGGAAAAGCTGGCAAGGATGTGGCTGCCAGGATCTGTAGCCTGAAACCCACGGAACCGGAGCACCAAGTGATTCACCTGACCGCCGGCGAGAATTTCGTGGGACGCAGCCGGGAAACGGGAATCCGAGATGCCAAGTGCTCCAAGCGGCAAATTGAACTGCAGGTGGACATGAAGAAGGCCGTTGTGGCCTTGAAAGTTCTGGGAGTGAATCCTTGCGGCGTCAATGGCGTGATGGTGATGCAGGATTCGGTATGTGAGCTGAAACACGGCGATCTGGTGGAGATCGTCTACGGCAGGCATCCCTTCGAGGTGGTTTTCAGTCCGCCACCAATGGATGACCAGGAGGAAGCTGCTCCATCGCCCACGTCATCATTGGTTACCGAGAAGGCCGAGAAATGGGACTCTGCTGGCAATGGCAAACTGGTAATCTTCACCAGCAACGGCGTGAGACCCTCTGAAAAGATAGCCGGCTACGATATGGATGGCACCATTATTAAAACTAAATCGGGACTGGTTTTCCCCAAAAACACAGACGATTGGCAGATCATATTTCCCGAAGTCCCAGAGAAACTGAAGAGCCTTCACAAGGAAGGGTTTAAGATCTGTTTCTTCACTAACCAAGGTGGCATAGCTCGAGGAAAAGTCAACCATGATGACTTTAAGGTCAAGATCAAGCAAATTGTGGCCAAACTAGGAGTTCCCGTTCAGGTATTTATAGCCATTGGAGATGGCTTCTACCGCAAACCGCTGACTGGAATGTGGCAGCATCTTAAAAACGAAATGAATGAAGGTCTGGAGATTAAGGAAGATCGCTGTTTCTACGTGGGCGATGCAGCTGGAAGACCGGAGACGGGCAAGGGAGTCACCAAGCAGCGTAAGGATCACTCTCTAGCCGACAGACTCTTTGCCGCCAACATTGGAATTTCGTTCTACACGCCAGAGGTGCATTTTCTGGGCAAACGAGTGGAGCAGTGGAACAAGCCGGACTTCGATCCCACTGCCGTAAATGACCAGTTGGCTCTGCTTGAACCAGATGACCTAACCTTCGAGGGTCACCCCTGTGAAATGGTGATAATGGTGGGGTTGCCTGGTTCCGGCAAAAGTCACTTCTGCAGCACCTTTTTCCAATCGCGGGGCTACAAAATGGTCAATGCGGACACCTTGGGAAGCACTCAGAACTGTCTGACTGCCTGCAAACGCTTCCTCGACTCGGGAAAGTCCTGTGTGGTGGACAACACCAATGTGGATCCAGCATCTCGCAAGAAATTCCTGCAGCTGGCCAGCGAAATGAAGGTTCCCTGCCGCTGTCTTGTGATGAACGTGCCCGTGGCTCAGGTGAAGCACAACATCGCTTTCCGCGAGTTATCCGACTCCAAGCACTCCAAAATCAAGGACATGGTCTTTAACATGATGAAGAAGAAGTATCAGGAACCAGCACTAGATGAAGGATTCGAATCCATACACAGAGTGAACTTTAAGCCCGAGTTTGCCGACGAAAAGCAGGAGAAACTATACAAAATGTACTTGTTGGAGAAGTAAGGAAGTTATATTTAATCCAAAGTGAATATACGCTTGGCTATGTCGTCTATCAACCAATCCATGGAGCTGAGTAGCTTCTCCCCAGTCACTGCGCTAACTCCGGCGACCAGCCAATGATGCGTGGTGATCTCCTCTAGATGTAGTATCTTTAGGGATAAGAGATATTAAATATGTTGTTAAATCTCTAAAGTAAAAACTGTGTACCTCCTTGATTTCATTTGATGAGAGGGCACCGGGCAAATCCTGCTTGTTGCATAGGACCAGTAGTGTGGCTCCTGCAAGGCGCTCTTCTTGCAGCAGGACCTGCAATTCCTGGCCGCAGGACTCCAGGCGCATCCTGTCCGCACTGTCCACCACCCAAACCAGGCCATCCGTGCACTCGAAGTAATTCCGCCAGTAGGATCTCAGGGACTTCTGGCCACCAACATCCCACATATTCAGGGTGTAGCCATTGTGCTCTAGGGTTTTTATGTTGAAGCCCAGTGTGGGTGAGATGGTGTCTATGGGTTCGCCGTTGAATCTCTTCAGGATCGTGGTCTTGCCGGCATTATCCAGGCCTCTAAAGGAAACGCCAGCTATGAATCACTAATCTTGTTTTAACATCCAAAGAACTCACAGCAACAATATGCGCATCTCCTTTTCCTTCTGGCGCATCTTTTTTAATACTGTGAGAAAGCCCATGGCAACGATTTGTGTTTTTTAAAGCTATGATATTATAAATTAAACGTTTAATAGGCAGCTGCGTAAGTTTTTGTTTATTTCTAAAAACATAAACTTTCAGGTGAATGGCAAAAAAGTGCTGGAAAAGTATCGATTATTGATTTATCGATAGAACATCGATTTTGCTCCAGCTGTAGCTGTCATATTTGAGGTTCGATATTTTTCGCCCAGGAAAACTGCTCGATTTTTGCTAAATATTAAAAATAAACGCAAGCAAGATGATGAATCTGTCGAGAGTAAGTAAATAGGTGTATTGATGGTACTCCAGGCTCCAAGCTGGAGAAGAAGCACGAGTTTCATGTGTCCAAAAAACACAGAATTCCCCGTGCAATTACGTAAGTTCCCTGGAGCGCCCAGAACTAACCGCACATTTTGTACAATTCACACAGGCTGTTGTCCGTAGCTTCGCTACCACCGCTGGCCGAAGGTCCGCCGCCGTGCCCAAGGAGCAGATCGAGAAGGGATACTTCGAGATCCGCAAGGTGCAGGACCACTTCCAGAAGAAGGACGGCAAGCCCGTCTTCCTGAAGGGCTCCGCCATGGACCAGGTGCTCTACCGGATCACGATGGCCCTCGCTCTGGTCGGCATCGGCGGCATGGGCAAGCTCTTCTACGACCTGAGTGTGCCCAAGAAGGAGTGAAGTGTCGGAGTCCCCATACCTAAGCTAAGCCACTAAACCCGCAAGATCCGTGATTCAGTGTAGTCGCCCTTATATTTCGATGTTTTGATTGTGTAAGTTTCCAGCAGAAATGCATAGCACAACCAATCGTCGCAAAAACTTAATTTATGCTGGGTTTTCGTTACTTTATTTAATTATTTGTGTGCCCAAATAACTAATCTGTATGTGATCCTTTGCATTTGTTATACTTCGGTAAAATAAGGATTATATTTTAAAGTTTAAGTGTCCATTTGATCTTAATCAATGAAGTTAGTAGAATGGAGAAGTCCTAAAACTTATAAATATCGTTGAACAAATGTTTTAGTATCAGTTTTCAAACATAAAATTGATTTTAACAAACAAAGCTAGTTATTTATTTAGATTATTTGTAAAAATTGAGGATGTGTATATCTAATTACTAGGGAAATAATTTTCTTACCAGTTAATTAATAACACCTCAAATGCTTACTTAATATTTAAAAAGTGCTAATGCTTTAGTAAGATTAGTCTCTTATCTTACTAAAAACAGAACATTGGTTGTGCTCCTATAATATTTAACAGAAATCGACAAATCTCTAACCAATCCCTCTTGATCTTCCATAGCTTTGCCCCGGATACCTGGTCAACATGGAACACCCCAATCCACAACCTGGCTTGTTGTTTTGTGTTAGAATAGCTAAGATTTCATGTTTAAACTGAACATTCGCAAGAGCATTTAAAGCGTGGAAATATAAGAGAAGCTGGCTGTAAAGTAACGAGACTGCCTATTTGTTTTAATGCACGGTCGCTGGCAATGAGATATTTGCCCAAAAGTATTTCCCCTTAATTGCATTGACATTAAGCAAACAAACGGCGGCGACATGGAGCGAAGTTCTGGGATGGGATGAGGCCGAGACTGGGGAATCGGCTAAGGCAACGCAACGGCCTGTTTTATAAATCAAAGGGCGGCAACTCGGCGCGTTGCCATTGGCATGGAAATGCATTTTAAATCGAGCGAATCATGTTGCGCTTTAACACAAGCACAGGCCCATGCACGCCGCCCGTTTATTAATATCCCACTGCGGCGGAATATGCAATTCAAGGCGTTTTTCATTAGTTATTTCTCCATAAACACTTAAATAAAACTAAAGCATTAAAAATTAAGAAAACATCCGCCGCTTTATGAATTTTCCCTTGCATTTTCCACACAATCGCAGATGGGCAGTGTGTCACAAAAGTGTTGTGGGAAGACAGAAATATGATTTACTAAATGATTCCCTATGATTTTTAATTCAATGTTCCATTACCATTTACCATTTACAAAATTATGTTTGTATTTTTATAAATTAAATATATTTTTTTATTCTTGATAATATGATAAATATGAAAAAGTAACTGGGCAATACAGTTTTTTCCTAATTGTGATCTCAAACGACTGATTAGATTGCTCTTCCGATAAGATATACAAAATAGCTCGGTAATTGAAATAGACTTTTTGGTTTCTGCATTACATTTTCACTACGCACTGTACTCGCACACTTACCGAAGAGGAAAAACAAGAAAAACATAGTCTTTCCTTTCGTTTTCTGTTGTGTTGTGTTGGTTTGCCATTATTTCGTTGCGGCCCATTTGAATTTTGGGATGTGCGCGCGAAACGAAACGCATAAAATGGACGCAAGCTGGTATACCGTCAACATTAACACATTTTGAACTGCAAAAAGTTCTGCGTAGGTGGTTCCAAACGGAACTTACACTGGTGATCTATTATAGCAGACATTGTAAACTATTCCCATCCAGAATGATTCCTAATATGATATATAGACTATCCAAATGGAAAAGATCTCGATTTTTAATTAAAGTTTGTTTGGCTAATTGTGGGCTGAGATGGGATAGAAACGGGTGGGGATAGGATGGCGGCGCACATGTCGCAAACTTATTATATTTCATAGACTGTGAAAAATTTAAATGAACAGAAAATGCCAGAGCGCTGGCGGGGTTCCATCTTCATCTTCAGTCTTTCGGTCGGGATCTTTCGGAGTAACTGCAACTGCAAGCGTTCCACTCGACTGCCCACAGTGAAATTACAATAATAACTCAAGAAGCATAGAAGATGCCAAGCTAAACGCTCCGCCTTCCCTTCCCAGTGGGCAATCCTTTGCCAAAAACAATATGGTACGAGTAGGAACGAATCAAAAGCGAACAAAACAAAATGAACCGAAATGGGGGGGATTGGACGCGGATGCGTGTAGAATCGGGAATCGAAAAATGTGTTTCATTAAATTTTATTTATAGTCGGCAATTTTATGCATTTAAAGCGCGTCTATCAGCGCTGCATCTCAGCGGCATCAAGGCGATGCGGAAACGGCAGCGCCGCCATATTGGAAACTCGCTGGCGGCGGGCTTTGATTCTTGCGTTGTGGAGCAGGGTCAAACTGATTACCACGGCAATCGGATGGATTCAGCCTGGGGAGCTCAAACTTTCACCTTTCTTTCCACTGTCGTTTGTTTTCTATTTGATGGTTTAGTTTTATACACAGTACTTGCAGGGTATATAAGGCATAAAACATTTATTTTCGAAATTAATAAAGATAGACTTCTTTGAAAGGAACTTGTTCAAATAACATTTTTTCAGCTCAAGACTTATAAAGTAACTCTTGAATTTTAATCACAAACATAAATAAGCATTTGCTTTTGCTTTGTGAAAGTAAATAATTTTAGGACGAACAAGGTCTTATTGATTTTTAAAGGTTTAACATTTCAATGTAATTTTTTCTTGAGCTTTTTATAATAGAATTGTATACCTAACGAGCTTTACAATGTTGTAGGCTAAAAAGAATCAGAGTATAATGTCATGTAATCAGGTGATGGCCTACCATCTCAACGCCAAAAAGTATGCAAGGAAAACCATATTTTAAGGACTACCACAAAATGTTCTGATATTTAATCGGAATAATTAACAAAGTGTCAAAGAAAAAAAAGGTACAAAATTTCAAATCATAACCACCAACCGATTTGATCTTTAATAATGGTTATATGAAATCTCTGTAACGCTTTGTTTTACCACAAATTGAGTAGTGAGTATCACACAGGCGGGACACTTTACAGGCCACATCTCCTTCACTCGTTAGATGCTCCTCACGTGAGTTATGGCCACGTCCTGGTCCGGATCGGATCAGATCGGATCGGCTTGGGTTCGGGACCGGTTCGCAGTACGCACAGCAGCCGCAGCCACAAATCAGACTGCCGTTGAAGCGTTCAAGTGCAACGAGCATGAAGCGAACTCGCTGCCGTTTTCGTCTCCAACTCGATTTGGGTCCTCAACTTCCTCCCCCGACTGGTGTTACCCCAGTCCACAATCCCCAATCCCCAACTTTATCTCCATCTCCCCCCGTTTGGGGCTGTCGGCAAATCTGGGCAACTTTCAGATGAGTATTTCGTCAGATTGTCGCTGACTGTTTTCTGCCCGAAGAAATATAAAAAATAAGAAAACGGGTAAACTCGGACCTTCGGGCGATTTTTTGACTCTTTGAATGTGTTTGCCCAACGAAACCCGTTTGGCCTATTAACACTTCGATTACAACTCAACTTTTTCAGCACTCCGGACGGAGTCGGGCTTGGAGGCACTCTGGGTGGTCCCGTCGCACTATTAGTTAGATTTTGATTTATTTGAGCTTCAATTAGTCGTTGAACAAATCTGTTTATTTATTTGCTTTTAATTATTGTTGGCAACCACAAAGCCGTGCCACCGCTCTTTATGGTCGCTCCTTGCCTTGGCCGAAGAAGGTTTTTAATTAGCACCCGCCGGATAATTCACAAAAAAGCCATCACCAAATAGCCGAGGATTTCTTCAGACGTTAATGGAACCGATATCCCAAACGAGCGGGCAGGGCAAACACTCAGTTTTGTCTTTCGAAATAACAACCGAAAACTGAAAACTGACTGCTTATTTTCGGTTTTTATTTGCGAATCTGGAATCCCCATTAAAGTGGGGCGAAAATACCTGCAATACATCGTAAAGAGCCATGTACAAAAGGGTAATAAGACTATTTTGATATAGTTTCGCATCCATGGCTGCGTTTAAAATAAGAGGCATTTGGATGGCGTAAACAAACAAAAACACATTGCATGCCTTGCCGGAGAACCGATGGAATGCCGTAATACGTAGAGGCATTGGAAATTTATAGGCCGTAACAGGAACGGCCCCGTGAAAGATGCGCCGGGAAACCGAAACCCCGGCAAACCAGAAACACATGTCCAAACCGAAGGACTTTCGGGGGAATGGGATAATATATTGGTCAGTGCTGGGAACAACGTAATCGTCGTCTAGTTAGGAACTTAAGTGCGAACGTGTGGGATCAGGTGACACTACGGTCGGCTGCGGTATGTTGCCTCTCAAGTGAGCCTGGTATTCGCTTACACCAATAATTCATCCTCAACTGCAGTTGCGTCGATCCGTTTTATGTAGCGCCCAAGGTCCAAGGTTCCAGGACTCAAGTGGGTCGCATAATCACGTGTCGATGCCTATTTCGACCGGGATTTATGCGCGTTTTTGGGAGTGCCGCTGCCGTAGACAATTTGACGCTTCCGCCTTCTTCAGCAGACATGCACTGGGTAAAGAAATGTTGCCGAAAAAGAGATATTACCATAGTTTGTGGGAATATTTGTATTTTAATTTAAATTTTTTAAAGAATTTACAATATTTCAATAATATTAACTAAAGTTGTTCGTATCATAAAATATTTTATTGGTTTTGTCATAATGCCTTTATTGAATATTATTTTACATTTGTATTTCCATCCTTTTTGAAAGGAATGAATAAAAAAAAACTAAGTTCTTTAAACAGCTCTAACATAATTTAAATGGCTTTAATTGGTAAATTAGATTATGAAATTTCGATTATAACGATAAGCTATATGCATCTACAAAAACTTTACTACATTATTTTTTTTTATTATAAAAGGATCATTTTTTTCAGTGCATGGTCCACGCCCATCTGGCGCAGTCTTACATAAGTTGCTTACTGGCTCTGACCTGGATGTGTCAATTTAATAGCGCATTTGCCACTTTATGACACTCGATGCTGCTCCTGGCACTCGAACTCCTTCTCCAACTCCTTTTCTTAAATCTCTGGTGTTAGCTCCTTTGTTTTCTCAAGTGCTCTGTATATTCCACTCGGAATCTTTTCACTCCTTGTTGTTTCACAACACAGGGAGAGACAACTGGGAAGAATCTGTGAAAGGGAAGAATAAGCGGAAAACGCACAGTGTTCATTTGTTATGCTTGTCATTTGTCGCTGGATGACGGCAACTTCAAAGCCTGTCAACCAATTTGTTAAACGCGGAGACAATTTTGTCACCAGCTCCCCCACTTCAGCCCCAATTCTTCAGCCATCACTCTGAAGCTTCGGCCGTCGGGGAAGAATTCGTAGCTTTCGCATGTGGCCAATTATTTTGTAAGTCGATCCAATGCCGTCTTAGAGGTTTGCATTGCAGCATGTGGTTCACATGATCTGAAATTCAGTGAAACTAAATCCGTTTAAGTAATATTTGAAATAAGTTGTAATAAAGGACTACAATTTGTATAATGGTTTTAGAACTTATAACAGGAATAGGGATCTATAATATGATAGGGCTTCTCTTGTTAGGATAATCTTTTTATCCAGTTTTTAAAGGCGTTGAAACTACAACAATATATTGTTTATATTTTTAAATAAATAGAGGATCGGAATGTCAAACTTTACTAAATCAACTAAATCGACCTAAGCTTTTTTTTGTTTTTAATAAAACATAATACCGTTCTTTGTAAAACTGAAAGTTAAAAAGGAGTTTTTAAAACTAAAACGAAATCAATTAAGATTCTTTAGTTAAATGCGTATTACAAAAGAATAAATAATCAAAAATCACGAAATAAATTAATTTTAAATGAAGGAAATCTACGAAATGGCGAACGTCAAACCAAAAATCGTCAGGAAATATAGCCGAGAAAGAGCGAAAATCAGAGAGTGACAAAGAGAGGGCCAATTGGATTCGCAACAAAAGGTATGAGCAGGTAAGTGTAAGCCAACTCAAGGAGGTGTGTCCAACGTGTCAGTGTGTATGTGTGTGTGTGTGTGTGTGAGTGGGTTAAAAACTCATAAATACTCACACATACATATGCCAGGGAAGAGAGCGAGTGCAACCATAATTATCGCAAAAGTAGCAAGTTTTCCCCATTTTAATGAGCAAATGACAACGAAAATTGGCATTTATCATTATATGACGATATTCAGGATTAGTGACAATCAGATGAAGACGGCATATTCATATAATTAACTCTAACCAAGCAAGACGCAACGCCTCAGCGAGAGTTGGCATCACGCATACGCCGCATTGGCCGCGTCGGGAGGTGGATCTACGGGGTTAGCTGTCTGTGCCGCTTTATTAGCGATATGGCTTTCTTAATGAACCAAAAATAGATGCACGCGCACCCAGAATTCCCACAGCCCCGCCCCCTTATCTTTACGTTCCGTTCCGTTCCCATCCTTTTCTTTCCTCCTTTTTTTCCTTTCCGCATGTGTGTGACACTAAGAAGTCATGACATCGCTCGCCCACCCTGCGTAACGCTACGGATACGCTTACTTGCTTCAGATTGGCCATTCAAGCATTGAGAAATTAACTCCGCCCGGTTGCGTGTGCTCACTCACTCGGTTCGAGTGTATTGGTATTGCAGCGTAGCTCTTTCGCGAGAGAGAGAGAGAGTTCGAACACAAATGCATGGCCCATGCTCTCATGGATACACCCACACATTCGCTCGTAGACATACAGGGCCTTACAGGAGCGGTAAAAGGTCAAAAAAGGAGAAAAGGGCTCAGATAGCATCATTATGGGCCCCCAACTAAAATTTTTTTTTACAATCAATGAATATTACAAGATGCATTTATTGTAAAGATAACATTAATAATTCTCTCAAGCTGGAATTCACTTAATGATGTGTTTGTGGAAAATTTATTAAAAATCACTTGCAAAATATGACAGTATCTCAAAAACTTCTCAGATTCACTACCTGATTAAAGCTCAACAGATCCTATAAATAGCAAAAGAAGAAATACTCAATTCTTGATTAAAATTTGGCTAAAAAAGATTTCCATAGATTTTTAATAGGTTTTTAAGGTTAGACAGTAGAAAGAGTCTTAAAATTTCATATTTTCCTCTTTCATCTTATTTAGTTTTAAAAAACATACCCAAGGACAGAACAATAAGAGGTTTTTTTTAAACATTTTGTAATAACAATTGTATGTAATAAGAAATATTGATTAAATTTAAACAAAACAATAACCTTAAATACTGCATCAAAAATAAAGTTTTTGGTGAAAAAATTTACATTTTGCTTTTTGATTAATTTATATGATATAATGTATTAAAAACCGATTTGTAATATTTCTTTTGGACTTTCCCTTTGTTTTTGATACCGCTCCTGGGCGTCGAAAGACATTCTTCATTTTTATTATTTGTCCGCGGACCAGCAGCTCACGCACACAATCTCACGAGCATCGCCATTAAAACCACCAAATACAGTCGATCGACCGCCCTCCCTCTCACGGATGTGTATGTGTAAATAAGAGTGAGAGAGGGCGAGAGATCTTGGGATGCTGCGTCGACGCGGTGGCTTCCACTTGAAGATGGATGTGGATGTGAATGTGGATGTGGAGGTGGCTTTGCTTGTGTGCGTAGACGTGGATGGTGGACGATCGTGATCACGATGGGCAGAGCAGCGGGCTGCGTTAGTCGCAGCAGACACGGGTGACGAGCAGCAACGATCGTTTTTGGAGAGCGCGCCAGGGTTTCCCGATCCTAAACCGTTCCAAGCCGATTCCAACCGATACGTTACGATACGACCCGATTCGCTAGAGGAACAAAAGCCAGCGGAAGATCAAAAGGCGCGCGCACGGATCAGTGAATGCGGTTAAATCGGTCCCAAATCCATCGATCTTACGGTCGAGTTAAACTAAACCGATATAATACAAAATCCAAAAGCATAGCAAAACCCATTGTAGTGTCATTAAGTGGTGTGTGCAGTTCCCGCTTCCCCAATAAGGTGTGATAAGTGCGTGATAATTTTCGAGGCAACCTAACCGAGTGCGATCGTTTTGGCCCGAAAATGTGCTAACCAGATCTCAGTCTTGGTTCACGGCATCGCAGCCCAACGCTGCTCCGCACAACTGGCGCCAATTTGTATACAAATTTCATGCCTTAATTGAAACTCACATTATAGCCAAGTGCGAAAAGTTAACGACTAGGCAACCACCGACAATCGCCAGCATCACTTATCCATCCCAGCGAATCCAACCGGTGAAAGTTTCACGGCGGAGTCGACAAAAAGCGAACGACAATTGCAATTCTGGAGTTCTTCAATCAACTGTCAACGGGCGAAATGGACCCAGGTAGGTGCCAATCTCAACCCTTTAAAATTCTACACCCCAAAAACCACTTTTCACACGACTTTTTGTTGACTGACCGACATATGTAAGGTACCGACGGCAATGGATATGCCTAAAAATTATTTCCATTTATCAAAGATCCATAATTTGGTATGAATTGCTACATTTAATATCAAAATATATCCCCCTTAATTTATGATTATTTAAAAATTTTGGTTTTTTATTGAACAGTAACAGTAAAAGGAAGTTAATTGTAGCTATTAAAACAGTTTTCACCGGTTTTATTTTTTATAAAATGTTTTGTTAAATGTTAGTGCACAACGTCTTTGAATAAAAACAAATTTTTAACAGTTTTACAATTAAATTTCACAATTTTTATAGCCCTATGAAAAAGTAGACTGTCATAGAACTAATGTTTATATTTAAATAATTATTGGGCTTTAAAAACATAACCGATCGAGGCAATCCCTTTGTTCTTTTAGGATTGATTTAAGTGACAATATTTCCGGAGCAATCAAATCCGCGACTGAAGTGTTTTGCCAACAAAGCGCTCTCGTTCGATTCTCCAAACAAGTCCTGATGGACACAGTAAGCCTGTGCCGCAATTGCGAGGAGGTAAACACAGACGTTCGATGGATGGCCCGACTTCTTTTTTTTGGGCCGGGCCAAGAGGCAGGTGTTTGCTTTTGTTTTTCGTTTCAAAAGGCTGCCGTCGCTTTGCGCATGATCGACAGTCTCGCGGTAGCCGCGGCACTTGTTTGACTTTCGATGATGTCGCCGACATCCGTGTCCAAACCCAAAAGCAAAACCTCAATCCAAAAGCAAAACCCCAATCCAAACCCAAAACTCCGGACCCATGCCTCCTAATTTAACTAATGATCGTTGTAATGTTTGTGCCTTTGTCGTGCGGTCTTCACTTTTGGGCCCAAGTGTCCGTGTCTCTGTTTGTCCATGTGCTTTGGGCCAAAAACAAAAGCCGAGTGCAAGACGCTGCCTTATGGCCGAAAACTCCGTACATAAGAGTGTAAAGATTTGCCCTGTAGTCGGCAGTTGGATCCATTGACAAACATCTGCGCAATTGAATAATTTGGCATGCGTCGATTTACTTTTAAACATTTTCAATTGGTTGGATCATCTTTCGAAATAATTGTCTAATGGCTTTTTTTGCGTTTTTGAGTGACATAATTTTCAGTTTTACAAATTGTAAAATAAAATAACTGAACAATACAAATTTATTCAATGAGTTTGAATGTTAAGAGGTCTCCTTAAAATAGATTTCCAACATTACTTTTTTTGTATTAGCTATTGAGCTATTAAGCCTTTTTTTTATTCAAAGATTGTATAAAATATTATAATAAACTTTACAATTTGTTTTTCATGACAAAACTGATAATTTAATCTTCTTTATCTCTATGTCTCTCAGAAATATAAAGTGTTTATTTGTTTGTGGTAAACCCCGATATTGCAAAGTATCAAAAAGGTTTTAAATCAAGGATATATGATTTTTTCCGCTTGGCCAGGCAGAAAAGAGGGAAGAAGTCGGCTAGGAGGTACCGCACTTTGGTCCATTAATGACTTGCTTTCGATGTTTTGACATTCTGTTTGTACGCCAGCCAGCATTGTTTGCTCGGTCGCAGACGTCGCAAAAGATATAGACGCCGAGAGGCCCACACCATGCAGACCGATACCCATACCCATACCCATACCCATACCCATACCCCGAGTATGGCTCTGGACCAGAGATGCAGAAATGCGTGACTAACGGCCACCGGTAGCCATCTACTTCGGTAGCTAAACATGAAAAGCCCACCAGACGCGACCGCAAGTGCAAGATGTTAAAATCACGGAAAGGGGCAGTAAAACAAAAGGCGCAGACGATGTCGATGACGCTGGCCACGAAAGGCAGGCAAACACACTTGAGATCCGAGGAGGAAAACGTCGCGTCAATGTGTACACGCCTTAATGGAAGAGTCTATATAGTGGGTATATGTATAGTAGGTGCCCAGGAGTAGGAACGTGGTGATCATAAAGCCCGACTTGCAGCTTCCTCCCGTTGATACCGATGATTGCAGCCCGGGCTTGGGTTTGGGAAAACGCTTCACTGCCACGGCTTGATTGTGTGGCGTCGTTTCCCCTGAGTTCTTTAATTAAATCACATCCCCAGCCGCTGGTGCGGAACTTTCATTAAGCGCATTTCAAGTAATTTTTGGGTATTACGGGCTCTCTGGCAGCTTTTGTTAATCGGGTAACATGTAAAATATTTATTCAATTTTAAATTTTTCAGATAGCATTGCATATGGCAACTAAGGTTCTTAATTATCACTCTTAAAGGTTTTTTATTTTACAATTATGTTGTTGGGTTTTAGAGAGTTATCTCAATTTAAGAAATATATATAGATTCAATGCATTTGTTAAGAGTTTCCTTTAAAAACATGTTTATTCTTATTTAACAAATTAGAAATCTCTTTCAAACAACCGAAATTTCATATATATTAGGTTGAAATTTTCAAGGAAGAGATTTCTTAATCATCAGGAATATAATCTAAATTTTTGGACATACTGCTATACTTTGGAGCAAGAGGTTAAGTTCTCTTTTGTGGATCAGTTGACATTTTCTCCCCTTTTTACATTGGATATGTCCCTGGGGATCCAACCTCTGACATCTGACAAGTGTTCTTCATGTTGTTGAGGATAAACTTAGCTCATTACCATAAATTTAATGAGTTTCTAATCGTTAGGGGGCACGTGTTTGAGCTAGTTCATTCCGGAATAATGAATGCGATGGCATCAATAAGCTGGCGGCTAACATCTGGTCCTAGCCCCTAACCTATGACCCCTAACCCCTTGAAGGCCTGTGTCAAGTCCCATGGGTGCGATGGCGACCCGAAACCGGAACTGCCACCCGGGAATTTCAACTCCATTTCCCTGTTTTGGAGTTAGCTACTTAGAGTTCCAGAAACAGTGCTGCAAGCTTGGCGATTTTTCAGCCAGATCTAGCATAAGCTATAGGAACATGTTTAAAGTGTGGAAATAATATGGGGGTAGGACTACCCAATTTGATAGTAAACTTAGAAATGAAAAAATTTTTTTTTTGCTTAAACTAACTACGTACTAAAATTCATACAAATTCGGCTGGAATTAAGTTTAAATAATTTTGGGTATAGCTGTATGTATTTCCGTTTATGGTTTTTTTTACATCCGATTTTAAAATATGGATTTTACCTTTGTCTGTTTTTTAAGCCAAGATATTCTCATGATTTTTAGCTATTTTTACATAGTAGCTCCCTTAGCTACTTTCTGTGTTCCCTAGTGGGCAGCTCTGGCCAGGATTCGGGAGTGGGCGAGCTGGGGAACACATGGTTAGATTTATATGCCTGTTGTGGCTGTCAGCGACGGGCGTTGCACATTGCTCGAGTGCCGGCGAACCCGAACTGCGGCCGAGTTGTCGGTTCTAGTACATTGCCAATGATTGGTCGGATGCGTTGGATCTCTGGTTCTTTTACTTGGATCTCTTTGACGCGATCGGAACTCTGGCCATGGTTTTCGCATCGACATCGAGCACATTTCGGCTACGCACTACGCATTGTGTGCATTCCTGGTACGCGTAATTGAAGTCGCCGCGGCATATCTTCTGTGGTTTTCGGCTGGGTCGCACCCCTTTCGAGTTTCCCCGGGAGCGGAGCTAGAGCCGTCATATTTCCTAGCCCAACCTATCCTACTCCAAGTCCCCCATCTCCCAAGGGGGCGGGATAAAGGAGCGAGTGCGTCGCTATCTGGCGTGATTTATGCACTCATTAATTTCTGTTGACAGACAATGCTGTTGACGCCGCAGGAATCTATTTAGCTTTATGTACTCTTGATTCCCACTTGCTGGGGCGCCTATTTTATGGGCTTAATTTATAATTCAAGGCGCTTGCACTTGATCTGAAATCGAAAATAATACACAACAGCAGATGGGAATTTTCGGGAGTTTAGATTTGAGAGATTAAGACGAAATTTATAAGAATGCATTTTAATTTTAAAATTGGGAATTTAAAAATGTTTACAAATGTTAAATTTCACAGTTTAACAATACAATTTATGTTCTATATCAGTGGAGAAAGTGATAAAAATCAACCTCAAAAGATTCCAGATTTCTTCATTCCATTAAATACATAATCGATCGATGCTAAGAAAACAAAAAGCAATTCCAGTCCCGACTCTTTTCCTTTGATAACACTCCGATTTGAACTCTGCAGATTAAGATGGAAAGTGGCATTGCCAGCAGATCAAAGTGACTGACGGACGGTGGCTTCCTCTTTTTCTTGGCCCGACGACTCGACTCTGTGAAATTCACTGATAAATAAATGCGATTGTGCGGCAAATTGTGCAACGCTCCGAATGCAAAATTGTCGACAAGCTCTTGTAGTTAGTATACAATAGAACACAAACAAAAGAAACGAAATCGAAGTGAAAAGTAAACTATTTATAAGTCGATGAAAAGACCGCAACAATGTGAATGTGGGCAACGACAACTAACTAAATAGTCACAATGTGAGCAGTGAAAAAGGGGCGTACCACATGGCGTATACGCGATGCGCTGGCTGAGCCTCAGCTCAAGTCAACTGAGTTGTTAAATTAATTTTTTCTGCATGCCGAATGCATATAAATTTGTATAAGATGCAAGAAAATAAACATATGAAGGCACCTCCCCACCGCGACGGCGCTCCGTCAATCAACCTGAAGACCCCCAGTTCCGAAGGAGAAGGAACCGCTTGCCAAGACCCAAAGATTTATGGGGACAACACGCAGTCGAAAATGCACTCGCACATATTGTATAGTTATGAGAAGGGAAATCCAATTTGCCATGCACTTTTATACCCTTTCAATATGTAAAGGTCTTAGGATTTCAACGGTTCATTTTTGAAAAGCACATTATTTGATTTCATTTCTTTAGGAAATGCGTTTAATAAAAAAAATATAATATTACATATTTTTCAACTTGTAGAATTTTAAAGTACCCAAACCTTTATAAAAATGTTCTCCCATTAAAGTGCATTTAGTCGTCGATCTTCATATTTATTGATGTGATTTTGATGTGATTTTGCCGGCTGATCAAATCAAACACCAAACCAGAAGCTCCACAAAAAATATTGCCCTCAATATCAAAAACATCATTTCATGCCAAATTTATATTCAATTCGGGCCCAACGAACTAAATATAAATATGTATTCAAATTGGCAGCCATTTTGGTATTTTGGTATTTGGTTATTTATTTTATTTGTTTGCAGTTAATGTTGTGGATATTCATACAATTACTCAAAGTTTTCTGCGATTTAATACAATTTAGTGGACCATTTTCATAGAACGCATCGCTTCGTGTGAAAACGTGTTAATTAACGGCCCGCTTATTAATTAAAATGAAATTTGAATGGCATTTTTATTTTCTCAAATAAAAGTCTCATAGGCGTGATATGTATTATTGTCAACATCGGAGAAATCTGAAATTTCGCCTATGCAATCAAATCAAATGCTATAAATCCTACAAAGTATTTTTATGATCGCATAAACAAAATGTCTTATCAGCTTGAAATGCTTGAATTTGTTAAATTCAATTAGGCAGAAAATAAGTTCATTGCCTCTCGACATTTGACATCGAAAATGTTCTCAGCGTTCAAGTTTTTGAAATAATCGCCAAGTCAATTGGATGCCTTGTTGGAGTTGAATCAAAGTATTTTTTTATTGCAATATTAGTTGCAACTTATCAACGAGACAAGACAAATAGGAAGAACTTTCTGGATTATCGCATCAGTATATATTTGTTCCATGCTGATAAGATAAGAACAAATGATTTACTTATATATTCATGTGACAGTCTGTTAATAATTATTTACATGGAGCTTACAATAAAATGTATCATTGAGAATCAAGACCCATTCTGTATATAAATATATTTAAAAATAGTTTATTTTAACATTTTTTTTGTTTTTAGAGATATAAATCTAAAAGGCAACTTTTAAATTAAAATAGTATTAGAAGTTTTTAAATTGTTTTTGATTTACCAGAAGCTATACTGTACATGCTCATACCTATTTACATACAGACGTTATTTCCGACCTCTCCGTCCATTTTGTTTAGCGAAATATTATTTTTAATTAGTTCTAGTTAGTTAACATTCGTTAATTGCTCCTGTAATTGGATTTACGCGCATCAGTGAGTTTCGTGAATACTTTAATGATATTTTAATAAATTATAAAAAACTTAAGCTGCAATATGTGCAACTTTAATTGCCGGCGGCAAAACTTTGACGAAAGGGGAAGTGTTGAAAAATTTCCAAGAACAAGAGCCAGAAATAAAAAAAAGAAACTCTCACAAACATACGGACATTAAAGCCGACATTTCTTTTTGGATTGCGTTTGTAATTTGCTGATCGTTGGCGGAGTTCCAGTTGAAACAGTGGTGGCCATTGTATTCGGCAATTTCCCAGAATTTATGAATTATAATTTTGCCATATAGACAATTTTAATTGAGCTTTTTATGGCATGTTGCAAGCGGGGGAAAGGCTCCAAAAACGGGAGCTGCACAGAGAACAATAAGATCAGAGATTTAAATCGATCGGATTCGCTGTAAATTATATAGTTTTAAAAATTACAATGATCTTTGATTAATTAATATCTATGCTTTGTAATTGACTGCATTAAATTAAAATTTAACTCTAATTTTATTTAACTATTAAATATATTTAAGAGAAAATAACATTTATTTTTTCTATGTGTAAGTTTACGGATCTCGAGACGACTGAATAAAAGTGTAGGATTTCAAAGTAAACATAGCCATTTGTAAGCCATTTGTACCGAAACACACAGATACAGAAGCGTCGGCTACCGAATCGTTTCCAATTTCCGCCGGGGATGCGAAAGGACTAAGAGCTCGAGTCCAGAGACGAAAATCCATGGTCAAATATTTACTGATCAGGAAAAAACAGTCTCCTCCACCTCCGTCTCCATTTCGTTTCAGAGTTTATGATTTTTTAAGCTGTTTGCCCGACCTCTTAACAATTCCATAGCTGTTTGCCTTTCATTAACAGAAGCTGCTAAGATCGGTACGGATCGGATTGGATCGTATCGTATCGAATGAGGCCCCGATTTCAGTTTGTTTGCCTTGATTAAGTCGGTGACTAGCGGAAAGTCGAGGAGCCGGAGAGCCAGGACGGATCCTTATTAGAGCTAAAGTAGCCCAGTCAACTTGATCGCCAGCAGCAGGCGTAACTTAAAATTAAATAAACAAAATCCGCCTCTTGGCATTCGAAGGTTCTCCCGGAGGCAAACAAACAAGCCAAACAAACTCGAAACGCGACGGCGACCTGGGTAGCACCTAACACACTGCTCCTCTGATCGTGACCGACACTGCTCTTGCCCATCTACCCCGTAAACCCACCTCCATCTACATCTCCACTGCCACTTCGGTGGCATGTTTGCACCTTTAATAAGACCAACAATCAGTGCCGACGCATCGCCCAAGTAGCCGTGCAGAGGGTCAACGAAATGTTGCACTTGTGATCCCTCGAAAAGGGGTTTGAAGTTCTGGCCAAATTGAATTAGAACTCAAGCCACACTGAGAACAATAATTCAAAGAAAAGAATATATCCATACTCTTATTTATCATTACTGTCTTTTTATGAAAGGATCCGTTCTCCGTGAAATTAAAGTATTTCCTAAAATTAAACCCAACAAATTAAACAACAGTCGAACTGCCATTACCTTCCATTATCTTCCACCAAAATAAGTTTAATTTATATAGATTTATTTATTTTATTTTATTTTATTTATATAGATCAATTATAAAATTGGTTTTTTTAAATCTTTATAAAAAACAATTTTTGAAGTATTTAACTTTTATATTAGTTTCCACTATTTAACTGTGTCAACCGACTAGTGAATTTTCGGTCAGTACTTGATGTTTCATTCCTCGACATGGCTCATAACTGTCGTGGTCAACGTACATTATTGATCAAATTTGCTTTGGGCACTGGGCACGTTGCAAAATGTTTGCTCTTGACTCATCCCATCAATCGGCTCAAAGGGGAATCGACATGCTGCTCTAATAGGAATTACGTGACTAATTTGCATGTGGCGGGAAGCATTTAATTCTGGCCGGATGTCGATTGGCTGCCATAAATCACAAGTGAGAAACTCACTCACTGCTTTGAAGATGACTGCTGAGGGCGAGGCAAGTCGAATCTATATCGCAGAGAATATTTTCCAATCGGGCAGCAAACCGATAGTCGGTTCAATTAATTTTCCAATTTCCCGGTCAGGCAGAGGTTCGATTCTTATCTTATACGGTGGCATAACTCACATATCATAATTAAACCCCAAGTGCTCAACTTTGGCTGCCATTAATCTTTGGTAATTGCCCAAAATTGATGTCATGCGTATTTGAAAAGCCATTAAAACGATGCAGCTATCTTCAATAGATCCGAACAAGAAAACAAACATCCAGCTAAGATCTTCGTCAGCGACAACTAGAAAGTATTTGTTGAGACAAATTTATGGACGCTTAGCGCAAAAGTCAAGCACTCGGAGATAATGTTCTCGGAGCAACCAACAAATTGCAGCCATCATTGGACATTCTTTAAATTTTTACCCCGTCGAAAAAAAAAAACCGAAAGAAAAAACTGAAGGCATCGGAATATGCCTGAATTTATTTTAGTAATCTGAGTTATGTTGTGTTAGTTTAAAACCTTGGGAACACCTTGGGAAATAATAAAACTTATATAAATTACAAAAATAGATTAAGAAATCTTCTTAATATAATATTAGTAAGGTCACTAGTAATATAAAATGACTTGCTTTCCTTACAGTGAAATTATATCAATAACGATTGCACTTTAAATTTTGTTTATATATCAGGCTAAAAATAATATTTATTTATAATATTTATAGAAAAAACTACTTTATATAGACGCTATAAGAGTATCAACCCCAGTTGAGGAAGCGTATTTGTTGTTTTCATGATCTTTGACTCCACTTCTTGCCTTCCTGGCTGGCGCTGGATATTGTGGGCCCTCTCTGTTTGTTACTCAATTCGTAAATAATTAACGATCACGAGATTACAAATGTCAAACAGAATGTCGAGCTGGGAAAGGCACCCTCCCTGTCGTGGCTCCTTACGCCGCAACAAATGTTCAAAGACGGAACACAAAAAACCACCGACTTGGTCCCCGGATGGATGTCAACCATTCCAATCCCAATCCCCAGCCACCCCACTCAATGCGTGTGGGTCTGTGGCGAGTGCCAGCCGATCTGTTGTGACTTATGTCAAGACAATTGCGCTACAACATTTTGAAAATTCAAAGTGCCAGGAAAAGAGAACCGCACAGATTTACGGCTCAAACGCCAGTTTTATTCTAGGTGGGTTGTTAGCCCACAGTCAAAATGATCGTATACCAAATCCCATTTAAAAGCTACTGTTGGAGAAGTGTTATAAGGTAGTGGTTCTATGTATCAGGGTGAATCCTTAGCCACCAGGAGCAGCTGCTGGAGCAGGTGGCACTGGTTGTACTGGTGCTGTAGTTACTGCAGGAGGTGCGGTTATGGCAGGAGCCGAAGTTGCAGGAGGAGCAGTAACAGCTGGATTTGATCCTGGAGGAGTCACCGGAGACGCTGTAGCGGATCCTGGAGCTGGTGGAGCTACAGTACCTCCACCTGCCGTAGCATTAGGAGCAGATTGAACTACAACCGTGCAATTGCTACAAATCACTGAAATCATAATCATCAATAAGGCCACTGAAATTCAAAAGTCCTCCCAACTCACAGTAACTTTCAGTGTCGACGTCATCATCGGTATCACTATCATAGATAATATCCTCCAGAAGGGTCCACCAGTCAGAGGAGTCCCGCTTCTAAAAACGATAGCTAAAGTCTGAAGATATTTTAAGCACTCCAATCGATTTACCGTCCTGACAGCAGTTTCCTCCAAAGACCTAGCCTCAATAGTCAGAATATTAAACACCAGGCAGCAGCCCACTGCTACTAATATATTCCTTCTGGCCGACATCTCAACTCAGACTGACTGGGGTACCTGAGAAACCCGCTTATATAGAACCTAAAACTAACTATTTTTTAACTTTTGGTGTCATTTAGTAATGTATGGGAATTTTTGTGAGGTATGTTAGACAAGTACATGACATTTTAAAAACATTGCGACATCATTTAACTAACTGACATTTGTAGGGATTTAAATCTGATATATTTAATTTGTATGATGTATTTACAAAGCAGTAAGCCTTACATAGTATTCGATATTAAATCAAGAGGGTCATAAAATCAATTATAAAGGTAACTAAACATTTATTTTATTTTATTTTTATTTTATTTAAAGGTAAATAACATTTATTGCTTTTTACTTTAACTAATTGCCAACTAGTTACCAAACAGTATCGACTAGTCGGACCCCCATGATATCTGCTCCCATCCATTACGATCACCTTTAAAGTGGGGAGATACCCATGTCGATGCCGTCTAGTTCGAATAGTTTTTCATATTTATGCAGCTGCACGTTCGCTTTTTGTCTGGGGCCCAAAACGACCCCAAATGCAAGTGCTGGCAATGATCGAACTGCAATTGACAAGTGCGCAAATCCATAACCATAAACTATGTACACGAAATTCGACACTGGCCGAGATCATTAGCTCGGGATCGGTGGATCTGGATGTGGATGTGGATGTGAATGTGTATGGGATGGGATGGTGATGGGTGGTGATGACGAAGTCGGGCAACAAGTGGGATGGTAATGCGATATCCGACCAGAGGGAAAACGAGCTTGTAAGTCGCGAAATGCCCTGCTATAGAGGTCGATATACTGCGTCTCCATGGTGATTATCGCTCCTTTGTCCGGTTCCTTCCTGATTTCTTGAGATCGCTGGCACGAGTAACCCGGGAGCTCTATTGTCGGTTTTATGGCGCTGCACTCTCCACTCCAGTACGTGTTGCACTGGGATTTGCCGCTATGGAACACGATTCGAAATTAGAAGACGGCGCAGATGTGCAGCAGTGCCTCCAACTACTCAACTGGCCAACCGCCCAACTGCCCATTATTGTAATGGACCGAACGGCAGTTCCAGACGAAGCGAGAGGTCCTATGGCAGGTGCCAAGAATGGAGTCTCCAGATGAGGGGGTTCCCCATTACCACCGACTAACGGCTAGCCATAATAATACAACATGAGTGGCTCTTTGTTTGCTAAAGAAGTTACGAAATTACCAATCCTTACAAGTTGGTTCAATTCGTACAATATTCATTCTGCAATAACATAATTTTCTGGTATTTCATTATAATAATAATATTGTTAATAAATATTTTCATTTATTGCGTACTTGAATCAATGGGTATGAGTGATTCATAATAATAAAACTTAATTTTTCAAAGTGGTCGCCATTGTAGAAGAACAATGGGACTATGGAAGGCAATAATCCAAATTTAATTAAATCTTTTCAATAACTTCAATGTAATAAGTTTATGATACATTTGTTAAAGCCAACTACTTAAGCCTTTATTTAAAATATCAGTTAAATAACATTTTTAAATCGTTTTACTGTGTCCGAAGTGCAACCACGTTTATTTGTGCTAGGTGAGAACTATTTTCAATAAAATTTCCATACTACTCCCTTCTCAATTTCTCTGCCAAGTCCATCTGATTCACAATGGTTACCACGGAGAAAGCAAACTTGGCCAACTGAAATTACTTATCTTTAAACACTGAAAAATCTATATGATTTTATATCTTACCTTAAGGTTTGTTCTAATGCAAATTGTAAAAATTCCGCCCGCATTGAACAGAATTGGTTTCTGGGCATTATAAATGAAGTGGAGCATGGTGGTCCTGTATCGACGGTCTGCCCCGATCCAATTGGAATGAAACAATGTGTTGGTTAGGGTTTCGCAGTCGTGGGTTAATAGCTCGCAAACATAACAGCAGGGAAAGGTTTGACAAATGATTGCATTGATATAGGCGGCCGAGGCTAAGCGTTCCATTGTGGTGGTATAAAACTGCAGCGAAACTACACAGAAACCCAAAAGAAGACCGACGGATAGTAGCTGTATAAACAGTGAGGCCGAGATCACCGGACGCATGGTGTTGCCAAGTCTGTTTGGTAAAGATAGTAGTTTATTATTTTGTCTAACGGTTGGGTCAGCACCTTTCTTACTCGACAATTAGTTTGTGATCCTTGATACAATCCGTCAGCTCCACATAATGCTGTTCATCCGGTTTGTCCGGATCGGATCGAAGATCATTGATTCGCTGTCTCAAAAGTTCAGTGTGTGTTCGCAATGTGACCACAAAAAGTACCGGATAGACGTCCAAAATGAGGTTTCCAAAAACAACCCAGCCGATTGTGCCCGTTTCCATTGCAATGGCCAAATATAAATGTTCCGCGGGGCTAGTCACTGGATTATACAGACAGAATGGAGTCTTTCCAGCAACTACAGCTCCTAGTACGGTCATAGTTAGGAAGCCCATATATACGAAATGGTATATAATGACGATTTTGTTACACAATGCTGCGGAGCGATGCACTTGAAGCTTCTCCTCCATTTTGGTGCAACGCGTGTCCATTATATCCATAATCTTCAAAGCCTTCGCGAATCGAGCGCGCAGAAAGAATACTTTAATGATCTTAATCATAAAGGCACTGGTGTTCACCGGAGCCTGAATATAGGTGAACAGCTCGGTGGTCGTAAAGTTCTTGAACTCCTTTATTCCGGCCATTAAAAGTGCGTAGGGCACGTAGACAAATATGAGCAAAGCAAGTATTAGGGCCCAAAGATTACAAAGCCACCAGAATGGCTTCGTTCTGGGCAGCACTCTCCATCCTATTTGCTTTCTGGCTCTGTTCACATAGACTAGCGAGTCACGGGATCGAAATAAAGCCCCAATGTTCGGCTCTTGGATATACTTGAAAATCATTTTCGATTTAAACTTTGCACTTGAACTCTGTCTTTTAATGACTGAAGGCAGTTTTTCAAAAAGCTGTATTTATACGAATTGTTTAATTGCTTAATAGCGAGTTAGATATTCATAAACCACAGGGTTATGCCAATAGCGAATAGGAAAATTGCAGGAAAATTGCTGACAGTTTTTCTGGGGGCGTGTCTCCAAGTGGAAATGTCTCACTTTGCTTTGAATAATTGATTGTTTAAACAGGTTGTTGTCACCATGTGCCTTTCACAGGGATTTTTAATTGCTTTGTTTATGGTTTTGTGAGGGATAAACTCTTTAGAAGAAAAAGCCTTTAAAACTGGGAACTAAAATCCAATCTTAGAACGAATAAGAATAGAATGGAGCGATGTGCACCTATCCTTAGGTGGATTTCTATGCGCCAAGGGGAAATCTTTGCGTCATCGCTCAAAGTGCATTTCCGCACGTTCCGGGCATTCAAATTGTGTTTTCCCAGTCACAATCTGCGGCAAGATGCCCGAGGCACCCACATCCGCAGTTCTGAGAAGCAAATGGTAGCGATTTTCAGCCGAACAAACGATCTGGTGCTTCCACTTGCCGATCCTCCTCCAGAACCCCTTTTCTGGCCTCTCACTCGGGCTTACTCATTTGCCACCGAAACTAATTAGACGCAAATGTGCTTTTGTTCGGTTCCCATTTCCATTCCCAGGCCGCTGCCTCTTTGCTTGTACTCTGTACTGGGAATCGGGAATGGCTTTCGGATGATACTGTTTGAGACTTACGGGAAAAAGATAATATATTTCTAGGGATATTTTTTTTATTAATTTTTCTGAAATATTAAAAAACTATGGTTAACATTAAAACTTTGAAAAATATAGTGGGCTGCAAAAGAAATCACATGGTTTTTTAAATCACTTTTAAAGGCGTCTAAAAGTAAGCAATACGAAAAAAGCAAGTAGTTTTTAATCTGTTTTCTTTTTGTTTTAAGAGTAGAAAAATACAAAGTTTATGGTATTTTCTAAAACAATCTGTTACATATGTAAGCAACTTATGTTACAGTGAAATCTTATATAAATATGTACACAATTACATACTAATCTGATGGATTTATTCGAAAAAGCCTCATTTCAATTTTCCATTGCATACTTTTAGGCAACATTGGTTGTGTTTTCTCTAGCTCTACTCTTACTTTCGCAAGCATTTTTACACTTTCGTGACTATTGCATTAAAAATAAGAAAAATAAATAAATAAAATAGGAAAATCTTAACGTTACGTAAAATGTAAACTTAAAGTAGTTCTTGATTCTGTTAAGGGATTTTTTGTTTCCTAAAAAGTACTTAAAAGGCGATGTGAGCGTCTTCTCCTTGTTTTATTTATTTATTGTATATTTTTATATAAAAACAATTATAAATTATTTCAAAGCTTAAGTGTAGCTTTCTATAGTCCTACCCATATTTTCGTATACCTGCATAAATTAGTTTAAATCTAATGTAATGTAAATTTAAAGTAGTTCTTCTTTTGAAGGACCTTCTATTTGCTAAAGAGTACTGCCATGTCGGTGTGACCTCATTCTCATTTTGTTTGGTTTTTTATCACCACTTTGGCTAATTCCGAACCCGTTTCCCTGCCGTTTCAGAGTCGCAGTGTCCGCAGTACGGCGAGGTGAACCAGCTGGGCGGCGTCTTCGTCAACGGTCGTCCGCTGCCGAATGCGACCAGGATGCGGATCGTGGAGTTGGCCCGCCTGGGCATCCGACCCTGCGACATATCCCGCCAGCTGCGCGTGAGCCACGGCTGCGTGTCCAAGATCCTGGCCAGGTACCACGAAACGGGCTCCATACTTCCGGGTGCCATTGGAGGCTCCAAGCCGCGGGTGACCACACCCAAGGTGGTCAACTACATCAGGGAGCTGAAGCAGCGCGATCCTGGCATCTTTGCCTGGGAGATCCGCGACCGCCTGCTCAGCGAGGGCATCTGCGACAAGACGAATGTGCCCAGTGTGAGCTCCATTTCGCGGATCCTGCGCAACAAGCTGGGCAGTCTGGGTGGTGGTCACCAGCATGGACCATCTGGAGCGGTGATGGGCAGTGGCAGCAGCAGTGGCGGCGGCAGTGTCTCCAGCAATGGTGGTCAGAACAACGGAGGTGCTGCCAATAACAATATCAACTTGGGAAATCTGGCGAATGCCGGCGGTGGACCGCACCATCCGCACCACCACCATCATCATCATCACCAGACGGCGGCAGCGGCGGCGGCCAGTGCCCATCATGTCCACGCCCATGCCCATGCCCACGCCCACCTATACAACTCGATCTACCAGCCGTACAGCGCTGCGGCAGCCTACAGCATGAAGGCCGTGTCCTGCGGCAGTCCCTCGCCGCCGCAGGGAGCAGGGGGTGGTGGCCAGGGATCAGGGCCCCATCCGCACCAGCTCAGGAGTGTGGCCGCCGCCGCAGCAGCCGCCCACTGGCCCTCCTCCCACTCGGTCAGCGACATTCTGGCCCACCACCAGGCGGTTGCGTTGCGGGCCAGCTGTCAAGTGGGCGGCATGGTGGGTGGTGGCATGGGCAGCACGGTGTCCCCGCTGCCCATGACCCCATCCCCTGTGGCTGGGACGGCCGGCGGTCAGACCCTGCTCGACTGCGAGGGCGGAGCCGGACAGCAGTCGCCGTACAACTACTACATGTACTTCCAGAACGGCGGAATGCACCACCATCATCACCACGGCGGAATGATGGCCGCCGGAGCCACTGGGTTATGAGTGCATGGCTCTACTAGCAGGGGTTGGTTGCGGGCTTAGCTACTCTTTCGATCGCGGTTGTTCAGTCTAGGTTACTCTAGTCTAGTCTAAGCACTATGGTCATCATATCATGGCACTCATTTATCACCCAAAATAGTCAACGATTATACATAGTACTTCTGTTTAGTTTTCAGTTTCCTGGAAATTCTTTCTGACTAAGCAGCTTGCAAATATTGGAATGCGTCTAGGCAAAGGCAAATAGATAAAACGTTGTGAAATATGTCTCAAAGATTATTTAAACAAGCTCAAGGTTTGCTTAGTTGCACAGAACAAAGTCGTTATAAGATCAGCTAAACGAAGTTGCTAAAAAAAGCTAAAAGTAAGTTGCTTTTAAATATAAACTAAAATATTTAAAAGCAAACTAAATTTGTATTTGTTAATTTAACATTATAAAGTATAAATATTATTACTACTATTGTTTGATAAGTGAATGCCATGATTTAAGCCATATTTATGTGAGTTGTGGACTACTAGCACTCAGAACTGGCACTGTCCGCATTTTTACAACGAATTTCATGTAATCCAGGAGATTTATCTTTGCGTTCTCTTTTTTTTATGTTTCACATTGGATTGTTTTCGCTTTGAGTTGGAGTTGAAAAGATCAAGTTAATTAAATAATAAACCTTTATTGTAAAATGGAATGTATTGAGTGGTATGCCAATCGATTTGGAAACATACGTGTTGTATAGGTTCTCGTTCTCATCACTACTATTTGTACAATATGCTCATATTAAGTAAACTAGTTGACTAATTTATGCTACGATTACATCAATTATGATTAAACCAAGTGTAACTATCGAATAAAAATGTATTTTTAGACAATGTGTGTGATTACTTGGGGACGGGACTGTTCGATGTGTGGGCCAAATCTGACAAGGGCTTTGGTGTCTAACAACTGGTAGGTATAACAACGAAGTATGGGACTATCCTAGACCTAAGGACAGCACTCGCTATCGTCGGGATTCTTTTTGTTCCAGCCAAAGACGAAGTAGCCCAGGCCCAGGCCCAGGATCACGGCCAGGCAGAGCCAGTAGTTGAATGTCATGAAGATCAGCATGAGCAGGTAGGAGATGACTATCTGCAGGAGGTTCAGCAGCGACTGGAAGATGTGCGATGAGGCGAACAGGCGCTGCCAGTAGGTCTGCTCCCTGGGCTCCGCCAAAGGAGTCTCCGAACAGCATCCTCCGGCCGCCGGCACCTCGTTCTTCCGACGCTGCTCCGCCGCCAGTCGCTCGCTCTGCCTTCGGGCCTCCCTTCGAGCCAGCTGCTGGCGCAGGAACTTGAGGGCCTCGTACAGGAAGGACACCAGAAAGATGGCCAGGGCGGAAAGGACGAACTCCGTCACCGTGGACGCCACCCAGCCGCGCCACAAAATGCGCTCGCAGTGCCCAGCATGGAACTGTAGGATATATATGAAAAGGATTTGTTAAAAAATTTACTTTTAAAGCTTAGATTTGTGTTTTTTTTTTATTACCTAAAACTATTTCAATGACTAAGAGGTTCATTGGTTCACTACAATTAATATAATTTTTTGAAAACACCTAGCACGTAAATTAAACAAAATATATCAAATCGTTGATTTTAGTTTTTGACTGTTTTATAATATATACATTTAATCGTAGATAACAGCTTGATATGGAGAATAAATATTATAATTTAATACAAATTTTAAATTATACATTTAAAAGTAAAAGTAATTTTTATGTCTTACGATCTAACGTTTAAATCAACACTGTATTCCCCCTAAATCCAACTTAACACCCTGTATAAGCATATTCAATTTGTATTTGTTGAGAGCGACACAAAAAGAGGCAGAGAGCGAATAAATCATTCCGGCGCTAGTCACATAAATAAGTATACAACCTAGGGAGTGACTAGCCAGAGAATTAAAATTCCATGTCGGACGAGATATTTGCTCTCCGGCTCTGAATCCGAATCTCATTCAGCCGAACTGGATGAGTGACTTTAAAAATTACTGCGTTTAGCATATAGGTAAGTGATTTCATATTCATAATTTCAGGCCGTGGGGGTTGTGTAACTCAGTACTTACCACCATGATCATGGGACAGGATTTCTCCGTGCTGGTGGAGTCATCCGAAGAGCCGTGGTCGTGATCGTGATCCATCAGGGTTTGCTTATTAAAAACAGACTTTGTTAAACAAAAGACGTGGAAAACCCGACTGCTGATCGGGGAAGCACACAGTGATAACAACTAGAGCTGCTGAGGGGCTGAGAGCAGAGCGTTGACTGCTTGAAGCTCACTGCTCGCGAATGGTTTTTTAAAGAAAATCGACCCTAATCCCGCCGACGAGGCGATAGGCAAGTGCGCTTATCTATGAGAAATGGGAAAGGTGCGTTATCAACCAGTAGCACCGATACCAACGATTGTGGCCCCAGAAAATGTATAGCCATGTAAATAAACGTAAATGCATTCAAATCTTAAAGATAATACTATCTAATGCACATCTTTATCAACAATATCTACATATCTCTGAAGATAAAATTCATCCTTGATCTCTTATCTTCCCATAGGCTTGCAATTTAATTTATGGTCCAATGGCAAAGGTTCAATGATCGATTTGAGTGCAGAATTTATTGCAATCCAGCTAATCAACAATGTGCTGTATAATTCCCCCTGAAATTGTTGCTGTAATACATGGTGTTGAAATTTTTCCATTCTTTCTTTTCCTCGAGTACGGTTTTATGGTACTAGCCGTATCATTCATACATAGGTATATAACCGCCGGAGCGATAGCAACCGCCGGGCAGAGGTTTGCCGGAGGTCTGCCTTAGTCCACTTGGCTTTCCTAGAGTGCTATTTCTAACTGGCCTATTTCTAACTGGGCTCGAATGCCGCCGAAACCGATGGCCGTGTGCAAATCTTCTGCGGCCGTGTGCAAATAGTCTACGGACATTCCTGCGCCGTGTGCCAACTTCGAAAAATTGGTAACGGGCGCAAAACATTAACGATATTGCAAAGGGGTTAGTGGTTGGGTTACTAGTTGAATTTGAAAGCTTTTCGTTAAGTCTTTTTGGCGGGGAAACTGAGTGACTTGCAGTTATGTCTTTGCTTTTGATTTGCAAAAAGAAATAGGAAACATTTTAAATTTTATTGTGCAATTTGTAATCCGCTTTGTAGCTTTGTTTAGTTAAATCCAGTTTAAAGCATTGAAATAACATCAATTTCCAGACTTAAATTTGGATCTCTAAACATTCCACTTATATTATTAAACTTACGGCAATCACCTTTAAAGATCACAACTATTTTAACATTATAAATATATTTTAAATTTAAATATAACGCGCGCTTTTTGTCAGTGCTACCAGCAGTGCACGTTTTTCCAACGATCCGGTAACACTATATCTACCTTTCGCCTGGGTGGTAGCCTTGTGACATTCCCAACCAAAGTTCCACCAAAAATCTTGCCATTTTTCGTGAGTTTTTAAATTAAGAAACTCCATCGCATATTGTGTGATTAAATGCTGTAACCATTCAAGTAGTATTTGCAAGTTGATTTGCAATGTTCGCGCTACGACACCTGCGACTGCAGAGCTCGCGCCACTTTCGCAGCTCTTATGCGGCGGCGGCAACAACAAAACACATGCTACCCCGGCTACCAGCGCGTGTTCTGATTGGAGATTTGAGCCACTGGGACAGGCGGCAGATGCAGGATTTAAGCTCCAGCTCCAGGAGTTCGAGTACAGCCACTGAACCCGCGAAGCCTCGAACGCCGGTGGAGGAACTGCTGGCCGCCGCCAAACCCTATGCCCAACTAATGCGAATCGACCGGCCCATTGGAACGTACCTGCTTTTCTGGCCCTGCGCCTGGAGCATAGCTCTCAGCGCGGATGCGGGCTGCTGGCCGAATCTCACCATGCTGGGCTTGTTCGGCACTGGGGCACTGATCATGCGCGGCGCCGGCTGCACCATCAACGATCTCTGGGACAAGGACATCGATGCCAAGGTGGAACGAACCAGGATGCGACCCTTGGCCTCCGGACAGATCAGTCAGTTCGATGCCATTGTCTTCCTCTCCGCGCAGCTCAGTTTGGGTCTTCTAGTCCTGGTTCAGCTCAACTGGCAGTCCATATTGTTAGGGGCCAGTTCGCTGGGCCTGGTGATCACCTATCCGCTGATGAAGCGGGTCACCTACTGGCCCCAGCTGGTCCTGGGCATGGCCTTCAACTGGGGCGCCCTGCTGGGCTGGTGCGCCACCCAGGGGGGTGTCAACCTGGCCGCTTGTCTGCCGCTCTACCTCTCCGGCGTTTGCTGGACCATCGTATATGATACAATATACGCCCACCAGGACAAGTTGGATGATTTACAGATTGGGGTGAAGTCCACGGCCTTGAGATTTGGCGAGAACACCAAGGCTTGGCTGTCTGGTTTCACGGCAGCTATGCTGACGGGTTTGTCCGCCGCTGGCTGGGCCTGTGATCAAACGGTGCCCTATTACGCGGCTGTGGGAATCGTTGGTGCTCATCTAGTGCAGCAGGTAAGCCTCTTTAAAATGCCATTCCATAAGTAATTTACCTAAATTCCACTTTATAACAGATATACTCCCTTAATATTGACAACCCGAGTGACTGTGCCAAGAAGTTCCTATCGAATCATCAAGTAGGACTCATTCTCTTTCTGGGCATTGTTCTGGGCACGCTCCTGAAATCAGACGAGACCAAAAAAATGCACCAAGCCACACTGACACCAAGCTCCTATGTCCCCGCGCTGCCCCAACAGCCAGAGGTTATAAGCTGAGATAATCCAGCCCAGTAGAACTTCTAGTGTTAGTTAATGTTTATAGCGCGCTTTTTTGTTCGCCAAAACCAAAGTCTTTAGGTATCTGATTAGGTAAAACCGTGTATATAGGCTTGTGACCATTTTTAGTTTATTTGCAATATTTTAAATCTTAAAAAAAATTGCTAACTCACTTGAACAATAATTAAAAGTTAATTATAAGTGCCGGCCTTGACGTAATGACTTACGTAAATCACCCGTCCCCTGAGTCCCCTTTTACTTTTCAAAACAAACTGGTTTCTGTATTAAATTCTAATGTGTTATTTATTATTATACAGATTTTGGTTGTCTATTGAAAGCCAAATACTCTTCAAATGTATTTACTTCATTCGTTTGTTGTTACGGCTAGGAAAATGTGTGTTATATAAAAGTAAGATAGAATTGTATTTTAGATCAAGTCGGCCACGTTCATGGGCATTTCGTCGATTTGTGTAGAGTAGTACTGTTCAATATCGCGCAGGATGCGGATATCATCCGATTTGACAAAGTTGATGGCAACACCCTTGCGTCCAAAACGACCCGATCGACCGATGCGGTGAATGTACAGCTCACGATTGTTGGGCAAATCGTAGTTGATGACCAGCGAGACCTGCTGCACGTCAATACCGCGAGCCCACACATCGGTGGTGATAAGGACGCGCGATTGGCCGGCTCGGAACTCCTTCATGATCTCGTCACGCTCCTTTTGCGGCATGTCGCCGTGCATGGAGCTCACCGTAAAGTTGGCCTCTCGCATTTTCTCCGTCAGCCAGTCGACCTTGCGCTTCGTGTTGCAGAAGATGACGGCCTGGGTGATGGTCAGCGTGTCGTACAGATCGCACAGGGTGTCGAATTTCCACTCCTCACGCTCCACCGCCACGAAGAACTGTTTGATGCCCTCCAGCGTCAACTCATCGCTGTAAGGGAATAGGCATTATTTATAACTAAGTAGTACATATACTAAGAGCAGTCAACTTACCGCTTAACCAAGATGCGGATGGGATCCGTCATGAATTTTGAGGTCATTTCGAGTATCTCATGGGGCAAGGTGGCGGAAATGAGCACCACCTGAGTGGCAGGTGGCAAATAACGATACACATCGTATATTTGTTCCTTGAATCCCTTGTTCAGCATCTCATCCGCTTCGTCGAGCACCAGCATCTTGATGGCTCTTTAACATAACATATAATTAGTTAGGGTTTTTTAAATCGATTAACCCAAATCCCACCTTGTTCGCAGCACCCGCCGCTTGATCATGTCGAACACTCGTCCTGGGGTGCCACTCACAATGTGCTGGCCGTAGTCTAGTTTGCGGATGTCCTCGCCCAGGTTTGTGCCACCAATGCACACATGGCACTGGACGTTCATCATGTCGCCGAGGGCGAGGATGACCTTTTGGATCTGGACGGCCAACTCACGGGTGGGGGAGAGGCACAGGACCTGCGTTTCCCGCAACGTGGTGTCCAGGCTCTGCAGAATGGAGATGGAGAAGGTGGCCGTTTTGCCCGTGCCCGATTGTGCCTGTGCAATCACATCCCGTCCCTTGACGATGGGTTTGATGCTCCTCTGCTGAATGGCCGAGGGTTTCTCGAAGCCTTAAAAGATTCCAGACATATGTTACCCCAAGATCGGCAAAGAGGTATACACACCACTCACCATACGCGTAGATGCCGCGTAGCAGCTCCTCTTTCAGATTCATGGCATTGAAGGTGGGAATCACTTCCACATCCTCGCTCGTCTCGAACTCCACGTTCGAGAGGTCCTCGGCCTGGGCATTCTTTCGCGCCATTTTCACTGCTTACTTGTGCTCGGATTGGGCAATATTTAATAAATATTTACCAACTTTTCGGCTATTTTTTCAACTTTCACGAAATGCGGTTAGGGATGGTGAAGGGACAAGCGCAGAGTTGACTTGGCATCGATAGGTCTTAGGCGTGTTATCGATTTTAGAGTTGTTGTGTTTTAAAAAAAGTGGCACCCCTGGTTTTTGAGAGCGCCATTTTTGAAACTGTACTTTTAAGAAAATCAGCATACATTCAAAATGTAAGTTATTAAATATGTAATATAACAAAATATAAACATGTTTATTGCCATGAACAAAACATTCAACTCAGGTGTGTTTGCGCCTGACTGCTCCTACTCCTTCTTCTGCGAAGTATCTTTTTCAAGGACAGGAGATCCTTTCGCTTCAGGTTCTTGATCTTGGACACGAGTTTCCGTACTGTGTCGATCCGTTGCTTGGCCTCATTGGCTGCGGCGCTGGCCTTTTTGGCGCACTCTCTATTCCGTTCCAGATCAGCTCGAGCCTGATCTAAGCAAGGGTGCATCTCCTCCACCCGTCTTTTGGCCGCTTCAAGGAACCCTCGTCTTTCCACTACCACTTTCTGGGCATTGTGGGCCACTCTCCGAAGAAGGTCAAGACTGGCCTTCATCTCCTGGAAGAGACGTTGCATGCCGACCAGCACTTGCTGAATCTTGCCACTGATTCCCTCGGCTTTCTTCACAGAGCAGGTGTTGGCGGCAATGGCCCGTTTGATTTCCACGATAACTCGCTGCGTTTCGTTCAGGTTCTTGGTGAGCTCCTCCAGCAGCTGCTTCTTGCCGTTGTGTGCCGCCTGAGCGGCCCTGGCCGCCTGCGCCGCCCTCTCCGCCAGCATGACCTTCGCCCTCTGACTCGCACACTCCCCCGCACTCGGCTGGGCATCATTGGCAGCCTTTGCCTCCTTGGCGGCCTGGCAAGCCATCTGACTGGCCTTCAGGTTCGCCTTGCAGAAGTTGATGGCGGGCTTGAAACGCGGATCGTTCCGCGGGGCAGAGTCCGACGTCCTCGTTAGCAGGATGTTCATCAGCAAGAGCATCATAACCAGGGACTGGCAACGCATCGGGAAGCTCGCATCTTACACAAATATCAAGGCTCGCTCATCAGGAATATTCAAATAAGGTCACTATAAAATATGTATGACAAGTGAATAATAGACACCTGAGCTCTTAAAATATACAAAAAAACAACCATAACAGTTTTTCTAAAAATGTTTTCTGATGTTATTGCTAAGGACCAACTTATTTAAGTTATTTTGTAGTTGCAGAGCAACAAAACAAGCAGCTAAAAAAAAATTGCATAGCTATTTCAAACGGTAAACATACATTAAATGCATTTAGCAATTTGTTGTTGTTACAAAATATTTAATAGTTTCGTACAACAAGTTTCCCGTTTTCTGAAATTAAAATGCGGTGACCAACATTTTAGAGAACTGGATCATCTGAAAAAAGTAAATATCTTTAATTAAATTACACTATAGACTATAGTCTTTAAAAACAACACTTTAGACAAAATTTTCAACAATCAGCTTTTGTATGCCTGATATTTTTCTGTCAATGTCTAATTTGGAATAACATTTGCGTGTGCTAGTATTTTCCAAAACCAAGGCATGGATATAAAACCAGTTGTTTTCTTGCTTTTGCACCTATTCTCAGGCCTTTCCGAAGGCTATAAGATGGCCCAGGTAAGAGGGAAGCCTTTCACTTAGTGACTATCAATTGAAGCTATGATCTCCAAGATCTCCGATGACATGACTGGAGTGGTATCGGACCTCCAGTGTTCTGGCGATATTAGTCCAACCGAACCCTCAGGTGGTCAGTCGTGCGGCATCAAGACGGACGGCAAATCGAAGGTGAGGGCCTCCAGCATTGCCCTGAAGGCGGCCAAGGAGGCCAAGGACGCATCCGATGCCCAGTTGGAGGCGGGAGAGGCCGCGGCCCGCCAGGTGAAGCAGCAGCTGGCCGAGAAGGCCCAAGCTGCGGCCAAGGCGGCGGAAGCGGTTCTGGCCGGGAAGCAGCAGGTCGTGGAGCAACTGGAGTCGGAGGTGCGGGAGGGCGAACTGGTGGTGCAGGAGGAGAGCACCCTGCTGCAGACCACCCAAGCCACCTGTTCGGCTGCCGGACAAGCCGCCAAACAGGCCACGGACCAGCTGAAAACCATCTCGCAGGCGCTGAAGAATGCCCAGGATAAAGCGGCCAACTCGGAGCAGGTGGCCAACGGAGCCCAACTGGAGCTGGCCGAGAAGCAGCAGCTGGTGGATGCGGCCAAGAAGCGGGTGGAGCTGCTACTCCGCCAGTTGGAGGTGGCCAGGACGGACTTCAAGAGCACAAAGGCAGCGGCCGAAAAGGCAGCCTGTGCCGCCCAAGAAGCCAGACAAAGGGCCACTCGGGAGCGAAGGAGGGCGGAACTGAGGCACTTGATACGCCTCAAGAGGGGACGAACCCACTGAGATTGCTAGGGCCTTCATTTTATATATTTATTCCATTTAAGTTAACTATCAGGCATCGATAGTACCCATATAAGTCAGGCAAATATTAATTTTCTGTTTTGTACAGCTTATAATTAACTTTATATTTTATATAATTGTACTTGGAGCAACTTATTTGAATATTATTATTATTATAATTAAATATCAATGTACTATCTGGTTCGGTGTATTATAAACATTATATTTAATATTACTTAAATCAATTTGTTTACATATACAAACATAAATACCTACCAATTTTGTAAAATGAATTTTCACAATAAATATATAACTTTTTTTTAGAAAGACAATTCTTTTTATTCTGCTTTAACTTAATGGTGCGTATACTTAATATACCCACATAACTTTTAAAAGTTTAGGAATATAATGGTTGTTGTATTAAATCCCAAAAATTCGAAAACAAATATTTCATATTACTTATGTTAAACTGGTTTGAGTGGTTGTCCGATGCGAGGCATTAATTTTTGTAAAATTAGTTAATCAAAAGTGATCTTTTACTCTACAATTCCTTGCTTGCAGAGACAATCCTTTCAATTAAATTACACCATTTAATTTAATGATGCTTACACTTAGTACACCGATTGTAAACTTCCGAAAACTCCTCCATGTTCACACGTCGATCTGCGAGGAAGCGAACAATCATCGGACACGGTCTTTCGTCATATTCACTGGCACCGGGATCGGGGGCATTTAAAGCGTCTCATGGCAATTAGAGGCTCTTCCATAATTGCGGCTACAAATTATCCAATCGGCCAGCCTGGTAGCATTGACCCAGCACCATTATCGTTCGTGTTTGTGCATGGTTTGTGCACTGTATCTATAACCATGTGCCAACGGGTTTGCACTTTCTTCGGCGACCCGACCAGTTTGTTTATAAATACATGGCGCCACCGGTGGCCAACTCTCAATCGTCGCCGAGTCCCCACCGGATTTACAAAACCCATTTGCGCCGCTCCCAACTTTTCCGAGTGCGAAAGTAAAAGCGTTTTCCACCGAACCCGTCCATCGACATTGGCTCCGTTTTCGGGGGCCGATCCACCACTGGCCTCAGAAGCACTTCGACTCCGGTCCACACAGGACGTTCGTGTCGGTCAAATCGAAGAATTCGCAGTCGAATTTGTGGTCGAATTTGTTGTGTAATTAAAAATAAAAATCGAAAGGTGCGCCCAATTCGTCAGCTTGAGTGATAACTGTGTGATTTGTGTGCTGTCCAGTTTGGCCGGCCTTAAAACTAAACAGGTTCTCCTGTGGAACAAATCAGTCCGTGGCACACTAACGACTTACCGGTCATCCTAGAGCAAAGAAAGTGCACGGCCATATATTAGCTAATAGGCAAAGCAGCCACATAACTGGTTGCATTGTGATTATGCACTCAGAAAAAAGGTGTCCTTGCTGAGGCTTACTTGTCACTCCCAATTTAAGATTTGGTTTCCTCTTAAAAACTTACAGTGAGAGTTATACGGAGGAAGACCAAAAAAAACTTCTGAATTTAAAAAAAGTTAGATTAGTTTGTGATAATAGTCAAATCATCTATATTTAATTAAAAGCGGTTAAAATAAACAACAATATTAGTACTTATTGTACACAAAAATGTGACATATTTACACTAACTAATGTGTTCCAGAAACTTCTTAATGATTTTATGTCTATTAGTAGCGAAGTGAATATAGTTTTCAAGTTTTTCGGAGAAATTTTGCTTATAAGTTATTAAATATGGTGGCTTTTCCTTTGATAACGTCTATGTAACATTCAGTTCTAATATCATTCTCAGGAAGGATATATTCTTTTTAGGAAACAAAATCAGAATAAATCGAACTTTAATTATATCAATGTTAATTTCAGTTGCGAGAGATTCTATTCCGGAAACAAAATCCATTTATTTGCATTTTCACATAACATTTAACAAATTATTTTAATCGGTAAAAGCATTTACAGAAACTCTTGTTGTCACATGCGTAAAAAAAAAAATTGTTTTTCCTTTTGTAAGAAAGTATAATTTACAAGACATTAATCTTCAGACACCTTTGTAAATGTCAAGTAATTTAATTTTCTTCCCGATTTTATCGCCCAGGGGCATTTGATCGCTTCGTGCGGCACAGGAACACACAGGCACACACAGGCACACACGCTTGCGGCGATCACGAGTCTTCCGGTTCCGCGGCTTCCTTTCGCCAGCTGCTCCATTGCATAATCACCGCCAGAGATGCCATCGCTGCTGCGGCACCTGCTCCTCCTGACGCTGGTTTTGGGTGAGTCCAGCCCACGACTTCCTCATGCAAATCTGGCTACATTGGGGGATTTCCCTGTGTGTGTGTTTCAGCGGCCACGCCGACGCTGGGTCGCAAGGTGAAGCGGAAGGAGTCGCACTATCACCACCTGGTCAATGTGCCACCCCCACCCCCGCCTTCATCAAACCAAGCAGCGGGTCCGGTGTCCCAGCAAACGGCGGTGATCGAACACGAGGTGCCCCCCTACACCTACGAAGCCATTAACCATGATGAATTCGAGCCGGCCAAGGTGAAGCTGTCCCACTTCGAGGCCTCATCCGACTACATAGTGCACACTCTGCACAATGGAGGTGGAGGTGGGGGTGGTTACCTCGCGGATAACGGACTGCGGAGCATAGCCAAAGGCTCAGCGGATCAGGCTCTGTCCGCAGTGGCCAGCCAAAATGCGGCCGGCAAGCAGGCCTCGTATGTGGCCAAAAGCACTTTGGCCCAGGCGGCTGCTCAGGCAGCCGGCACTGCAGTGGCCGTGCTCAAGGGCAAGGAGGTGCTGCTCCATCGACTGGAGGATCAGAGTGTGGAGGCGCACAAGGCGATGGAGAACGAGCTGACCCAGTTGCAGCAGGCCAAGCGATCGGCGAAAGCGGCCCAATATGCCGCCCAGCAGGCCATCAACCATGTCAGTGTGCTAACCGCAGCACTCAACAATGCCCAATCCGCATCGGAATTGGCGCAAAAGGCGGCCTCCGAGGCAGCCGCCGAGTTGGCCTCCCAAATCGACATGGTGGCCCAGGCCAAGACCAAGCTGGAGCACGCTGAATCGCAGGCCTATGCTGCTCGCTTGGACTACGAGGAGACGCGGGATGCGGCTGAGAAGGCCACCCTGTCCGCCCAGGAGGCCCACCTCAATGCCAACGATGCCGCCTTGCACGCCAATGTGGAGCTGGCCGAGTCGACCCACATCCATGAGAAGAGCGACCGGAATGTTAGGGAACCGCCGCGGAACCATCGACGTCCATGAGGCTCTCTTCCCTGATCCACGCTTTTAATCTCTATTTATTTGTTTTCCTTATTTAATGATTATGTTTGTGGCAGCGATTCAATAAAGTTTTGTTTACTTTTAAATCTCTCTTTTTATGTCAACATCGTGATTGCAATTGGTTGAATAAGGCAAACAAGCCATTGAGAGGTGTCTAGTGAGGTAGTTTTCAGGAAATTTGCTTATGTTTTCAATTGACTTGAGTCTCTTAGGAGCATATATGCTAGTTATTTATTAATATAATAAATGTATGATTTAAAAACCATGTGTTCCAAAATATGACAAGGTATAAGAGTGTGATTTGAAAAATAGTACAGTTAACTTAAATTTTGATTAGACATTGTTTGAATAAGTATTTTTAAATTATTTAACCGTGTCTTTTACTCATAAATATAAATCTGGGAAAACTGTAAATTTTAAACTTATATTTGAATAAGCCGCCCTTGCGACCTTTATGTTGGTGGGGAACCCAGCTAACTCATATTTCTCCGGGCTAATTTAGGGTATTTATAAGCAAGCATATTTTTGTGACCCAGCAACGGTCACACTTTTGTTTAGATTTTCTGAGCCGGCAAAAATAAAAACGTAAATACTGTAATAAAATTTCATTTAACTTTAACTATGAGTCGCACAGAGCAAACATTCGATGACCTAAAGTCGTACTTCCGAAGTCACAGCAAAATCCGTGAACAGCGGGCGCACATGTCCAAGGTGAGCTTGATGTTCCCAGAGGTTCAAAGATTTCTTACTAAAAATTGAGACTTGTCTTCATTGAAATCCTTTCCAGGTTCACTCCGTCTGCTGGAATGCCGATGGCCGTCACCTGGCCTCCGGATCCTTCGACAAGACGGTGGCGGTGTACTCCCTGGAGCGCGATCGCTTCGTGAAGGGCAGCATTTACCGGGGCCACACTGCGTCCGTGGACCAGCTCTGTTGGCATCGCACCAATCCCGACCAGTTTGCCACCGCCAGTGGCGACAAGACCGTGCGAATCTGGGACATACGGGCCGGAAAATGTGTCTCGGTGACCAATACCAAGGGGGAGAACATCAATATTGCCTGGTCCCCGGATGGCAAAACCATTGCGGTGGGCAACAAGGAGGATCTGATCACCTTCATAGACACGCGCACGAACAAGATCCGCGTGGAGGAGCCCTTCAGCTTCGAGGTGAACGAGATCTCGTGGAACAACACCAACGATCTGTTCTTCCTCACCAACGGACTGGGGTGCATGCATGTCCTTAACTATCCCAGTCTGGAACACCAGATGACCCTGAAGGCCCATCCCGCCAACTGCATTTGCATAGAGTTTGGACCAACGGGTATGCCAGTTATGCTCAGCCAAGCTAAATCTCTAACTGTTTGTGTTTTCCAGGTAAATACTTTGCCACTGGCTCGGCGGATGCCCAGGTTTCTCTGTGGGATGCCAACGAGCTGGCCTGCCTGCGCATCATCAGCCGCCTGGAGTGGCCCGTTCGGACCATATCGTTCAGCCACGACGAACGCCTGATTGCCTCGGCCAGCGAGGACCTGATCATAGACATTGCCTTCACGGAGACGGGCGAACGGGTGACGGACATCCACGTGGACGCCTCCACCTTCACGGTAGCCTGGCATCCCAAGCAATACCTGCTGGCCTATGCCTGCGACGAGAAGGACAGTGACCGGCGACGGGACGCGGGCAATGTCAAGATATACGGCTTTCCGGAATAAACTACTGCTTAAGGCACCTCTGCTGGTAGAAGCCTTGTTTACTTTCCAATTATCTCAGAGTGTAACTTTATCGCTGGAGTTTAAAGTTGACTAGGTCACGTCGCCGGGGCCAAGCAACTGGATTATCAATTGCAGGGCTTCGCCTTCGGACGTGTTCGAATTCCTGCTGCAATTCGAGTTTTATCTTCTCCGGCACGCTTTTATGGCCTCACAGGACCTACGGGCTATAACCTGCTGTCTGCTGCTTAATACTGCATCAATCGGTGGTCTTGCTGTGGCAGCCACTTCACTTTTATCATGCAAATAACGGCATTGGCGGCTGCTGACCTGATATAGGTTTACGGTTATGGCTTCCTACACTTTATGCTATTAATCAGTGGTCGCTCTCTGCAGAGGACTTAATCCGAGGAAGGGATTGCCTGCGTCAAAGGATGTTCGGCGAGTGGGTGGGTAGTGGGTGGTGTCAATTGTTGGTGTGTGCTTTTCTTTGCTCAAATTCGAACTCTCTGCAGAAAAAGGCGCAAGTGACAAACACACAGGACGAATGTGTATCGCTCACATATCCCATCCGCGTGTGGAGTGCATCAGCAAAAGCAAAAGCCATTTGTATGCCATCCGCACATTTCCCGCCATTTGCCCCATATCCCATTCAACCACTCGAAGCAACATCAATATTTGCTTTACTAAAAGTTTTCGATAAATTTCAGTTTTGAACTGCCAGTTCCGCCCAATATTTTCAAAGGGCAAGGGCATCCAGTAATGAATCACAGTTAATTGTTATCATTGGGGCAAAAGTGCACTCTTGACAAAGAAAAAAAAACGTTGAATTTTAACTTCAAATAAACTAAACGGAGACGGTTTGATATTTTAAACTTACAATTATGGTCTTAAGTAAAGTGTTAAATTTTGAGAAAATTTAAGATCCAAAATTAAATTATTATTGTGGGATGTTAGACATAACATAAACTAACATAAATTTTTAACTTGACACTTAAGAAAAGTGTTGAATTTTGAGTAAATTTATCAGCAAAAACGACATCCTCAAGTAAAGGGTTACATTTTGATGACATTTGAAAAACTGAATTAATAAATAATTGTTGTTTATTGCTGGCCGTATAAATAGCGTCACATTAAGTCAACCGAAAATATTTATTTTAAATCTATAGTGAATTAAGGCAGCTGCTGCAATCATTTAACGACTTATTTATTTATTATTTGTATTTTAAAGGGAAATTAACTATGCGAATGTAAGGCTGAACTTAACAGAGACTTTGCTCTCGCTCATTCAGCACAGCTGTTAAGTCTGGATTTGTCTGCAAACGTTCCCCACGCACGCATGTTAGTTAACACAATTTTGATTATCGCATGCGATATATGTTACATTCCTATGGCAATGAAATGAAACACTTCTGTTAATCATTTCCCCTGTTAATAATGTTGTAAGGTACTGTAAATAGTTCACAAATCTTGAAGAAAAAATAGAATAAATTCAATTGCAATTTCGTAGCCCATATACTATATTACTAACAAAATTGCTGCATTTTTCTGAAATAAAATTTGATTTTGAGCATTATTGTATGCATATAATAACGTATTAGATATACATAATTTTGCATACACTTGAGTGGACTTAAAGCGCTCCAAACTTTTTTCAGCCTCAAGCTGCATTTTTAAGGCCTTTCATTTCATTCATTTTTTGGCCAGCCAAAATGTAACAATCCCATTGTCTCCTGCATTTGTGAAGAAGTCACAGTTGTTCTTCAAGCCTGAAAAGATAATAGTCAATTGATGGGAAACGCAAACATGAAAACAGGTCGAGTGCAAGTCATTAAATTGAAAAAGGAAAATACTTTCTGGCCAACTTGTTCTTTTCCATGCCGCTGTCACTTCGGACAAACTTTGACAACGCATCGAAATGGATGCGGACTTCAGTTGAGAAATCGGAGGAGTTGCTCCCACCCGGAATTTATGTCGACTGTCGTCGGGACTTATGCGCTTTCGACTGCTGTTTGCCCCCAAAGCAAAGTATTGATTGCCAAACTTGAAGTGCACGTAAATTGGCCTAAACTTTGTTTTAAGTTGGCTGCGGTTGGTTTGTGCACCATTTAGTTTTCGGAAAGTATACGTGTCTTGCAAAGAGTTTTGCAAACTTTAAAACTAAACACCTTACGCTTTGTTTTGGGTTGTTTGCTTTAAATATTTGTAGGGTCCTTAAAGTTGCATTAAAAGAGGAGCAGGAAAAAAAAATAGTTATTGCGCGCCTTTTTTCAAAAATTTGTAGTGCTGGAAAATACTTGAACAACAACCAGTTCTTGTTCGGTGTGAGTCTTTGCTAAACGTGGTCTGGTGTGACCATTTTTCAAAATTAGAATGTTCTCAATGTCGTTATCGATGTGTTTCCATCTCCATCAGGCAAATAACAACTGGGAAATCACGCCGTCATAAATTCGGAAATTCAAAAATCCGGAAAGCCTGCGAGATGTCCGTGCGCCACGACTGGTACCAATCGGAGACGAAGGTGGTCATCTCCGTGCTCCTGAAGAATGCCGCCGACAAGCACTACGCAGTGGAGATTTCCGCGGATCGGGTCCACATGACGGCGGATGGCTATGAGCTGGACCTGAAGCTGCTGCACCCCATCGTCGTGGAGCGCTCCTCGCACAAGGCATTCGCCTCCAAGGTGGAGATTACCCTGGCCAAGGAGACGGGCCTGCGCTGGGAGAATCTGGAGAAGAAGGCTGTGGCCGTGGCTGCGCCCGTCAAGAGCCAGCCCAAGAACTGGGACCAGCTGGTCAGCGAGGAGGAGAAGATCGACGAGAAGGAGGCCAAGGGTGAGACGGCCCTCAACAACCTGTTCAAGAAGATCTACAGCACATCCTCGCCGGAGGTCCAGAAGGCCATGAACAAATCCTTCTCGGAGTCCGGCGGCACCGTGCTCAGCACCAACTGGGACGAGGTGGGCAAGGAGAAGGTCACCGTGAAGCCGCCCGATGGAACAGAGTTCCGCGAGTGGGAGAAGTAGAGCGGCAGGCTCGTATTTTTAAAGTCGGAGAGATTAAGAAAGAAACACTAATATATATATTTATACCAATAGATCGGCCGACGCCCAAAACAACGTGTGAACAGAAACTAACAAGAATTGTTTTCAATAAATTTGATTTAAGCATTGCAACGGTCGAGTAACTTATCTTTTGGGACACGAAATGGGTTCAGCACACTGAATATGGCGTATATAACCTAGTCAAACACGTTTATAAAACAAAACTAGGGAAGCTGAAAATATTAGTTTAGGAGAGTTGACTGTTCTCTTAACAAAAACATTTTATTTTACGTTGTCATAATTAAATTGCTTTTATGTTTTATGTAATAATATTTTAAAATTAGTGATATAGATAAATAAGTCAAATATGTAGATATGTATATACTTTTTCGATTATGTATAACAACAGCTATCACCCTTGACTTCAATTCTAGGAAATGTTTTCGCGCGCAATATACAAAAGTGGCACGCTTGAGAAAATAGACATTCCGATGTTTTATCTTTAATTATGTTTGTAATTATATATAAAAAATAACTTGTTTGGTGCCAAATAATTCTAATACATTAATAATATTTTTATTCAAAGCTGTTTTGTTTTTTCATTTATTTATTTTTTTAATTCAATTTTATATGCTTTTGATGTTTTAATAATTAATTAAATAGAAGTGCCCTTAATAAAATTATGATATTTTTATATGTTATCCCTTGTTTTACTTTTTCAATGGCATAGCGACGGATAACTTTTCAAGCCACCCCCGCACCTTACTCAAATGTTCTTATTGGAAACAGCTGATCGGCAGACCGGGTGCAGATACGTGTAAAAATAAACGCACAATTACTTTTTTTCTCGCACAAATCGGACTCCAAATCCCTGAAACTGCAAAATGTACAAGAATCTGGAGGAGCACAACCGGCTGGTGAACAAATACCTGAAGATTTTCTTCGTGGTGGCGCTTTACTGGTGAATAAAAAAGAGTACTTCGCTTTAGGGGCAATGGCAATCCTTAACTTTTTGCCTTCCACAGGTGCACCTCCATTCTAACGGTTTTTGTGAATAAACACCTGCTGAGCAGCGATACAGTGAACCTGGGGGCTCCCCTCTTCATGTCCTGGTTCCAGTGTGTGATTTCCACGGTCATCTGCTTCCTGGCCAGTCGCCTGAGCAGGAAGTACCCTTCGGTGTTCACGTTTCCCGAGGGGAATCCGCTGGACATCGACATTTTCCGGAAGATCCTGCCCCTTTCCGTGCTGTACACCTTGATGATTGGCGCCAACAACCTGTCGCTGTCCTACGTCACAGTGGCATTCTACTACATTGGCCGCTCGCTGACCACCGTGTTCAGTGTGGTCCTGACCTACGTGATCCTGCGCCAGCGCACCAGCTTCAAGTGTCTGATGTGCTGTGCCGCCATTGTCATAGGCTTCTGGCTGGGAGTGGACCAGGAGAGCCTCACAGAAGTCTTCTCTTGGCGGGGCACCATCTTCGGAGTGCTCAGCTCGCTGGCCCTGGCCATGTTCTCCATTCAGACGAAGAAGTCGCTGGGCTATGTCAACCAGGAGGTGTGGCTGCTCAGCTACTACAATAATCTGTATTCAACTTTGCTATTTTTGCCGCTAATCATCATTAACGGCGAGTTGGAGACGATTATCACGTATCCGCACCTGTGGGCGCCTTGGTTTTGGGCCGCCATGACCCTAAGTGGCATTTGTGGCTTCGCCATTGGATTTGTCACTGCGCTGGAAATCAAGGTAATCAACCTGTTCAGCCTGCTTTAATCTTATCTAACTCGATCGATCGATATTCCTTGTTCCAGGTCACTTCCGCCCTAACGCACAACATCTCGGGCACCGCAAAGGCCTGCGCCCAGACGGTGATTGCAACCCAGTATTACCATGACGTTCGATCGGCGCTCTGGTGGACCTCCAATGTGGTGGTTCTGGTGGCCAGTGCCGCCTACACCCGGGTCAAGCAGCTGGAGATGCTGCGCCAGCACCAGCACCGCAGCACTGCCACCCTGAAGGCCTAGAAGCAATAGCCATGCCGCCAAAATAATGTAGACTGTTTAGGACTCTAGGAGATGTAAGTTTAAAGTATGCACAAACAAACCATCAACAAAAATACATAGGCATCTGTGTTAACTAATTGGAGGCGGCGGCTTCTTGGCGTTCCGCCGGCTCCTCCTGCTTGGTCTCCTCCGGCTTTTTCACCTTCGCCGTGCTCTTGTCCCACATTTCTGGCACATAGACAAAGGGATCGATCTTCAGCTGCTCGCTGCTTGGCGGGCTCTTCAGCAAAACACGGGTAATGAAGCGACCCTCGCGCTTCGGCCTCATGGTGTTGATGTCCTGCAGCAGGAACTTGATGTTCTCCTCCAGCTTCTGGGCGTCCATGTCCAAAGTTCCCACACTGGCAGTGATCAGGCCAAAGTTCTGCTGGTACTCATCCTTGGCAGCACTGTAGCTAATGCCGCTGGAGAACTTGACGATCATTTCGGCCAAATTAGTGCCCAGCGTTTCGCTCTTGGGATTGGGAAACTTGCGCTTCATCAGACCACGCAGGGCCACCAGCTCGGCCAGAATGTTGGGATGGGCAATGATGTACTGGTAGTCGGAGAGCAGCAGCTCGCCGTTGGTTATGTCCTTGATGAGCTCCACGCCGCCGACGAGCGAGGCACCAGCTTCCCTGGCCTCCAAGACTTCGTTCTGTGAAGGAAGTACAGAGAGTTACTGGGGGTTCAAGGATCTATTAGGATCCACTCACGTTTCCCTTGGTAAAGACAATGATCTTGCGTTCCTCGCCGTGCTCGAACTTGTGTGGAATCATGGCCATGCGCTGAAAGTTGTCCACAAAGCGGGTGATCTTCTCCGCCTGCATGTTCAGTTCAATATCCACATTGAGCGGGGCCTTGGGGACATTGTACATGCTGGGATGATGGGTCTCCCGGTGACACTGGATGGCCTCCTGAACGGAGTAAACTGGCCAGCGGTAGTAGCGCCCAACGTAACAGTCATCTTTGGGCACCTGCTTCCAGGAGTCGTCCACATGTTTGTCCGCTCGCTTTACGTTGATTCTGAAGGCGGGGGGAGGTTAATTCTGTATACCAGACTAAGTTTACAATACCCACTTCTTGTTGCGCTGGTTGTGCGGAATGAATCCCACCTTCTTCACCTCCACTTTGACTTTCTTCTTGCGGGCCTTCTCCCGGGTCCCTTTACGGGCCGCCTCGCTCACGGCGGAAAGGTGCAGCAGGCGGAGCGACTCCATGGTGGGTTGGCGCAGGGTCAGCGCCCGCATGGAAGCCACGATGGACTGCATTTCTCTCAGGAATAAGCTTATTTACCGGGATTCCAAACTCTTGCTTTGCATAACCTCTCTGGTGCAGCGCTGCCAACCCCTTCTGAAAACAGCTGATTGGCAGTCCTGTCGCCAGCATGAAAATAAGCGTGTTCCAGAACCATGGTACGGAACCTTGCTTAAAGTGTACGCTTACTAAAAAGTTTGAAATTCAAAGGATTTTTTGTAGCGGACTTTTTCTGATTTTCTACCCGTAACTTAAGTTATAAAACAATTAATTTTTTAATTACCGTAACAGTTTCAACTAAGTGTGCAGAGAATTTAACATTATAACTGTTCTTAATTACTTCAATAACTATCCTTATTATGATCAATTAGCTAAAATTATTACTACAGTCTACCAGCTCCGTAAAAACAAAGCATTGTATTTTTAAATCAAAGAAGTCAATAAGGCATATTTTTTTTAACAGTACCTATGTAAATTCAACGTCAATAGTTATCTTTATTAATTAAATAATTATCTAATTTATTAAAATTAAAGAACAGCGTTCAATAAAATCTTTGTTAAATGAATAATATTAATAAATATTATTAACTATATATATTATTATTAGATTTTCCAAGCCCCCTCAGAATTAGAAAATAAGCCTTCAAATAAGATTAAATCACTGATCATGAAAGTTCTAAGAGAAATTAGAAAACGACAAAGAGTCCGTGCTCTCTAAAAATAAATCTCACATTTTCCGACTTTTCCGATCCGTTCGAAATGAAAGCGCCGTGCCGCTCAGAATAACTTTGACCGACGAGCGGATCGGACGTATACGGAATTTTCGAGCCGCGGAAAATCGCGAGAATCAGAGAGCAAGAGTGACCGAAGAACATTCCGTGGCGGTGCAGACGACCGAGTGTGTGCATAGGAAAAGTGCAAGTAATAATTTGTTATTGTTTTTCCTTTCAACAAAACACTGGCGAACAACCCGAAAATAGCCCCAAACAACCTTGCGCGTAAACCCATAAAACAAAAGAAGCGCAGCCAGGAAGAAAATTCGAGTGGAAAAGAGCGAAATGTGTGTATTCAATGTGTGGCAACAGTTTTGGATATAACGTTCGGAAAGTGGCGAAAGTAATGGGGGCCGCCGACTTCAGATACACATGATCTGTTCGCAGCACCACCCATCCACCCATCCACCCATTCACCCATCCACCCACTGGTACATCCATCCATCCATCAAATTCCGCGCTGAGTGCGTGCACTTTTGCATAAATTGGAAATATTAATTGTGTGTAACCTAAAAGTGGAATAAAGGAAGTGTGTGCGCACTTTGCGCGGAGGGATCGGCATCGGAATCGGAATCGGGATCGGAAATCGGGGGCTACGAATACTGGGTGTGTGCCATAGTGCGATCGCCATGGGGCGAAACAAACAAAAGAGTGTCAGCGTTTTAAAAATAGTTTGGTTTGCGGCGTGATTTTATTTGTTTCTTTTGCTGGGGCAACCGCTCGACGACCGATGGCATCCAGTTCTTAAGCCAAAACCGTAACTAAGACCCAAAACCCAAAAACACACACAGGAGCACAGTGCATTCCGGATCGGTTCTACTCGATTCGGTTAAGTGACCACACGCGTGCATATTTTTGAAAAATATTCAAAACTTTCGCACATGTGGGGAAACGTGCTGAAATGGGATTTTCGAAATAATTGTTTACATTTCGTGGATTTAATCGTTACACTTTAGGAGCCGTTTATGTGTGCGTTCGGCGGCGGACGTTTCGCATCGGTCGTCGTCTTCCTCTTCTATAAACAATCTCCCGATTTTGATAATTCTCGGATTTTTCATGTCTTGTGTGCGTTTTTAGTGGCGTATTGGGCAGAGTAAACAAACAAAGTCCGAGTGAGTGATTCGCTGCGATACCGACATGGACTGGGACAAGCCACCGCCGCCACCACAGCCACCGCCAAAGCCCAGACGAACCCGGTCCCGGCAAGATGTCCTGCACTACGAGTCCTTGCCCACGGCTCCACCGGCAATGTGTGGCCGCACGGAGGAGAACATCTTCCAGTTTCCGGCCGTGGCCTCCCGGGCCCGCAATCTCTCCGCCTCTCCCAAGTTCGAGAGGAGGGAGGCTAAGGATCTGCCCGTCTGCGAACTGGGCAAACACACCTGCTCCAAGTGCCTGCCCTACCGTGCGGATAGGGGCACCATTGAACCGCTGAGGACTCGCCTCAATTCCGCCATCGAGGCCATGGACGAACTGACTCGCACGTACGCCTTGCTGGAGGGATTCCTCGAGCACCGACTGACCACCATTGCCGACAATGAGGCAGGCGAGCGCGAGGCAGAGCTGCAGGCCCTGGAGGATGACATTCCCTCCACCAGTCAACAGGCCATCAGGCAGCAACGTCCACCCACCAAGCCACCCAGAACCAGCGACAACCAGTTCGAACTGGAGCACTCCCTTACCTGGCTGGAATCCCTGATGGGCACCGAGGTGGTACCGCCCTTCAAACAGGGCAAATTCAAGCGGTAAGGATTAAGTTGAGAATAAATGCTAAATAGCAATATTGCTCATTAGTTTGTGTTTTTAAAACACTGTTCACCACATCAAATGCATTTTAAAATAGGTGTAAGCACGTCTACAAAACATTAATAACATTTGTTTTATAAAGAATGCAAACATTCATTTTTTTATTTTAAATATTGATGACTTTGCAGAAATCCGATTTAGAAAAGGCATAACTCTATAAGTTTGTGTTTTAAAGTTCTAAGAATCTGCGTTTAAACTTTGGTTTGTAATTTTGGGTCGATTTTTTTGAAATTTTAATGATGGTACCCCTCTCCTTTTCTTCCAAAAATGGCTTTGCAGAAAACTGACCTTATATCAGCACTTTAAAAGCCATAACTTTTCTTACAATTATCCGATTTTCAAATGGCATACCTCTTAGGAATTGTGATTGAAATTTCTAAAACTCTGCATTTAAATTTTGATTTGATTTTCTATCGATTTTCTGGAAATTAAACGATGTAACCCCTTTCCTTTTTTTAAAAAAAAATGGCTATGCAGAAAAGTGACCTAAAACCAACACTTCTAAAGCCATAACTTTTGTTACAGATATCCGATTTTAAAAAGGAATGGCTCTATAAGTTTTTGGTTTTAAGTTCTGTAAATCTGCATTTAAATGTTGGTTTGTAATTTTTTTTATTTTTTACAAAAGTGTCTTAAATCAAGCAAGTAGTCATACGCTGGAATTTAAAATTGAACTGATCGGTCTTCTATTTACTTTGCAATTTATCGAACAATCCCACAGTATTCGAGAGCGCAGCAAGTCCATGATGGACGAGGACCTCAACGTGTTCATGAAGGGCGAACGACCCGGGCTGAAACTTAGCTCCTCGCGACCCTATCTCCTGAGGCGCCAGAGCACCTACAGCGACAACAAGGCCAAGGTGTCCAAGTGGACCAAGGTGAAGGCCGCCTTTAAGTGGGAGCGGGCTAATGTGCCGCCCTCGGGACCAGGTGCTCCGGAAACCAGTGTCCTAATGCCACTCAACCACGAGGTGGAGAGGTTTGTTTCAGACTCCAATACTTCCTTGACTTCCATTTTAATGTTGGCTCACTCTTTAGATACCTCAAGGTGCCCATTTGTGTGGCAGCTGGTAGCAGTTCGGCGGACAGCATCATCAGTTCCTCCTCCGGCCACATAATGAGCGATACTGGTGGCACACCTGGAACCATCAGCTCGGCCAGCTCCATGGATGATCTTGAGGCAGCCAGTCGACAGAACTATCGTAAATCCATTTTAATACTTTTTTTAAGAGCTTTTAAACTTATGTATAACCTTATTAGGTCGTGATTCCTCTAAGAGTGATACCCGCTGTGATTCCCGCGCCTCCAACTTTGAGGTGGAGCTGCGCAAATCCGCCACCGACGAGCGCCTGGATAACATCAAGTCCTCTGCCCCGCCATTGCCAGCCAAGTCCTCATCCAGCAAGTCGCTGCGAAGATCGAAGGCCTTTTCCGACTTCGAGGTCCTGCCCGAGGATCATGTGGCGGAGATCAAGGCCACCAGCAGCCGGCGGCAGAAGCTGCCACCGAGTCCACTGAACCTCAACCAGGTCAACCAGATGTACAGTGATCTGCCGCAACTGCATTCGCCGTTGAAGAGTCCCAAGGATTCGCGAATGCGTCGTGTCCACTCGCCGGGTACCTCGTCCGTGCCCAGCAGTCCCTCCAGGCAATCGGATTTCTTCGGTGAATTTGGTGGGTGAGCAAGGGATAACACTATCCTTAATCCCTTTTGGTATTATAAGCTCTTCTTAACCCCAAACCCTGCTTGTTGCAGAGAGCGAGGATCTGTCCAGTGGCGATTTCTCGGAGCCCACAACGCCAAACTGTAAGAATTTCCCACACAACGAAGATGAAGAGATACTTCAACATTATCAACTTCTCGTACTCAAACTAGATTCGGAGTTTAAGAACAAGCAATGCGAATTCGAGCGTTCCAGTGTTAACAATCGCAGTAGGAATCCCCTTCGAGTCCACATAACTAATGTTCCAAGAAAATTTCTAACCCATGTGTATTATACAAACCATTTTAGGTATCAAACTGGGCGGCAGCAGTGCAGCCGGAGGAGGAGCAACAGGGACAACTGGGAAGCGCAGCAGCGAGGAGCACTCGCCCACTCAGCTGCTGCACAACGAGCTCATGTCCACCGCCCAGCTGGAGCAGAATCTCACCCCGCAGTTCAAGAAGAAGCTGCACAAGTGGCGGACCAAGCAGCAGAATTGCACGGGAGGATCGTACGCCTCCTTGGAGCCAGCGGCCAGTCCCACGGCCAAAAGCCAGAGTGGCGAGGTGAAGCCCAAGATCGACTGGAACCTGTGGAGCATGGGCCAGGTGAAGCTGGAGGGCCAGGGACTGTGTGCTCTGCCCGACCAGAAGGATCTGCCGGAGAAGTTCCAGAAGAAATTGGGTTGGTATTTACACTGGGTAAAAAGAAGCAGTAAATTTAGGTAGTTCATACTTAATATTCATATTTTTAGCTATGATTTTCATCCTTTGCAGTTAATTATATATATTTTTTTAATATTTCATTTGTCTATTTGTGGAATAGATTTTAATTTAAGGAATGCCTTTAAAACATGTCTTAAATCAAAAATGTTTCACATTAATTCAAATGTTTGAATATTAAATCATGCAATATAATATTTAATATTCTGGTTTTAAAATTATTCAAATGTTTGAACATTAAATCATGCAGCATTAATTTATTATGCATTACATTTAATATGATTTTAAAACTAATAGGTGTAACATTAATTCAAATGTCTTAATATTAAATCATGCAATTTCATATCTGATATTTTGATTTTAAATTAATTCAAATGTTTTAATACTAATTCAATGAAAGTTAAATATGCATTATGTTCAAAATTGTGATAGCCAGATATATATATTTTTTTATTGCAAAGTATCCAAACAATTAATTTAAATTTTCCCCTTTAGAGCAATGGAATCGATTGAAGTGCGCTCCTGGTGGTGGCACCATTTCGGATAATGACTCCCTAAAGCGGGGCTCCAAGCACAGTCAGTCCACGAGAAGGGGATCTGATGATGACCGATGGTACAAGCACAGGCCACACGACAAAGAAAAGTTTGTTGAAAGTTGATCCCAACTAATCCTTCAACTAATCCTTATTTAACTCCCACAGATTGTCGCGCCTTAAGGCCATTGTGGTGCCGGATCACACCAAGAAGATCGAGGTGAAGACTTCGGATGGCGAGGTGATGAAATTCGAGGGCATCTCGAGGAAGTTCACCCGGAAGCTGTACGAGTGGGAGAAGGCCAGGGGCATTGGACCGGAGGCCTCGACCTTTGCGCTGCTGCATCCGGGCTACTGTCCCATCGATGTGAGGCGCATCAACAAGGAGTGCCATAAGGGTGGGTATGACATTAACTAAGGATAAGATCTAAGGCTAATCCTTACTGTCTGTGTAGTGACAGCAGATCACTCGCCCACGCTGAGCCGCTCCCTTTCCCTGGACAGCGTGTCACCCAACTGCAATCTGGCCCAGACCATCTCCCAGCAGGCTTCGTCGCTGTCCCTCAACGATGTCAACGATCTGAAGGAGATCGAGGACAGCAACGACGCCCTCACGGATCACGAGTTCAAGAAGTACGACGAACCGGAGGCGGTGATGGTGGAGGTGGAGGAGCACATCCACGACACCGCCTCGCCACTGGTCACCGCCCACACGCTTGTGGAGCAGCAGACGCCCATCTACAAGTACGAGGAGGTGCAGTGCAACGACTATGTGTAGGTGGCATGTGCATTTACCCAATCCTCCTCCGGATTGTAATCGGCTGACCATTCCCATCCCCTCCAGCAATTCGCGTCGTGTCCAGAGCTTCGAGTCGCACACTAATCTGGCCCCCTTGCTGGGCGCACTGAAACGTGCCGACGAGCTGTTTGGCCAGCTGAGGAATGCCTCGCCCGACCTGCTGGAACACCCCTCCATGCGGGACTGCCAGGCCGCATTGCTGAGCATTCGCAGCATTTACCCGTACTACTCCAACAACCTGATGAAGGCGGGCGTGCTCAACGCCATATCCGATGTCCAGAGCGAACTGGGACGACTGGCCGAGTTGGTCAGTTATACATATATTAAATTATTTACTAAATATAGTGGGTTGATAATTAACCTGTTCTGTGACACTTCAGAGCCAGAAATCGCCAATGGATGAGGCCTGCTGCCAGGAAACCATGCAGGAGCGGACACTGGAGTATCTGGAAGAGCTCCACGGACTGCATGAATGCCTGCAGTGTCTCAAGCTTAGCATACGTGAGTATTTTATACCCCTGCAGAGGGTATAATACAATTGTTCATTGTTTAGAAGTTTGTAAAGCACCGAAGAACATATTACCGAAACATACATTTTTGATCAGCGTGATTAGAATGATATATTGATATAACATATCCGTTTCTATACTGTTTGCGAGTTCAGTATAAAAGCTATACCCTTGAATCTTTTACGATCGTTTAAAAGCAGTCAGTGCAAATTCGCTGTTTTTTTTTTAATTTAATATTATTTGCTAGTTTTTGTCATAAATTTTGTTTTTATAGTATTCAGATGCTATCCTTTCAGTTTTGAACAAGTTCGGTTGTCTATATCCTAAAGCTACGATATATCTGTTGTACAAGCCATCCGCTTCTATGCCGATTTTTCGCGCAGTTTTAAATGTAGATTCTTGAAACTGTCCAAATCTTGTTTTTTTTTTGTATGTACAATGATTTTGTTTAAAAATCGGAATCATAGGATATGTCTTATGGCTGCCCGAGGAACGATCGGTTTAAATTTGATACATTTATTTATGGCTAAATCATATGGTTTATATCCATACATAGCTTGACTGCAAGGGCACTAAAAAATTTGCTTCCATTCTCCTTAAAACCTACTAAGTTTAATCTTAATTAAATGGATTCCTTTATAGAGGGTGGAACGAATCGCTATCCCCGCGACATAGTGCCGGATATTAACATCACCAGCGAGGATGGTCAGCAGTTGGACTCCAGTTCTGCCTATGCCACCTGCGACAATTCCAGCCGAGATCGTTTGGCCCAGGACGACAATAGTGCCAGTGCCAGTGCAGCCTCACCAATGGAGCACGAAACGGAGACTAGTACCACTACGGGCACCTTGTGCCGCTCCAGCTTGCCCACTGTGAATGTGAGTGCCAATCCCAGTGTCAATGGTATCGGCAATGCCAGTGCTAGTGCCAGTGCCAAGAAGAAGCTGCTGCGACTGCGCAAGATGGGTTCGCGGCAGAATAGCAAGACGGAGAGCGACAGCAGTGATGCGGATACCCACTCGGTTTTGGAGACTCCGCGTCGATTACGCCGGAAGAATTTCCGGCTGAAGCAGCGTTCCTTGGACGACGACTTCCGGTTGGGTTCCACTGCAAACGATCTGGAGACGGCCGCACCTAGAGAAGACATTGTCTACGGTTCACTAAAGGTCAAGCCAGGTGAACTCATCGAGCAAAGTCAATGTGTGGCACCTGCTCCTGTTTCTTCCACCACTCCTCTTATTTCAACCACTCCCCCTGCAACAGTTACTCTACCTACAAAACAGGGAGCTTTTGTTCCTCCTCCTTTGCCAGAGCATAACCGAAACTACAACACAAATGCCAATGTTTTTGTGAAAACCAAACGCAAACTATTCACCACCATCCCAGAACCAAATGCCTCGGAGGGCATAGCTTTGATCGAAAAGGATTTGGATAGTCCTACAGAGGAAAAAGCGGATAAGTTGATTAAATCAGAGAAGTTCAAGTGCCCGCCAAAACCCCTCAATCTATATAAATCCATCAGTTTGGAGCGCTTAACACAGCCGCCCAATAAAGAGGATCTGCGAAAATGTCAGAGTAGTGAAAATTTCAGGCGGGGATGCCTATTCGTGCGTCCTCCACTGGCCAGCGATAGTATTGAGAGATTGGCAGAGTCCAAGAAACCGCCGGAGTTGAACAACCCCCCAGTTCCACCGAGGAAAGCTCATCTCTACAAGAAAAACTCGCTGCACAAATCGCAGAGTGCCAATGCTAGCAACAAGATTGAGCACAAGATAGCCAAGACCAGCTCTGGACCCAGTTTCTCTAGGGTGCATCCTCCGCCGCCGGCTCCAGTTCCTCTAATCTTGCCCAACAAACAGGACAACACGCTGCCGCGTATCCAAAGGAAGCATCCCAATACGCCCACTAAGGCCAAGCAGTTTGAGTTCCCGCCTCCACAGATTCTCATACCAGAGCGCCCAGCCACGCCCCTTTCGGAAAGGGCCATACGCCTACAGCTGGCCAAGGCGCAGTTCCTGCAGAGTGCTCCGGTTACTCCGCGCCAGGAACCCCAAACACCCAGTAAGGCAGCCGATTCTGTGGTGCTCCAAAAGAGCATCAGTGCGGGCAGCATGAGGGGAGCTGGTCAGGATCCAACGAAGCAGCAGCAGCATTACCACGAGGTGTCCACGGATCAGGAGAGTGTGGGCACCTCCAGTGCCTACGATAGTTTGCCGCGAACCGTCAGCCGGAGTGCCAAGATCTCCAGCAAACTGGGCTTCGCCACGCTCACCTCAAAGCTGCGCAGGGGCACCAAGAAGTCCAAGGAGCCACCACCGCCGAGTCCTGGAAGCGCCCTCTCCGCCCTTTGCCGGCAAACCCTAATGGCCGATGTCATAGCCATACCGCAGGCCTTTGCCTCCGAGAAGCCACCACCGAGTCCCACGGGCCGCAATGTGTCCAAGTCGCAGAGCACGCCACAGGCGGCCCCTCCCGTGACCATCAACTTCGAGGGCATCAACAAGTCCCTGAGCGAGCAGTATGTGCGCCAGCTCAAGGAAAGCGACGTCTAGTCAGAGTACCCAGTCTCAAGTCCAGAATCTAGTCATAGGAGTAATCAAAGTCCGAGATAATTGAATGCATTTTGGGTTCTGCTTTAAATCCACCTAATAACTTATAAACTTTTAAAAAGGATTGAAATATATTAAAATGAAGCAAGCCCTTTGGAAATTATAAAAACGAATGGCCATATTGTGCAGCCAAAGTATAGATACTCAAAAGATCCATTCAGGAAACAGAATTTTTTCGATCTGTGTAAAATCGAAAAATTCAAAGCCATATAGCTTTTCAGATTTAGTTATCTAATAAACTATTATTTTTGATTGCTTCGAAATTTCGTAAATTAACTGTTGGAATATGTAACCAACCTGCGAAATCTTAAATATATTTAACACTTATTTTTATAATAACAAAAAAACGAAAAAATCATGTTCCTTTGTGCAATAAATAATTGAATTATGCGATTCGCAATTTAAAGATAAGAACTTTTGTATTAGAACTTGATAAATATTAATAGAAAGTATAAATTGCCATTTTTAACTAACCTTCCAAAATACATACTCTAATGATTTCATAAAAGTACTAACTTATATGTTTAATTGTAAAATGCGTTTTGTTCTAAATGTTTTACCCATATAATTGTATTCCTTATCACTTTTTTTTAACAGCATTATTTTAATCGCAACGATCAACGCTAATTTAAGCGGTATGCTTAACTGTTATCTGAAGGTTTATTGTTCCGATAAGCAAAACTACGCTTATCAATCGGTGGAAGTTCCAGAAGCTTATCTGTGATCCTCATAGTCGTCCAGCTCCGGGTGGTCATCATCGTCGTCCTCGTCCACCTCGTTTTCGTGGGGTATTTCCGGGGGCTCCGCGCCGGTGTTCCAGTAGCGATCCTCCTCCGGATGTGTGAACTCGAAGTCCACTGCCTCCGGATTCACGTAGGTGATGCATGTGGTCAGGTTCTGGGTCGTTTCCAGCATGTGCGGTATGCTGTTGACGAAAGCCACACCACATTCCGCGGAGTGCATGGCCTCTCCTGGCAACTGGTTGTTGATCTTGCCATAAACATCGATTCCCACGGCGATAATGTCGTGGACCCGGCGAATGGCACTCAGTGCATTCACCGTGCCGGAGAGGATCTTGCCCACGGTGGTCTGCTTGGCGGCGATCTTCTTGTAAATCTTCACCAGCCCGCCCACATTGCGTTTCACCTCCTTGACGGCCGCCACCGTCTCGTTCTGGATGCGCAGCACCAAGGCCATGGTGCGGGAGTAGCAATCGACGCCATCGTTGATGGCCTGCAGGGCTACCTGGAACTCCGGCACCTGGGAGTAGCTGCAATAGGCGGCCTGGCTGCCACGACCCCAGTACTTCCACATGTAGCCCAAGCCGGCAATGGCGGCGGTCACAATCTTGGGCTTGTTCAGCTTCAGCAGATTCGCCTCCAGTTGGATGGCCCGCTCCACCAGGTCGTCAATGCCAAACTGTGCCTCATCAATCACGTCCTGAATTATATCCCTGAGGTCCTCGAATTCCGCCCTTTGCTCTGGACTGAAATCGGGATAGGGTTCTCCCATTATCTCCTCCACGCTGGGCAGTTTGGTATCATAAACCACTTGAGGTTTCTCGTCCAGGTAAATGGCAAAATTACTGCGAAAGTCCTCAAACGCCTGCAGGTAGTTGGCATCCAATTCGGGCTCCTTCGCCGCACTCTGGTCACTTCCGTCGCCGCTCTGGAGCTTCAGGCTGTACAGATAGTCGTACTGGGCCTGGAACTCCAGGTACAGCGGACGCAGTGCAGCCACTTCATCGCTGGACAATTGCAAGTCCACCTGTTGCTTCTGCAGCAGATTCTCCAGTTCCTGGTGGGCAGCTCCAAAGGCAAGAAGCAGCACACTGGCCAGCACGAGCAGCGTTTTCCTAACCATTTTGACCGGCCAACTGATTCAGTGCAACTGAGGAGGAATTTTGACCAGCTCCATTATCGGAAGAAGTATAGCTCGTTAAACGCTATCTTGGATTTTCTTAAGTGGCCACGAGCTTTTTAGTGTGCGATAATCGCGGCTTATCGCCAGTATTACGCTATATATAACACTGCAAGGGGCAATGTTTCAGTAAACAAATTTCATAGGAGTTTTTCATGAATGGTCTATCAAAGGGGAAGGATTACTTGTCAATTGTCATAAAGATCAAAGATATTGCAGTGAAAGCAAAAAATACTATTGTGGTTAATCAATTAAATGTAGTAATTGGTTGAATATAACTGACTGATAAGTTATATGTGAATCCAAAATTGTATATTTAATTTATGTTAACTTTAAAGTCATATGTTGAATCACATGATTTAATAAATTAACGTGGAGAATATTAGCCTAAAATAAGCCCAAATATAATAAAATTAAATTATGAATTCATTCTAAATTAAATTTTCAGATACTAAAATATACATTCAGAAATTTAAATATCAAACTTTAAATATTTTCATATTGAAATCAACTCAAAGCCAAATGGCATGAAAATCAAAACGAAATGTAATTAAATTGTATTAAATGTATTGATTGATCATTTTAAGCTTTAAAGTATTATTTTAAATTAAATTTTTGATAGTCCCATGACTTAACCAACACAATCAAAAAAACCATCTAAAGTTAATCTTGCGTTTTACTATATTTTCTGGACTTAGTTCACGGCACACGACTCAATCTGAGTAAAGACCTCGTCGAACTCCATCCTCAGATGATGGTAGAAAAGGCAACTTGGTGTGTCCAGATCCTCCTGCGTCATTTCCAGGAGAATGTCGTCGCATAGCTCCAGACTGCCGGACATCCGCTGATTGATTCCCCCAATTCCGGACACAGTGCAGAGCAAGACTCCGGCGTGATTAAGTCCTGGCTGCTTCAGTTGCCAAGTTTGGCAGGTTTTCGATACTCCACCGATCTCCAGCGAAGCCTTGCTTAGGAAATCGGCTTCATGCACGATTTCCTCCTGGAAATGGCCCATGATGTGGTCCAGGGAGTTCCGGCAGATGCTGTACTTGTCCACCAGCTCCCGATTGAAGTGGGCCACCTGGAGCTCGTGTTTCTTGGAGCAGGCACGCCACTCATCGCTGTACTCACTGCCGAAGAATCGCTCCAGCCGGGCACTCACCTTTCGCTGCTGGTCATCCAGTATGTCCTTGGCCACCTGAAGAATCCCGGATCGCTCGTAGATCGCCTGTTGGGTGTCGTTCCATATCCTGGCAGCTCGGGAGCTTTGCATGGCAATAAGCTGCTTTGTAGACTCATAGAGCGGTCCATTCTGACCCCAAATCCTTTGGAAATGGCAGTGCACCTGTAAATCCGTTCGGTATTATTAAGTATATTTTAGAACAGTCATAGCTATTGGTTACACAAAGTAGCGACTGCAATAACAGCCATGTCACCCATTCTATTCTCATCTTGACAATAAATTAAACTGACTCCCAAAAAAATCCAATGATGTCTCCAATGAATCTCTGTTTTATTTATAGTTCCCCAGAGGGTAAGTCAGCTATTTGAAGCAGCTTGTATATTAAGTATATTTATAAAGATTATTAATTACTTAGAAAACAAAGACAATATTCCTCTTTAAAGATAAAAATCCTTGTAATATATGTTTGTTTTCTTAATTGTGTTTATTTAGTTAATAAAATTGTAAGTGTAAAGAAAAAGCTGGCCAATACTAATACATATATTTTATCTTCAGAATTTTGAATGCTTTTGTTAAATAAGTCTTATCAGAAGATGTTCCGATATATTAAAGTAGATCGAAAGAAAGGTGTCTCTAAATCACGCCCTTTTTATTTTGGTGATATTTGGACATTTTATCAATACTTAAATTATTGTTAGAATTTACGATTATTTAAAACAAAATGGAATTATTTAAAAAAGTATAGAACGTAGCAACATAAAAAGTCATAGAACAGTATAAATTTAAATTTATAAAGTATTAACGCGTCGCCGTACTAAAAAATCCATGCTTGTCGATTGAAATGACAATTAGTTTAATGGGCAATCTTTGTTGTCTTGTGTGATTTTCAACGGACAAACTCTTATCGAAACAGCATGCCAATGTTTTGACTATATATACCAAGTCAGTTGGAAGCTTTTCGCACTAAAGAAAAATAACAGAAACATGATGACTCAAATTGCTGGAGTATTTTGCTTCCTTTTGCTTACCTTGGCGGTAATCAGTGTTCTATGAAGGTTAAAATATTTCCATGGTAAAAACTCTATATTTGCAGAGCTGCCAAGTGATCCGCTATGAAGACGGGATAGAGACAAATACCACAAATTACGGACCCGTCTCCATGGTGGTGGACAATCTGGCGGAGATTGCCGTAAATGTGAGCGACGAAAATACGGCTCAGTTGGAGGGCAAAATGAATCGCACTCGACAGGATATAGCCGGAAATATCGAGGTCCTGATCGCCAGTGCCTTGGCCCAGTTAAGTGACGTGATCTACGAGACCAACCAGTTGTTGGTGGCCAATCCCGACTGCAATGCGGCCTGGAGTTTGGATGAACTCAACGAAAATGTGACCCACCAACTGAGTGGCTGCACTGGCGATCTGGGTAATCTCCTGGAGGACTTCCGCCTGGAGGGTCAGCTGGCCTTGGCAAAAGTCCAGGGATTCGTCCAGCAGATTGCCCAGTTGCCGGCCAGGTGCCTGATGTTGGAGTCTTCGCCACTAAATCCTTTGGCTTCGGCGGGCAGCAGTGTGTGCTTCATCAACGCCATGGCGGAGATAAACCTTGGAATGGCCCAGTCCATGCACGATGCCTCCCTGCTCCTGGTGCAAACCCATCAGTCCGCCGAGGATCAAGTGGAGCAGGCGCAGGAGTGCTGTACCATTGTGGTCCAGCAGATCGGCGACTATCTGCGCGACGAGCAGGATCAATGCCAACAGTCAACTTTAACGTAATCCGTAATCGAAACGAATACCAAAACAAAACCCTTCCTGTGAGCAATAGTCCTGAAAGTGAGTTCAGGCAAATACAGCCAATGGCAAATTTATGCACCCACAAAGATGACAGAGGCCGAGGACTCGCCACATCCTGTTCACTTATTGCTTATGCATGACATTTATTTGACAAGTTTTTGATTGATTTTACAGCTGCTGCAGCCGATCTGGTGCATCTATCTGCATACTCGTAGGCACAGTGGAACTTCTCTATGACGAATTTTTCTAAAAAAATTTTAATTTATTTATTTATCATATCCATATCTTACCAAAAATGATTGTTCCATATACATAACTTCTCACTTTGTTTTTTTAACTGAAACTTCAATTTTATCTTATTTTGTTTTTAAAAGACAACTATGAGTTTTCAACACAAGGAAATAAGTCTGTATGATTATTAGACATTTTGTAGACGAGAGTAAAGTTTTATAAGGACGTTTTTAAAAGGAAAGTAAAGAAATTATTTTAAAAACTATTATTTTTAGTTCTTGCTATAGATTTTTATAGTCGAACCTTTTAAAAAACCCTTAATAATTACACCTACTAACAATGTTATTTAAATTTTTTTATAAAATTAATATTAACATTCACATGTTAGTTTACGGCAGTATAAAATTAAAATGCATCCCATATGTTCGAATAAGGCTATGCAACATCATAATGGTTTGACTTAGAGAGGTTCTTCTGTACAAGTATATTTCTTGCAACTTTGTGGCTAATCGCAAGTTCACTTTTCAAAGTCGCATGCATACTAATTGGCCATTGTTCGGCCGAACTGACCAATTGCCCAATGGACTTGCCCACGACACGTGGCAACCACACGATATATAGTAGCATACGGATCCGAATGGGCAACAGCTGTCCCTAGAAAGAGATAGATAGGGACGGAGATCGAGATCGGCCAGTTATTTTCCTGTTCCTCTCGCTTCCGCAGTAAGCCAAATTATTTTGACCTGCCTTCGGCACACTGAGCGCAATTTCGAGGTGACTAACTGTCCTAATGCACCTAGCATCACTGCGCAAGTCGCTCCCATTGTTTTTGGTGTAGCAACCAAACTGTCTACGTCTCTTTATTTCGGCTCTTGGCGCAATTCCACTAAGAGTCTGAATTTTATCTTATTTTTACTGCTTGTAACAGTTGTTGCCCCGATGATGATGATGGTCGTCTTGCCGTTGTAGCTGCACAATTTCCACCTACTCCAACATCTGTTGAGCACTTTCAGACATCTGACGGATTTTGGTGACGTCGAGCGCGCGACGCTTGTCTATTGGAAACCCGAGATCCGAAAGTAACAAACTACAGATTGGCTAAAAACAACCAGGCATTTGAAGAAACTATCTCTTAACCCCATGAAACCTAGAAAGCAACCAAATTTATTATGAAAACGTACCTAACTGTGTTAGTCATTGTTAATAGATAACCATTATTTGCCTAATAACCATTGATTAAATAGAATTCAAAATATATATCTTAAAGCTAAGGGCCTAGATAAGTTTTTTTTATCTATTTTTTTTAATATAAAATGTTCTTGATAACACTTTGTTACTTTTTAACGTAAATAAAAGAAAACTTGTGTAAAAAAAAATTAAAATCATTTCTGAACAACTTAATAAAATTGAAATTTAAAAACGTGTTGGCTTTTGGATATATTTTTTAAAATACATTTAATTTAAATGTTCATCTTTGGTTTTACACCGCTTTATTCAATAATTATTAAGTTCAAAGACTTTGTAAGAAATATCTTAAGCTCAGTAAGTGCAACACTCTTCGCTCCATCAGTTCGTAGCATTAACTCCACTGCGCCAGTATCACTAACCACAGGTAAGGCCTTCATCACATTATACTTCATTCTATAGCGCTGCTTGTTAGACATTTCATTGAGAATAAATTTACTTGCCAACATGAACTTTCCTGGACCTGAAAGACTGGCGTTAAAAGTGTTCACGATTATGCTTGAGAAGCTTGCCTTTTGCTAGTCCGTACACTGCCATTGAACCGACGGCACCACCCACAGCCAAACCGACTGGACCCATTAGTACTCCGCCAATGAATAAAGCGGCGCCAGAAACAATAACACTACCAAAAGCTCCTTTGAATGTCATTTTAGAGGACACGCGAATATTGTTAATATCGGCCAGTTCACACAGGAGTTTTACCAGCCTGTCTTTTTTCATTTTTACGCCCTAAATATAAAAAAGTGTATGTCCTTAAGCGCTCACTTTCTTCGACCATTTGGGATCGAATTTGCACTACAATGCCTTTTATAGGAGTATTATCAATGTCACTGCCGGTGTTGATGTCATTTCTGTTGCTTTCTGAGGGTTTCTAAGTATGTGTTCTTATCGCGAGCTTATTCTAAAACTTTCAAATACTGAAATATGAGTATGGGTGCAATATAATAGAACCGTATAAGTGTATTTTATAGTGACGTAATGTTACTTTGCATACAATTATTACTAGTATTTTTTCTTGTGTGTATTTAAATTTTAGTTCACCCTGTCCTTTGTTTTCCCTTTTTCCAACCTCTCGCGTTCTCGTTTTCCATATCCTAGAGGATGTGTAAATATCATAAGTGAAGTTAGTCATGTGACTTCCCTTAATAACTCATAGGTGACCATTAGGTAACCATATAAATTCACTATCAAAATCGACCATGCTTTTATTAGTATAATTTCATATAATAGCATAATGAATTAAATGGATTGATGATTAATCAATTATGGTCATTCCCATACGATCGGTGAAAAATGACTTAGCCGCGTTTAGGGCAACATCTTGCACCTGTTTGTTCTTTAATATTAATTCTACGACCTCTAGAGCACCGACAGCTTTAATTTGGGATATAGCACGGATCACATGCTCCTTCAGTTCTCGGCGCTGACTGTCCGATAAGTCATCCGAAATGACCTCACTCAGTGACTTGAACTTTCCTGAAATGAAAAGCTTGATAAGAATGGTTTTCATTATAGTTCAGTAGACACTCGCCTTCTGTAAGTCCGTAGGCTGCAAGTCCGCCAAGGGCCCCGCCCACCGCCAGCCCCCGGGGACCCATTAGTAGACCGCCGATCAGGGCTCCGGCTGCACAAACCGCAGCTCCTTTGGCAGACTCCACGAAAGTCACCTGAATATTTTCATTGTCGGCCAGTATGGACAGGGCACTAAGTAGCTCTTGGGTGCTTACGGCCATTTCTATTGAATTTTTCTTAAAATTGTAGTCTTTAAAGCTGAAGAACTTTCTGGCAACTGAGTGTGGTTTCGCAACACGATTGTCTTATGAGTTCCCAATTCAAAGTAAATAGCCACTCTGTGGTGAGAGTTACTCGATAGAAATAAAATCTATTCTCGTATTTTAGCTATCGATTGCTTACCAGTCGTTACTCATAGCATACCTTTATAGATCGAAAGCTTTTTGTAAGACGTTCAGTCTACCCAATATCAAAACCATACATTACATGTAAGCATGAAGAACTGCAATACGTGCAAGAATTTATTGAACAAAAGAGTTTGCTTTAATATAAAATCAAGAGAACATCTCAGATTAGTAGTCAAAATCATGTTGTATATATGAAAATAAGAAGTTTTACATAAACATATATATAAATATGTAAATATAAAGTTTTGCAACATTTGAAAGAAATTATTTGCTATGATCAGAAATCCCAGATTCTTTGTTAAAAATTGAACTATTGCTTCTGGTGCCGAGTGTTGTACCTCTTCCACTTGTTCAATACGCTCATACCCAAGTCTTTCCCAGTCTTTTTCCTCAAATTATAACAAATTATAATTTAAAGAGTAACGGAAACCGAACAAAAAGAAAAACCATTTTCTTTCTTTGCACCATTTTAGGCAGTTTTGAAGTATAAATTCCAAGTTGAGTTTCATCTTTCCGAAGAGATTTAAAAATTTGTTGTAACCTTTATTGTATCTACACTGCCGCAGACTGATAGGGGTTTATACTTTTTATTCCTAGAATCGGAATTTAGATAAGCGTAGCATACATACATACATATATAGATCGAAAGCTTTTTAAAAGACTTTAGGATTACCCCATTTAAGTTACATTAAATAAAATCGAGAGCTCCTAACCCTTTTATTACAACCCACTAGGTATACGAAATATGTGTAGTACTGCAACATTTATTGAACCATTTATCACTATTTTGATTAACAGGTGATGGCAAATCCCAAGTACTTGGTCAAATATTCCACAAGGGCTTCTAGTGCCGCTTGTTGCGCTTTAATTTCTCCTAAGAAAACTTCCACAGCATTTTCCACGAAACCAATCACTTGTAAAATAGCGTACTCCACGAAGTCAAACAGTTGCTCCAATATAGGCAGCGCCAATTCCACAATGAACTCATACATCCGGACAAAAATTCCTGTAATTAATTGGTTTGTATTCTGATAACAATTATTTATTTAGAGTGTATACGCGTAACTTGCCTTCTGTACGGTCACCGTAGGTTCTCTCAATCGTGTCTTCTACCGGCACTGTAGACAATAAATAAAAAGATTAAAAAGACTTAGATATTCAGTGAGTAGTTAAAGAGAACGAATTACTTACCTTCTGGACGGCTTTTCTTTTTTCTTCGCACAGCATTAAGCAGTGTTTCGAGTACAAGTTCTAAATCCAATTTTATTTTTCGCGACATATTTGTGAACTTGTTTTAAGTTTTCTTGTCTGCTCACTGCCAAATCCAACGCTGACTGAGTTAGTTTTCCCCTTGGGTAATAAATAGTATCGCTTTCTTTATCATTGCATATATATATAAACTGCAATCTTTTTGTGCAATTCCAAAGCTACCCTCTTTTTATACAAGTATTGTGGATGATAATAAGTTTATGTACAGAGTGGCAATTTTTCAAAAAGAACAAGTAGGAAAAATGAAAGTTGTAATTATTTATGGTTACAAATTAGATATTAATAAATATGTAATATTTATTAATTTTATAGTTTTTATTTTGCTACATTTTTAACATTTTAACTAATTTGTTAAAATAGCTAAATAAAAGATATTCTTACAACTAAAACAGGATAAATGGGATTGTCCAGACACACAATATGAGAAATTCGTAGATGTCAATAGCTGAGAGCTAAATATTTGGCGGTTGGTGGTCAGCCACATTTTATTAATTTGAATTTAATGGCCTTAACCTTGAGACACATGGCACAAGCTATGCTGTCATGCATATGAGTCGGAGGATCTGCATATCAAAGGGCCGGCGTCTTTAGAATTCGGCTTACGTGCCTAGATGGCGTTTAAAAATCGCTGCCGGATTGTCTTTAATTTTGATTGATGCAGCTTTAATTGCGTGGGCTCCCAATTGCTACTGCCGAACTTTCGGGTAACTGTAACTGGGCCTTTTGTCGACCGAAACCCAAAAGCGGATCGTTCCTAGGCCCCGGGATATCTAGCCGTTAACTTCTATACCATATACTCGAAGGTCGAGTTCGAAATCGAGGCTTCCGCCTGGGACCAACTGGCGCGTCTTAGGCTCACAATAAGGAATAATCGTTATTGTTATTTGCTGTCTGCAGGACGAGCCGCGTGGCGTGCGAGTGAAAGCCAGCGAAAGGACCCATTGGCGGGGCAGTGGCCAAAGCGAGATAGAGCCAGGGCGCAACATATGCCATCTTCAGCCGATCCTCCTCCCGAAGGACCTCTCGCCCCGTCTCTGTCTAACTGCGTTTTTGGCCCAGAACAAACGGACGGCGCACGCCGTCATATGGTGCCACTTTTGAATTCGGAAATTGGGTTGCCCACGCTCCTTCGCTCCTTCACTCAGAAAAAGTATTCCTTGCAGTCGAGAAACCCTCCCCCGAATTAAAAACAAATTTAAAACATAAAAAAAGTGTTGTGAGCCAACAGTGCAAGTCCTTATAATATAATTTCAAAATGATTTTATATTTAACATTTTTAAAAATATTTCAGATTTAATTACAGCAAATTTTCTGAACACTTAAAATGTACTATTCTTGTGTGTAAAAACTATTGTTAAAATTTAAATACAAAGAAATCTTTTGATATTTCCAAAGAGGTTTCTTAAAAATGGTTGATTTTCAACCTAAACAAAAAATTAAATTAAAAAAATTAAAAATTAAATATTAATAATAATAAATGTTCTGAGCAAATCAAGTCTATAAATTCCCAAAGAATTAATAGTTCAGTACAGTACAATAAAAATGTTATCTAGTAAATAGATTTATTAATTTTAAGCTCTTTCTCGGCTTGGGTTTTCGTTCATTGTCATTCCTAATAGCAACTAGATTTTTTTGAGTGCCCCGACCGTTTCTCAGCTCAATTAATATTATACTTTTTGTAGCTGTTTCGTTTACGGTTGGGTCTTTTGCTCGCTCTGCCCTGGCAGACAATTTCAAGGAAGCAGGAGCACTCGACCAACAGTTACTGTTGACTTCCGATCGGAGCACGAGTGCAGGAAGAGCGGGGAAGACAACCGATCCCGAACAGCAACAGCAGGACAAGCGGCTTAAAGGACTCACTGGCTCAAGTGAGCCCCCCAACATAAAAAAAAAACAAAAGACGGACTGGAAAGGGTTGCTCCTGGGGAAAAAAAACAGAGTAATGGGCAATGCGTATTGGGTATTTGGTATTGGGACTGGGACTGGGACTGGGACTGGGATTGGGGAAGGTGTGAGGCCGACAAGGATGCACAGACATTCGGGGCTCGGCTTACAAATCCAAATTGAGCTCCGAAATCGCGCGCATGCCTGCCAAATGAACACGTGTGCCGAAGGATCAGAGGATCAGGCCAAAATATTGTAGCGTCAGCTGGCCAAACGCCAAAAGATGCCCGCCACAATAATTGCTTCGGCTATGAAGATGATAGAAAACTCGAACAATCTTAAGGACTGTGAAAACACAAAATCTAATCTTGTTAAAATTGTTAGATTAAAAATGCCTTGATTTGCTAAATAATATTTTCCGATGATTACAGAATATTTGATTTCATTTATATTATTTTAATGTAAAAAGAAAGTTTTAGGCAGTATTAATTAACTGTTATTACTGAGTTCCAAATTTCTTTATTATAATTTAAAGATTTTTAATAAATAAAATTAGAATACTTTGTTCAGATACATTAAAGTCAACATTACGGGAAAAATTTTAACGCTTAACTCATTACAAATAACCTTTCCATTAAACTGTTTCTACTCTTCTACTATAATTTCTATTTTGTTACACAACTCATTAAACAAATACAACATTTTCCAATTATTTTTATATTATTTAAATTATTTTAAAAAAATTTTCGAAGTTCCATAATTAATCATTAATTCTCACTTTTATTTTGTTGAATGTCTCAAAAAATAAATAACAAATTGTCCAAATAAATCTAGAATAATAAATTGCTAGGATGAGCAAATTATCCGCCAGCCAGGCGTATAAAATTACCAAATCGTTTACCAAACGACCATAAACAAAACCGAATCAAAGGCAAGGAAAACAAAAAAGTTAATTTACATTAAACCCTAATATCGGACAGATCGGGGGTCGGCATACAGAAATAAATAATGAACTTTGCCAAGGAGACAAATGTATAATTTTACAGATCGCGCAATTCAATTAGAGGAATCGCCGCAAAGCCACTGACAGACAAAAAAATTAAGCAATAAAATTAGTTGTGGTTCACGCAAATTGAATGCATCAAAAGGAGCCACAAGGACATGCCGCAGCTCGCCGGGAGCCCCAGAAATAGAGCAATAGCAATGAATCAGGACGATGGAGGGCCATAAAATGCCCACTGGCATTCCAAGTAGTTTTCTTTTTCGTTTTCATTTTCATTTTCATTTTCATGTTCGATTTCGTGTCATAATGTGTTGTAAGAAGGGGCTATTGTTTCACAAAGGACTTGCCATTGTTCCATTGTCCGCTCAAGGACCTGTCCTGGGAACACCCGCGCGGTTCTCAGCATCCAAGCAGTTTTTGGGCTGTTTCTTGGGCTGCCGTGTCAGTTGCGACCACAATTTGACTCTCTGACCACCAACATAAAATGTTGACAGGCGGAACACGCCTCTAAAATATTATGCGAAGCAAGACCTGTGGGGTCCACGCAGTATCCTTTCCCGTTCTCATACCCCATCCCTATTTTACTGGGACTGGGCTGGTCCTCTGGTTCTGCGCAAATCAATTGATTGCCTCCTGACAGTTATGAGCTGATCACATTGCTATCTTGATCGCCTGTTTTGTCGGCGCTTAGCTGCCAGGAATTTATTGTTATTGACATTTTAGTTGGGTGGAATCACACGGATTATATCTGCTAATTGCATCGAGTACAAGATGCGATCCCTTAGATCTTTGGCGGGATGTGGCGGTGACCCTTGATCAGAGATTTTTTATTGGCAATCAATCAAAGTTATGGTTGTTCTGGGAAGGCAAAGTTCACATAGTTTTAGTATCATACAAATAAGGCAAAGGTATTATTTTAAATGTGTATTATAAAACATTGAGGGTAAATTTGTATATTATTTAAAAAAAAGAATATTTATACGTATATTTACATAATATAACATAATATAACACCAAATACAATATATTTGAAACAGAAGCTAATTTCTTATATTTCTCCAAAAATCCAATCCATTTTTTCCTAAGCTCAGCTTATTCCCGATATCGGGTTTAAGAAGCCCCACTTTCACGACCGTTTAAACACAAATCGGCTGGAAAATCACGGCTTGTTCAGCACAAAGCCGGTTCACCCCTTGCCGCAGGTGATACAATTTCGCACATTAATACTTAATTACTTGAATAATTGGGGCCAAGGGATTAAGTTCACACTCACTCCAGGCCGCGACAGTCCCAAAAATAAAAAAAAATCGCTGTCAATGCAGGTGGCAGTTTAGCTTTAGCCCCCATCCCCTGAAGCAAAGCCACTGCCAAGAAAAAAAGAGCCCAAAAAAGCTGGCCCAGAGATGAAGTGATGCCAACGCCACCGACGTCGTTGACATTAAATTGCCGAGTCCTGCCGAAAATGTGGTTCTTGTTGCTGTCTGCTGAGCCCGGCTCAGGCTCAAAATATCAACGCACCCTGGACGCAGTTTTCACACGAAATCCTGATTAATAAATATACAAGTTCCACAATATTACTGATAATTTGAAAAGTCGTCAACCCGAGCGCAGACTTTTGTGGGGAAGGGATGTGCAGGGATCTGCTCCGAAGATTTCATGCGGAGTCTGGGCGAGACTTCGGTGCCCAATTACAAGCAAATGAGCTGGAAAACTGTATCAAATGACCCAATGTCAATACAAAATTACAGGCCCTGTTCGTCGGACCAGCAATCTTTTGTTCGGCCAGAAGACGCAGACCAGACCAAATCCTCAGACTCTCCTCTTAACGTGACAAAGCGACGGCGATGGCTTGCGTGTGGCAATTTCAGTTAAAAAATGCTGACAAAATGTATTTTTGGGTAGCTAAAATATCATATACTCTACACTAATGAATAGCTAAGAATATGAATGGTTACAAAATGTAAAAACATGGTCCCATGTGTGTTACAATAATTATGGTTAGGCACAATAACTTTAATGTTAAATTTTAATTTGGATACCTTGACATAAATACATAATGCAAAACTCTTTCATACTTCCAGACCCTACTAAGACTTAAATTTTCTAGATTATTTTTCTCTCTAATTTCCATTAATAAATTGAAAACATACTCCGTTTTATTTCAAATTTTGTAAACTTAACAAATTTTAATAGCTCGATATACAATTTAAGTTTTTTTAGAGTATAACAAATTCTGCTTCTCCTAAATATCCTTGATGCTTTTTTGTTTGCTTTGTGTGTCGTCTTGGTAGCATCTTAAGGTTTTTGCTTTGTGTTAATTTGATGCCTCGCCAAAAAATTGTCAAAAAATTGGGAAAGACTTTGATTTCTGATGCACTTTCACTGTCGATCTTCGATCACCGTTGACTGCAGCGTGAGATACTGAGAACTTTGTGTTCTGGTTTGTTTTTGGTTTTGGTATGGGGATGCCAATGCCATCCAAAGTATCTGGGATGCCCACCTACTTCGATGGTCAGTGGGATGGGTAGTCTGAAAACCGAAAGTCAGTCAACTGTGTCGTGCCGATCGCCATCGCCATCGCCATCGTCATCGTCATCGTCTGTGTGGCTAATTGAGTTACCCAGAGAAATTTTTGGGCCGTTGGCCGTGCGAATTATTTGTCAAATGGGTAACGGTTAAGTTTGTTACTGCTCCCGATGAGGAGGACCATGGTAATGATGATCAGGATCGGTAATCGGAGCCCATGGCTTGCCGTTGATTGATGGAAGATGCGTTGCGAATCGTTTGACTAATTGCCGCTCTTGTTGGCAAAAACTTTCCTAAACAAACGGTGACCTTTACTAGAGTTCTTTCTTTTGTTTTCTTATTTTCTTATTTTGACCAGGTAATCTTTCTCCATTTCCCCGCGGACCTCACACAATGCCCAATAATGGGCTGGGAAAGGATAAGAAGAAAAAGGGGCGCGGCCGGCGTGATTTGGTGTCGCTAATTACAGACTTTGGCATTTTACGCTGTCCGTTTTATGACTTAATAATTGCATTCACTTGGCCCGGACTTTGAGTTTGGCCAAAACCAATGGGATGCCGATGCCCACACACACAACCAATACCCACTAATTTCGCTGCACACGCGACTTGGGAGAAAGGTCTGGCATTAATCATCGAATCCTTGGGTTTCCTTGCATTTCGGGCCTGATATCCTGCAATTTCGCTGGCTAAGGTTGCGCAACAATTAAAGGATCAGCGCAAAATGTTCACACAACAATGCCAAAACAAATCGGCGGAAACGGAAACTGCACTTGAACGTAGACAAAAAAAGATACAAAGTATTGCTTGTGGTTAGGCATCTCTGAAATGAGGGAAATTGTGCCCAAAAAGGCATGAGAAAATCCATTGAATGGAAAGAAAAACATTAAAAATGAAAGGCAAAAAAAAAAATTATTTCAAAACATACCAAAACCACAATTATAAAATGTACCGAGGGTAATTGAATCTTACAATGGTTGACTATAGCTACCTGTTGCTTCAAATGTTTATTCGGTAATTTTTCACAATATATATGGCTAACTTAAAATTTAGCTAAATGATGAATATAATAATGTTTTTCAATTTTGGGTATTCAAAGATTAAATAAACTTCAATTGAAACCGATGTGCACTTAACAAGTCCATTTCTTAAGGACCCCAAAACAGCCCTAAAGACCAATTCAGCTGGCAATCAATGAGCCCGAGCTCCAAAACCCAAATCCATCGGAACCATAGCCCATTCAGATATCCTGCCCCATGGCGACACTAACAAGAAGTGACAAATTGATGGTGTTAAAGCTCATTAACTTACTTAACACAGATGCATATACAGATGGAGATACTGATGCCGATGTATATACATATGTACCTATGCATGACCACTAACTACTTAAGCTTCGTATACAAAAAAATAAGCAACCTCAAAATAAAGCTCGCCAATTATCGACATGACAAATTTCGGGGCATTCATTGCCCTTGTCAGAAGGTAAAGAAAAACCCACAAAATATGCAGCCCCAGAACGGACATCGAATGCATAATAATACGTGTTAATAATGCTCAGGCAAGCTGTCTATAAATTGACAAAGACATGCAAGTTGCTGTTGCTGTTGCTGTTGCTGTTGCTGCTGTTGCTGTTGCTCCTCCTGTTGCTGCTGTTTTCGATGTTGCTGCTGTGTCGGCGGCATTGCCAAAAGCCGAAAGGCCTAAACTGGGGACCAGTTGCCATTCATGAATTCTAACTAATTGTATTGGCAGGCAGTTGCAGTTTGGAAGCTGGATCTGAATTCGCATACTCGCATCGAATCTGTGCAGCTGCATGCAGGTGGCAGTAGCTGTTGCTCGGGAATAACGACCGATATCGGCAGGAAGAGAAGAACCCTTGGACTCCAGAATCGCACCCTTTTGTTGTCGTTTTGGTGGGGCTACGGGGCAACTTGGCAACTTTGCAAGTTGGCAACCAAAACCCCGAACAACAATTTGTGTAATTGACAAATTGACGGCAGCGCTTTGTGCGGAAGCGTTCAAAGCCGTAAATTGTCGCTAACAAGAGCGACACTCTGGGGATATCGGCAGGATATCGCTTTTATACCCCGATCGCGAATTCGCGCATACAAATATAATTGCCTGGATGGCCTGAGGAGACGCCCGCACCTCGCGACCACTAAATTAAGTCATTAACAATTTAACGAAGCCCTGTCGATGCCGCCTAACTAATTATGTGAATTTCCTTTTGATTATGAGCCCCGAAATCCGCACAGCTTTTGCGCGCGGCGACGCCCGAAAATGATTTTATAAAACAAACAGAAACTGCCCACGAAATCCGGTCGCTGCCACGCCCCCGACCGCACCATCCGCCCCCAGGCGCTCCAATTCCCATGCGGGAGTCGATGTCGATCGTCAGCAGTCAACAGTCGCTGTCGCTGTCGCTATCAACAAATTGGCTTCGAATCTTCCGAATGATTGACTGACTGACTGACTGCCTGAGCCGAGGATCTGCTCCGCTTTCTGCTGAATGAAATGCGGCACTGGAAAAAATTGCAAGTAAATCTGGCCTGACAAATATCACTTTTAAGGTTATTTAACAAGGCATATAACTTATCGTTTATTTAAAACAACAATTTTATACATCAATTATTAGAAATCCAAACCTAAGCTCAATGCTTAAATATAAGTTTATACTTCTCTGATAACCATTAAAAATGTTCTAAGAATGTTATTTTAGGCAAAAAGCTTTTTAATTTAGCATGTGCTAGAATTCAGGGAACTTTAAAGTGTTTTAACCATTTGATATGAATTTGGCTATAAAAACAGAACATAATTTAAAATATGTTGATTTATGTTGTTTATGTTGACTTAAAATCGTTTTTAAAAAGTTAAAGTCCCTTTTCAATAATACCTGGACTTAATCAATATATTTAAACTTTTTTTCAGTGCATGTTTCGGCTTAAGGTCCTAAGTCGCTGAGGTTTATCCACCGGTAACGATCGAGGATCGAACTTCGTCTTAAACGATTTGTGAGTGGCGCTTGATTTTCGGGACTTGACTTGGACTGACTCGAACTCGTACTGAAAGTTGAAAAGGTTTTCGGGACCAGGGGACGGACATTGCATGCGACCTGCGACTGCTGAAAGCAGATCAGCCCAACACTTAACTTAATTTGGCAGCTACACTCCGGCGCGCCGTGGCGTGTAATTATTGGCATTGGCACAAAACGCTGCTTTGGGGATAGGGATTGGGATCGGAATCGGGATCGGAATCGGGATCGCTGGTTGTGCGCTGCGTATTTGTTATTTGTTTAAGCCAGCCAGCGCGAGGAGCCGGCCCTAATTTTGTCGAACTGTCTACAAATTGATCGCGAAGCGCCAAATCGATCACCTTCCCCCATATAATAAAGTCCAATTCAATGGGCGCGAGACGCTAAACCCTCGAAAACTGTGTGAGAATTGATGCCCCGCCGATAAGTGTGGATGTTGGAGGGGTAAACAAAAGGAAGAACTGTTCGAAGATAAAATGATTTGGATGGCTTATTTAACTGGATGCCTTGCTAAGGATTTCTCTTGGATGGACTGCTTTGGTTTTTATATTTATTTTGGAATTATTTCAATTTAAATTAGACACGTATTCGTCGCTTCCCAAGGAACAAAACGATTGTTCCATAGAGTGGCCACTAGTTAAAAAATGTAAAGAATTAATTAAACTATATAAATATTCATAGCTTTATAAGCTATGTAATTATATAAGGGACCCTTCTATAGAATTTAAGCTACCTTAAATAAGTACATAGAAATCATAGCCTATCGTTCAACTGTGAACTTATGTTTATTTTCTGAACATTAGTCGTCTTTACATTTTTGAACATATTTATAAGGTTCTTTCAGAACTAAGATGTTTATAGACACGATTTTTTATAAAATATAAAATAGCGTTTAAGAAAAAGTAAATTCAGCAAGTAGAAAATTATTTGTATTTTTCATTTCTGCAAATTAAGACATATTTTTTCATGCGACCTTTACCAAAAAGCTTTCTGAAAATAGAAAAGAGAGGCCAAGCAAATAAATATCCATAAAACAGTTTTTATAATTATTTTTCGCTTTTATTTTGTCTTCCTTAGTCTTAATCATTGTCTTCCATTTAGGCTAATTAACTAAACAATAAACAGCATAATACTTAAGCGGTAATTCACTACTGGGCTCCTGGCTATATACATAAACAGAGTAGGTACAACATTTGGCAAGCTCCAACAATAACTGAGAATGGATGAGAATGAGGATCGGTGGGATGTCTAGCGCAGCAGATCCCCCAGAGCGGAGATGTAGGTCTGGGCCATTTGGAGGGTCTCGTGCTTGGACAACTGGCGGTCGTTTCCCAGGCAGGGAAGATACTGCCGCAGGCGGTCGAAGGCCTGGTTGAGGTTCTGCATCCGACGACGTTCGCGGGCATTGGCGGCCAATCGACGCTTCCTCTTCACCACGGGCGTGATCTGCTTGCCACGCCTCTTCTTGCCACCAGCTCCTCCGGCAGAGGCATCCTGGTTCTCACCATCGGCCAGGTCGAAGGACCCGTCGTTGCCCTCGAAATCCTCGCCGCCACTGAAGAGCATGAGATCGTCATCGTCCTCCACGCTGTCGTCGAACAGGGCGGAGTTGTCAAAGTCAAAGTTCTGGAACTCTTCGGTGTAGAGATTCACTGCTGGAGCTGCTGACTCCTGGGGTTGCGAGGTGGCTAATGAACTGGCAGTCGACTGACTCTTCCTGGTGTAGCTGCGCTTGGGTTTCGTGGCTGCCGGAGCAGGCACTGTCTTGCAGGTGCCCACATTGGAGGAGCCCATGACCTCCGCTGCTGGGGGAGAGGCCACCGGAATTGCTGGAACTGCTGCTGGCACCATCGCCTGCTCCATAACCATTCCGTATTGCTGCTGGCTCTGGGCCATGTTGCAGCCGACATTATTGTACATGGTATTGAGATCCACATACTCGGGACTCTCGGAACGATGACTGGCCGGCGAGGAGGAGATCCAGCCATCGGAGCTGGCCTGCTCGAAGCTGATGAAGCCATTGGCCGACAAGTAGTTGCTGCTGCTGGCCAAGGTGTTGCCATTGAACTGGTAGTGCGTCACACCGGGATTGTAGGCTGCCATGGGATTGAAGTAGGTCTCAGTTGCGGCTGTTTTGAAGCCTTGCAAGTCCTCGGAAGTCTTGTAGTAGTAGCGATAAATCTCACTGGACGACATGTTGCTGCTGTATTTACTACTGGTTAACTGTTTGGAAACGATGCGAACGCTGCGATTGCTGCCGGGTTTCTGACTGCTCTCTGGTCCTTTCGGCCCTATTTATACCAGAAAACCCACCACGAGCAACAGAAGGGCCACAACCGCAGGTAGGGCAGTCAGGTAAACGAGTTGCCTGTGAGGACAGCACGTGCCGGCCGAGTACAACAGCCAATGGCAAATGGTGGTGAGTTGACTGGCTCTTCGGCTACGTACTCTGCCTTACTTTACTGCGAAGAGCTTAAAATGGCGCTAGAAAACGCGGTATCAGTGCCGCCAGCATCTAAAGCCGCTAACAAGATGATTATAGGGTAAACGCTGGATGGCACAACCGGAACAGGAATATGGGCGGAAATGCAAACAGAGCTTGGCCAAACAATCGTGGCCCTAAAACGGGATTAGAGTCGACCGCAAAGTGAGCCGAAATTTGCAAAAATCCCTCAGCGATTTGTCAGCACCAAATGGCAGAGTGGGCCCTATACTTATGAGTTTATCTAATCTGAATCGGTATGAACTACCTGACCCTGAAAACCAGTGAAACCCTTACAAATCTACCGCCGCCTGGTCATTCGACATGCTGACCCAAAAGTCGGGGGCGGTATATCGCAATGAAAAATCTTGTTTATTACAACTTGGCAAATTTTCCAATTGATACGCTTGTTCTCGAACAAGTCCTTGAAGAGGGTAGATAGCGCCGGCTCAGCCAAAAGGACACGCTTGACTGCATCCGCAGCCCCGGGCATGACCTTCGCCGCTTGGCTAATAAGCGTGGCAGACACTAACTAAGAGTTGGGTTAACATTTTAGCGCCTCGCAATTAAAACGGATTCGTGGATTCATGGATTCATGGGTTAAGGAAACATTAAATTTAGTTGTAGATCCCAGCGATGACACAGCGAAACGAGGCTCGCACACGGTGGTCCTTTAGATCCCTTTCGTAACGCCCCCCTTGATTCCTAATGATTTGCTGGAAATCATAATGCAATTCGTAGGAGGATGATCCTCGAATCTTTGAAGTTCCGCGGCCACCCAGTTACTTAACAAGTAGCACGCCCCAAGGACCCGATCTGATATTTTTTTGCCGGGCAATAAAAACGCTGTCAATTAGATAAAAATGTCACACAACAAACCGCACCACGAATTTATTGGATGCGCACACACAGGTACAGTAAGTTTGACCTCTTGTCCACCCCTGAAAGTGTCCTTATGCCCGATGTCCCCCGATGTCCTGATGTCCTTTGCAATTTACGAGCCAGTTGCCGCAACTGACAGTTGTTACACCTGCAAGAAATGCACGAGTATGTATGCCACATCCCCCGGATCGCAATCGCATCTTCGCTGTAAAATTTACGCGTATCGGCATTAGCCGATGTCAAGGCATCCGCTGCATATCGATTTGGAAATTTACATTTTCATTGCTGCATACATTCATTGCGCTACACGTGCCTCCGAGTTGAGGGGGCAAAAAGGGTTATGTTTGGTTTTTTCCCCGATGGTCAGCATCGGGCGCCTTGCGTGCCTGTCAGTTATCGAGTAGCTGATCGATGTGAAGGAGTGCAGACCCACATACCTCCTGAACCGCTACCTCCAATAACTCCAGTACCTCCTCATCATTGGCATCATTACGCTGGTAACGGGTCATTTCTTTCACGTCAATATGCATAAATGCAACTTGTGCACCGAAGAGAGGCGATGGGAATGCAACTGATGTGGAGCAGCTTCCAGAAAGCGCATGACAAAGGCAATTGAATGGCAGCATATCTTTAACCATTGAATACCCTTATGGATACAACACATTCACAAATATATGTTTTCTTGCTGCTTAAGCCAGAAATCACAATTGTTTTGGGTAAAGCATGTAAGGTAAAAACGTTTTTATATTTTTTAAAAATTATTATGAGATATCCGACGTAGTTATTGTATTATTTAGTTGCAAATTACTTGCTAAAATAAATTAAAGAGTATTTAATTATTATATTTATTAAGAAAATATTCAATGTCCATTTCAGATAAAACAAAATAATTTTTTTAATACACTTGGGTTTATTCAGCCTTTCTTCTTCTCTATTAATAAAACTATATTAATATTATTTCCTTAAAAAAAAGCCAGATTCAATCTGATATATACAGGTTTTTTACAAACGAATAATCTAAATTTGGTTATTGATCTATTCGATCAAATTCAAGATATATATTTTTTTTGTGGACTTGTAAGTTGTTAATGATTTAATGAAATATTATAATAGTATTTTGAGCACTGTGGTATATTATGGTTTATAATTGTATTGGCTTACTTAATTCGTTTTTATTAAAATTTCACACGGACATTTTATTTATTTTATTAATTTACACTGTACCTCTCTTTATACCCTTTCACAAGGACTCTCATTGGCATGTGGAGCGTGTAGGCGCTGGAGATGATGCCAATAAGAGGAAAGTAGGCGCACGTCAACGACTCCCATTAGCAAGTCGCTCTGGGCCGTGAAAGTGCTGTCCAGACACAGACCCAGACTCGGATCCAATCCGTATACCCATTCCAATCCACCAGCTTCTGCTCGGCCCACTTATTTTTTTGGATGAAATTGAAAAATTTGTATGTTACTTATTTTATTAGCATTTAACACTCTGTCCCATTTTGCAGATGGGAGAGCGAAAAGCGAAAGGAGCAGGAGCATGCCGTGCGGCATGCCATCTTCATGTCCATTCTCATGTCCATATGCACTTCATTGTAATTCCCCCAGATCTCGATCCCTCGTCGTGGGTGGCCTGGCCCCAAATCGAATCCTGGCCTCGTCCTGTGTGGCATTTTGGCAATTGTCAAATTGAAAATTCATTAAAGCCAAATTAAATATGCAAATGCAAATGCAGAAGGCCCAAGTCGAGGAGGAGGATGAGCATGGTTGCCTTGTTTCCTTGTTGCCCGCTGTTTGACTTGGCTCTGCAAATATTGACCACCGATTGGGGAGGCGGAAAAAATGGGAAATATCATATGTACATATGCTCCACGACTGCGATAAAAAGACAAGTGGAAATCAAAACAAATATGACGGCTTCGAATGGAGGCAAACACTGGACGGGGATTGAATTGGACCTGGGACCTGGGACCTGGGACCTGGACCCTGAGACCCGGGAGCCGTTCAAAATTGTTTAAACAAATATCGCATAAATTGCACATTGTTCGGAATAGCCGGCAAATTGGTTCGGGCATGGGTTAATTCCCATGAAAATTAAAACTAGATTATACACACGTCCGGAGAGTAGAAGTCGAGTTTGGGTCGAGTCCTTGCAGCGCCCACTGTGTCATTGTTTGGGCACGCCCTCACCTCCTGTTGAGCCGGCGCTTTGTCATAGATTGCCCACTGATGGTTATCATCCAGTTGAGGGATGGCAGATCAGCTCGGTGCTCCTTATAGCATTTGTGAATAGATTGGATCGGAGCATGTCAGAGCAATTTTTGTCGCCGACTTTGATGCGGCAATTTGAACACGACAACGCTCGTATTGTTTTGCCAACATCGGTGGCGATCAATATCTGAGCTGATCTTTCGCAACTGACTGGCGCCAGAAGTGATCCTTTATCCCTTATCGAAACTAGACGAATTCGCTACACATATTTTTGAGAATGATAAGTTAAGTCAGTTTCTGACAGTCTCTAAATGGAAAACATATGGTAACTGCTTTAAATTTGTAAAATAAATTTATCTAGAACAAATTATTATTAATTATTAATTTCTTAATAATCATATAACATTTCTAAAGCAATATTAAGGAGTTTCTATTTTTAGTTTAACTCTTCTGACTACAATTTCACCAAACTTCCCATTTAAATGCCCTTATGTAGCATCCAATTAAACTAATGTAGCATGGACAAATTGATCTTTAATAAGACTAAAAAGATTTCTCAAACCAAAAAACAGATTCGATTTTATTAAAAGCAAAAAAAAAAGAAAACCTTTAGTGTGGCTATCAAACATTAATTTCATGGTGCATTTTGCATCCTCATTTGGTGGCTCTTCCCTCGTTTCCGAGTCGGAAGTGGGCATCATAACCGATCGACAAATTGTGATTGCTATTGTTATAAGAGTGGGGACCGGGTCCCAGTCCCAGTCCCAGTCCCACGAAACCCTATCCCAGATCACGACCAAGTGATCAATTCAAATTTGAAACACTGCTCGCTGGAACAAAGAAAACAGATGAAAACTACGCAATCACTTGAGAAAAATCAAAAAGGCTCTGAAGGACCTCGGCTGCGCTGCTTTTGACTCCTTGGTTTCTTGGTTTCTCGGGTTCTTGGCCATGGTCGTAACCATAACAGGTGGCACGGAAGCCGCACAAAATAAAAATGATTAAAGCAATAAAAAAGAAACGAAAACGAAACTCACACACAAAAGACGGAGAAACGGCCGCGCCAGCAATAACAACAATTTTTAATAAGATTTTTGAAAATTCTGAAACAACATTGGCGATATCTAGGAGAGATGCTGCTTGTTCCCGTCCCCTTCTGTTGCTCAACCACTTCCGATTTAGATCCCGATCCCGATCCTGATCCTTGGGCGTCACCCAGCAGTGGGTCAAGTGTGAGAACATTTTGCGGAAGGAAGTGGCTAGGATGAAAAATGATTGAGAAAGCGGAGGCGAGGGACTCAAGACGACTAAGCCCGGGACACCACGTGGTCAAGATTCACTTTCGAGTGCGCGAGTGACTCACTCTCATGATTGCACAGAGAATTAATGCATGCACCATGAAAAAATAGGAATAATATCATAATATACATCGAACACCAAGAATCAAACAAATTTTTCTAACAGTAAGTACAGTACAGATAATAGAATTCTTAATTACAGAATATATTATTTCTGTATTCTTAATCAACTGGCTTTCCAAATAAAAAATTTGTATATAATATATTTGTATATATATTTATTTTTAATTTAAGGGGCTACATCATACACACGCTCATACAAAAATGCGACAAAAATACAATTTGTCAACTTAGAATCGATTTTAATGATAAAGGAGTATGT